GCGTCCAAGAGAATGGTGTCCCACACAAAAGGGTCATTCAAGTATACTGATTTAGTCGTTGTTATCGTTTTAAATACACACCTGAACTTGACCTGCTCAAAATACTTTGCAGATCTCCTGGTTTTGCTATGATTCGAAATGTATGCATGCTCCTGATCAACATGAAGAGAGCACACTACCACAGGTGATCTAGGACTGCCAAAGTCCAGTGTCCTTCATGCTGACTACATCAGAAGGTGCTAGAGCATTGTGTATTGTATTGTTTCACATGTATACGATGCATCCAGGATTTTAATTTGGTCACAAATTAGGAAAAATAATCATTATGTGGTTCTAAATTGGGATTTTAAAAATAAGATTAATTTTCTGAAATTTGGAGGCACTGTATTTGTATTGAGTGTGATAATGTAAATCCTGAAGTAATGTCTCTTCCACCAGCCCTGCTGTCAGTATGGCCAGTACATGTTACCTCTACAGAGCTAGAACATTAGTTATCAATGTTTACCTGTTTCCAATATTTCTGCACATAGGATTTTAGGACACAGGATTTTGCATATACTGTAAATCTTTAGATCTTAAAAGTCAAATGTGAACGAAGACACATCATCAACAAAGCATGGAGTCAGACCACTTATTAGTAGAGCTGTAATGATGCATCCAACTATCGATGGATTGCAATTGTTGAGTCTCTGATAGCAACTAATCAATGGTAGAAACGAAAAACTATTGATGCATCGATAGTGTGTGTGACTATTGATAGTTTAGTAATTGACTTCTGTTGATAAATGTGCAGCGCAAAATACAGGAAGTACCAGATTCGTTCACTTTGATTTACTTCTTTGAGAGGCATTTAGAAGTTGTGAAGATGAAGGAGAACCAAGTTCTATGGATAGTCAACTTCTTTCTTGCAATGAGTGCGACATTTCGGTGTAGGTACTAACATCACTTGCTTGATTATGGTGGTGTTAGTAATGCAATGTCGCACTCATTGCAATAAAGAAGTAGACCATCCATAGAACTTGGTTTTCCTTCACTTTGATTTAGAGTTATCTGCGCCTGCAGACTTGCATCATCATTGTGTTTATGTTTCTTAAAACTCTCTTGTCAGTTATTGAAATAGACTGAAACGACTTCAACTTGTTTTTATTTCATATAAACTACATATTCATTTGGGCAATGAACCGCCTCCGTGGAGAGGAACGAAGACACCATTCCTTGCGACCTTGCGAGGGTAGCTGGCACTAACATTAGCTTGGTGAACACCCTGGGGGCAGTGGATATACCGAAGGGGAGCACCGTGAATAGGTAACCTATCCCGTCGTAAGAGAACCGGAGGTACTGCTTGATCGATGGATGAATTGGCACATGTAGATACGCATCCTTTAGATTGATCGACGTAAGCTAATCGCCGGGCTGAACAGAGGAGATCACCGAGCGAAGTGTCTCCATCTTGAAGGATGCAACCTCTAGCATGCCATTCAACCCCTTGAGGTTGAGAATGGGACGGAACCTGCCGTCCTTCTTCGGAACGAGGAAGTACGTGGAATAAAATCCCGCCTCTTCCTCGCCCATTGGTATGCGCTCTATTGCGGACTTGTCAGTATACACTTCATCTCGCAGTATACACGCCCTAACCGGACATGACGGCACCGGAGTGCGACGTATGCTGGTGAATTCTGGCGGGCCTCGCTTCAACAGTGGAAGATGGCCGACACTGACTGTGGAAAGCACCTAAGTGTTGCTGGTAGCCTTCTCCCACTCTCCGGCAGGAATAGAGAGAGGCGGCCCCCCACTGGGACGTGTGGTAAGAGGGCGTGAGTGGTCCCTTGCAGACGAACTGAATGGGACGCACCCACCGCGACAGCCTGCGGGTGTAACGGGAGGTCGGAGCAGACCTCCCGCGACTGCGAAAAGGCTGATGGGAGCCAGATGAAGAGGACTGCTCCTTGCCCTTACCTTTGGTGGGACGGCTCCTCCTTCTCCCCCTGCCCAGCGGCCAAAGCCAGCCGGCAGACTCGAGCGTAGGCTGCGCAACGGAGGAGGAACCTGCTACGGGAGCGCGGGGGCGAAAGCCCGAGGATGCTCCAACAAGGCCTTAGAGTCCTTGAAGGAGGTAGCTGCAGCAGCAGCCTCCCGAATGACCTGCTGAGCCCCCGGAAAACGTCGCTCCCAGCCGGAACGGAAAGGCTAGCAAGGTCTGCTGTGTCGCTGCCGAGTAGCGGGACATAGACAGCCACTGCTTTCGCATCCCCATGACTGCGCACATCACCATAGACGCCGCAGACCGCAAAGAATCGCGCTAGGTGGGCCTGCACTTTGGACAACTGGCTAAGCAAAACAACTTGCAGGGACACGTCCCTAGTGCTCCCTTAAGCCTCCAGAGCCGACCTTTGGATAAAGGAAAGGTAGGCCTCATGGATCACCACCCGTACCTGCTGCATGGCATTCCGGTAGACTTCCTAATAAGTCCCGGTAAGCCTGCTGTAGGAGGGGGCCCGCAAGGGCAAACGGTGGATCTAAACGCCCTTGCTCGGCAGCCAGGCCTGCACCAGAGGAAGCACTTGTCAACCACCAGCACAAAGAACAGAGAATCGTCCCCCAGCTGGTACCTCTTAAACGAGTTCGGGTAAATCGAATCGCAGGCGTGTCCCAACCAGGCGAGGATCCATCATGTCCTGCACCAGGGAAGGCAAGACACGGAGCAGTGTCTGCGAGGGTTGCCTAGGGGCAAACGCCTCGCCCGGCAGGCGGAACTCAGCTGAGTCCGAGTGACAGGTGGGCACCGCGGCTTGGGGAATATACTCGGCAATACGCTGCCGCACCTCCCGAAGCGCCGACGAGAAACTGAAAGTGCCCTCCGGCTCCTCGACCTCCCCAACGTCCATAGACTTGACACCCGAGCCCGAGTCAGAATCCGGGTCTCCTCGTGAAGAGGATCCGAACCTCGACCCGGTGGGAGGCCGAGCCCCAGACACCGAGGGAAGGGAAGTGCCGAAGGAACTCCTCGCTCGGCAACCGACACACCACTCGAACCCCGGTCCCGAGACACGGGAGGAAGACCGGGCAGAACCGACTCCTCCGCTCTCATGGGGCGGGGCGGCGCAGGGAACGGAACCCCAGGAATCCTCAACGAACCCTGAGCCAGCACTGAGAGGGGGACTGGGAGCGAACCCTTCCCATCCGGGATAGCTGAGGCGTCTGGACCCGAAGCCAAAGGCAAAGGATTGATAGACACCTCCAGGCTAAGGGATCGAGCCGGGCTCGGCGATCCCATCTCCGGACTCTCGGTCCCCTGTTCAGAGTGGGCGAGGAACTCCTGGCGGAGACCTCCAACGGACTCGTGAACAAAGGACTTCACAGAGTCCATATGCTGCTGGAACAACTGGGTAATTAGAGACATATCAAAACCACTATGAGATGACTGAGGAGGCGACTTATGCGACCTAGCTTTTTTAGTCGGTTTGGACATTTTGGCTTTAGACTGGGCCCGAAGAGAAAAGGCCATACAAAGCTCACAAACATCGGGGGTGGGTCCCACCTTTTCAAGGCAGCACAAGCACTTATCGTGCTTGTCGGCTCGAGGAATGTTCTGCGCACAGACAGAACACCCAGTAAACGCCTGAAAGCAAACACGCAAGCATGTAGCTAACAGCGGAACAAGAAGCATAAATATACATGTACAAAACATTGAAAATTACGTGAAGGGGACCACGGGAAGAAATACTTGGTTAATAACTCAACATGACAACTTCACGCCATTGAAGAGCAACAAATGCGTAAACCATGGGAAAGCTAGCGTAAAGTTTAAAGCTAGCGTTAAGTCAAAGAAATGAGAAATAACAGACTGCAAAGTCAATAAAACTGTTCTGTCAAGAACGAATAAAGACCATACATACAGTTGTTGGAGTCTCAGACATTCTTTTTCTCTCAAGAGAACGAAGTACTCTGTTTCATGTTTTCAAAAGTCAATTACTGCAGTAAAGACTCCAGAACCTCCGTCATCAATTCTTACAGAATCACCAATTTTGAGAATGGGGGCAGCCATGTTTGTTTACAAACAATGTAAACTCGCGACGACGTCATCAATGAAATGTTAACGTCGTAGGATTCTCATGGCGTGTATGAAGTTTTGTGAAAGTAGATCGTGGATTGACGTAATTTGCATAGTTAGCAGATTTGGATACCAAGTTTATCAGATTGCTTTATTGCACCGATAACACCCTCCATTAGATGATAAACAAACTTAGGTCTTTAGTCATGGGCCGTACTAAATCATGTTCAGAATGCTGTTTTGTTGGTAATCCATGCATAAATGTATCACTGCTCACCAGTGCCATGTGTTGGGTTTGATCTGTACTTATTAATATATATTATTGCTCAAAGCTACTTCTCCAACACTCAAACGATATTTGGTTAATGAGAATAGACCTCTATGATCTATATCGATAGCCATGTGAACTTCCCCCTCCACACAGCAGGACTGTGTGGACACAACATCGCCACCTCATCTACCACAGGGCAATCTGATTAATCCTTCACTGTGAAGTGAGAGTAGGCCAAACTAACATGGCTCAGATACATGATCAGAACACATACATACTGACAATGTACTTCCACCAACACACTGACCACACCAGCACCATTAAACCCATTGTAGCCTGGGTCTTACACAGACACACTAGCTGTGGGTCTTGTAGTGGTAATGGGTCTTCGGCTGTGGGTCTTGTAGTGGTAGAGGATCTTGTTGAGATTGTGGTAGCGGGTCTTGTTGTGTTTGTGGTTGAGGCAGTAGCAGTAGTGGTAATGGTGAATGTTGAAGTAGTAGTAGTGGTAGTAGTGCTGGGGAGAATGGTAATGGTAGTGGAAATAACATGGCCATGAACTATTTGCTATATGCACTGAAGTATATGGCCATTCTAACACACTGAGTACTGAAAACATAGTCTTGATATTACACCTTGTGTCATGTCTTTTCAAGAATGTCTGAAACTGTAACTCACCCTCCTCAGTCTCCGGGCTGGACTGTGACCTGTCAGACCCCACGGATGGCCGCCTCAGGTCCCCACTGCTGTGATGTAAGGTCCGTGTCTCACTGCGTATATTCTTCGTCTCATGTCGACCTGAGGGGGGTCTTGGTGATGGGGAGGAGTGTGTTCCCGAGGGTTTGTTGTGCCCATTAACAGAATCCTTGGACGGAAGTTTCCTGACTGAGTTATCTGTCCCTGAGTTACTAAGGTCAACGACCTTGCTGTAGTCAAAGGCTTGGTTACCACAGCCCTTATCAATGTCTCCATCAAACACCAGTTCTCCCCCTACAAAGATCCGGGTGTGTCGAGCACCTATATTCAAATCCTGGAAGGAACAAACACAATAATTAATCTCTGCTTCATTGCTGAATTTATTTACAGTTTCATCGGTGTGAGACAGAGTGGCTTGTAGGGTTGTGGAGGGACTTACATTTAGACTCCTGTTGTAGTTCCACAGCATGATGAAAGAGAGACAGAGTGGCTCATAGGGTGTGGAGTGGCTTATGTTTAAACTCTTGTTGTAGTTCCACAGCTTGATGGTGGAGAGACAGAAAGGCTTATAGGATTGTGGAGGGACTTACATTTAGACTCTTGTTGTAGTTCCACAGCTTGATGGTGGAGAGACAGAAAGGCTTGTTTGGTGAGGGGTTGTGAAGAGTGATGACGAATTCCACGGACAGCCCGTCCTCATACTCACAGCTCCACATGTACCTCTCTTTTGTTGTCTGGGAAACAGAACACATAGCATCTACATACAACCTCATACATATCAGGGTAAGTTAGTTTGGTTTTCAACCTGCTTAGACACTATCTCAGTTATATCCCTGGGGGTGAAACTGATGTTTGGGGAGAGTGAAACCCAGAAGAAAGCGATAGCGTAATCAGGGAGGAACCATGATCTTAGGGCTCGGGCTGGCAAAGGGACACAACTCTGCACAGCTAACTGTGACACTGTAGATGACTTTGATCCCCAAACATTGCCAACCAGAGCAACCCTCACATCATGATGAGGTCATGTGGAGATAACACAGACAGAATGATAGAATCTGACATTTCTAAAGAAGATGTGAAAAACTCTTTTAAATTCCAAGAACTATTCAACTACTGTTGATCACTTCAGGAGCCGCCATCTCCATGTTGACGACACTCGGGACGGCAAGAGAGTTACCTTGGGTTTCCCATTAAACAGCACATCTCGAGAGGTCCGGCAGCCAGTAGCCCCATGAACACTGACGTCAGACATGCGCACCGGAATCAGCTGTTTGTCGGAGTTGAAGAACTGTATTTCTGTGAGTCCCACACGATCTGGGTGGCCCCAGTTAGACAAGATCTCCATGTTCACCTCCAGGACTTCAAGATGGCCCCCAGAGGACTTCTGAATGGGAAGACAATTTTATATTTTCAAAGCTATTATCTTCTGTGGACATCAATGGATATCCTCTACCCTAAGTTTATATAATATACTGTGACTGACTCTCTCTGACTTACCTGTTTGTTTGTAGTGTGTGAACGAGGGGTACTGAGCTTTGTAGATTTACTGGGTGACGTGGGGGATTGCACAGATGAAGACCCTTCGTCCAACTTGCCCAGTATTTTGATGAGTCGCCTCTGCTGTCTGTGGAGAGAAGACAATACACATGCTACAAGATCCTCACACAGACACAGCTAGTTTTGGGCACACTAAACACATGTACACAACAACACTATCACCAACTCATTTGTACTACGTTTTCAACACAATCACATGAGTACTCAACAACTCACAAATGACTTATCCTTTTCTAAAATGTAGTATTCCTGCTTGATATGGCATGGTCATACATCTCATATCACCCTCCCACACAGTCTCCTTCACTGTCTTTAGATGAAAAAAACCATAACCTATGAATATCATTCTAAAGGTCTGTTTCTAAAATGCCAAATTTCGCTCACTAAGAATGCTCATCTGTCTTGGGAGTACTTCTTTGATTGGCATTCTAGAAGTTGGGTAGATGAAGAATGAGGACTATTTTTATGGATATACAACTTCTTTATTCTATATAGGCGATGTTTCGACATAGATTCTAATGTCGTTGTAAAGCACCACTTGCTTGACGACATTAGAATCTATGTTGAAACGTCGCCTATATAGAATAAAGAAGTTGTATATCCATAAATATAGTCTTCATTCTTTGTCTTGGGAGTACACAACTGCCAGTACCCATTCACTGCTGGGTGAACAATGCATATCTCTCAAAATCCCACAAGTCACTTGGTAGGTTGACACATGTGTTACATTTGCTTTAGTGCTGGCATGACTGAAGCCCTTGGAACTCTAAGAGCCGAAGATGGTTACCAATCTGGCTACTCTCTTTGACCTACTTTACTCTGATGTCACCGCCCCGTGAAGATCTGGGTTAGAATTGGTCTTCAGTAACCGATGCTTGTCGTAAGAGGTGACCAACGGGATTGGGGGTTTGACTCGCTGACTTGGTTGACACATGTCATCGTATCCCTATTGTGTAGATCAATACGCATGCTGTTGATCATCGGATTGCCTGGTCCTGACTCCATTATTTACAGACCGCGTCAAAGAGCTCGAATATTGCAGAGTGCAGCGTAAAACTAAACCCACTGATGTCACATGACCATGAAGCACCATGTCTGTCTGTGGGTCACTGATGTGTGACATGTCTTCAGCTGCTACATTTGGTGGGGTTACTTACTTCGGAGGCATGACCATGACCTTGGTGACTATTTCTGACACACGCTCATCAGTGAGGGCCTGAGGATCCACTGACCCGGCTGAATGGGTTTTGGTGGGTGACAACTTCTCCGCAGACCCGCGAGATGACAGTCGGGATTTGGAACGTTGAGGATCACTGGAACTCGGCCGCAGCTGAAGGGGAAGGCAGTGACTCACACACATTCATAACATGGACAATATTCATGTTAAACATAATATGTACACCTTAATTGAAAGTATGCTCCATTACTTCGGGAAAAACTCACGGAGGTATATATCCTGACAAGAAAAGGATCAAAATCAGAGTGAATCCTTGCACTGGTAAGGGAGGGAACTCTACTCAGCGAGTTGCAGAATCGCAGACTACAGAAACATCTGTACAAAATGAATGGAGGAATAAGCTGACTGGTCTGAATACTACTTTGGTAAAACAGTTTAAAAACCCTTGTATGGGTAAGGGAGGCAACTCAGCACATGATCTGACTCAGTGAGAGACTGAGGGAACATGCAGCCTCAATGACCTACCAGACGACTCACCTCTGGACGAGGACTTTTACTGACATCTTTGTTGAAGCGAGCAGCTTTCGAGTTCTCCTCCTGTAGGGCCTGTAACACTGCCGACGCCTCCTCCCGGGAGTCCAGATGATGGTCATCACTCTTTCTGTTCGCTGACAGAGGCTTCAGTGACTTCTTGGATTGTGGCACTGTAGACAGATTTTGTTTATGAACACAGTGTTACAGAATCACATAACACTAACACTGCTGTACACTAATTTGTAAGCACTGACACACATGATACAAAGGTCATTTCTAGAAAAACATGAATGTGAAGAGAAATGTCTTGCAGTATGAACAGGGTCTAAGGGGGTTTGTAGCCTTTCTCACATCATGAACAGGGTCTCAGAGGGTTTGTAGCCTGTCTCACTTCATGAACAGGGTCTCAGAGGGTTTGTAGCCTGTCTCACATCATGAACAGGTTCTCAGAGGGTTTGTAGCCTGTCTCACTTCATGAACAGGGTCTCAGAGGGTTTGTAGCCTGTCTCACATCATGAACAGGGTCTCAGAGGGTTTGTAGCCTGTCTCACTTCATGAACAGGGTCTCAGAGGGTTTGTAGCCTGTCTCACTTCATGAACAGGGTCTCAGAGGGTTTGTAGCCTGTCTCACTTCATGAACAGGGTCTCAGAGGGTTTGTAGCCTGTCTCACTTCATGAACAGGGTCTCAGAGGGTTTGTAGCCTGTCTCACATCATGAACAGGTTCTCAGAGGGTTTGTAGCCTGTCTCACTTCATGAACAGGTTCTCAGAGGGTTTGTAGCCTGTCTCACTTCATGAACAGGGTCTCAGAGGGTTTGTAGCCTGTCTCACTTCATGAACAGGGTCTCAGTGGGTTTGTAGCCTGTCTCACTTCATGAACAGGGTCTAAGAGGGTTTGTAGCCTGTCTCACTTCATGAACAGGGTCTCAGTGGGTTTGTAGCCTGTCTCACATGATGGACAGGGTCTCAGTGGGTTTGTAGCTTGTCTCACTTCATGAACAGGGTCTAAGAGGGTTTGTAGCCTGTCTCACATCATGAACAGGTTCTCAGAGGGTTTGTAGCCTGTCTCACTTCATGAACAGGGTCTCAGTGGGTTTGTAGCCTGTCTCACATCATGAACAGGGTCTAAGAGGGTTTGTAGCCTGTCTCACTTCATGAACAGGGTCTCAGTGGGTTTGTAGCTTGTCTCACTTCATGAACAGGGTCTAAGAGGGTTTGTAGCCTGTCTCACATCATGAACAGGTTCTCAGAGGGTTTGTAGCCTGTCTCACTTCATGAACAGGGTCTCAGTGGGTTTGTAGCCTGTCTCACATCATGAACAGGGTCTAAGAGGGTTTGTAGCCTGTCTCACTTCATGAACAGGGTCTCAGTGGGTTTGTAGCCTGTCTCACATCATGAACAGGGTCTCAGTGGGTTTGTAGCCTGTCTCACATCATGAACAGGGTCTCAGAGGGTTTGTAGCCTGTTTCACATCATGAACAGGGTCGTCTCACTTCATGAACAGGGTCTCAGAGGGTTTGTAGCCTGTTTCACATCATGAACAGGGTCTCAGTGGGTTTGTAGCCTGTCTCACTTCATGAACAGGGTCTCAGTGGGTTTGTAGCCTGTCTCACTTTATGAACAGGGTCTCAGTGGGTTTGTAGCCTGTCTCACTTCATGAACATGAACAGGGTCTCAGTGGGTTTGTAGCCTGTCTCACTTCATGAACAGGGTCTCAGTGGGTTTGTAGCCTGTCTCACTTCATGAACAGGGTCTCAGAGGGTTTGTAGCCTGTCTCACTTTATGAACAGGGTCTCAGTGGGTTTGTAGCCTGTCTCACTTCATGAACAGGGTCTCAGTGGGTTTGTAGCCTGTCTCATATCATGAACAGGTTCTCAGAGGGTTTGTAGCCTGTCTCACTTCATGAACAGGTTCTCAGAGGGTTTGTAGCCTGTCTCACTTCATGAACAGGTTCTCAGGGGGTTTGTAGCCTGTCTCACTTCATGAACAGGGTCTCAGTGGGTTTGTAGCCTGTCTCACATCATGAACAGGGTCTCAGTGGGTTTACAACATGAGTAGGGTCTTGTAAACTGAGTGAAGGGAAAGGGTACTTTGTGTTCAGAACAGCAGGACAACATACACAAGATGGTACACTTACCTGACTGAAGCCGCAAATCCCTGGGGGTAGAGGATGGGGTGCCTTTGGGGCTCGGGAGGGGGCGTGGCTTCTGTTTGGGATTGAGGGAAGCATCAATGTCATTGTTTTTCTTTCGTGCAGCAGACAAATTTCTTTCAACTTTTCCTGGAACACAAATTACAAGATATATTTTGACCTGAATATATTTTGATTTACACAGCTAGCCAAATACATGCTTTTTTCTGGGGGCTGTGTCACAAGTGTTCACAATATTCCAGCAGAATCACAACTGATACCATATATTGGTTTCACACTTTGTAGAAACATTGAGAACTGAACCAGAGTCCTTGCCATTATGAGTAAGTGTTAACCACTTGGCCAACAGTCTCCTCATAATAGTTCAAATCATCTTAATGTATGCTAGGTATTCTCTGCGTATTACCAGTCACTGAGCAAAAGGGAGAATTACTTATCATAATCAGTGTTTTCCCTATGCATGGAAAACACCAATAAAATGTTGCACAGCCACTGGGTGAGATACTCTCTCACGTTCCCATGTCTACACTGACACTTCAGGCTGCTTACACACCTTTACTTGGCAGTGGGGCAAACTCCAGTACGATTGTCTCATTAGGTTTCATGATATTGTTGATGGGGCTGGTCGGGCTGTCTGGGCCAGTGCTGCCCCCTGGTGACAGGTCCTCCTCAATTTCCTCCTCTTCTTCATCGATGGTGGCTGCGTGGTCCATATCTTCCTCCTCCTACAAGACACAACAGGCTCAATAGTAGCACACGATACTGCTGCAGCTGGCCAGTCAGCTGGTAGATGTGAAACAGTAGCACATATGTGCACCAGAGTCACAAGTAACACCACAAAAGGCAGTTCAAGTTGAAAATTAGAATAAAGGGATGAAAAACACCTGTTGAAACATGAAAGAAATAGCTGACATTTCTTGTAACTTATCATATTACAGTTAAATTTGTTTGAATTCAGGTTTTGATATAAAATTTGAAACCCATGAAATGGTGTATTGACAAATGTTTCTGCACACTGAAAATACACTTTGTGCCATAACAGAGAGCGTGAGGAACAAAAGCGACAGGGGGACAATGCAATAAGGCTTGAAGTCGTTCCAAAACCCTGCCAGCAATGCTCTGCTAGCAACACAGTGCCAGCAACACCTTGCTGGCAACACAATCATAGACTAGGCCACTGGAAGAACATAAAAACCATCATAGGGCCTGGTAGATTATTTCCCTTTTCACAACATTCTGAATGTGCAGCAAATACTACATGTGTGTACATAAATATGACACAAAACAGTATCCATGGCAACTGTGCTAAACAAACCTGATGCCCACATTATCTCAAGAACATGACGTACACATATCACAAGCAGTACTGTAGCCACACAGCAGCAGGTAATGACATGATTCAAAACTGATGCTTCCTGAAGGCAGTAGAGCCCCATACACATGGCAGGTAACCCAGTCTACACTAACACAGGGAGCCCCATACACATGGCAGGTAACCCAGTCTACACTAACACAGGGAGCCCCATACACATGGCAGGTAACCCAGTAACCCAGTCTACACTAACACAGGGAGCCCCATACACACGGCAGGTAACCCAGTCTACACTAACACAGGGAGCCCCATACACATGGCAGGTAACCCAGTCTACACTAACACAGGGAGCCCCATACACATGGCAGGTAACCCAGTCTACACTAACCCAGGGAGCCCCATACACATGGCAGGTAACCCAGTAACCCAGTCTACACTAACCCAGGGAGCCCCATACACATGGCAGGTAACCCAGTCTACACTAACCCAGGGAGCCCCATACACATGGCAGGTAACCCAGTCTACACTAACCCAGGGAGCCCCATACACATGGCAGGTAACCCAGTAACCCAGTCTACACTAACCCAGGGAGCCCCATACACATGGCAGGTAACCCAGTCTACACTAACACAGGGAGCCCCATACACATGGCAGGTAACCCAGTCTACACTAACACAGGGAGCCCCATACACATGGCAGGTAACCCAGTAACCCAGTCTACACTAACACAGGGAGCCCCATACACATGGCAGGTAACCCAGTCTACACTAACACAGGGAGCCCCATACACATGGCAGGTAACCCAGTCTACACTAACCCAGGGAGCCCCATACACATGGCAGGTAACCCAGTCTACACAAACACAGGGAGCCCCATACACATGGCAGGTAACCCAGTCTACACTAACACAGGGAGCCCCATACACATGGCAGGTAACCCAGTCTACACTAACACAGGGAGCCCCATACACATGGCAGGTAACCCAGTCTACACTAACACAGGGAGCCCCATACACATGGCAGGTAACCCAGTCTACACTAACACAGGGAGCCCCATACACATGGCAGGTAACCCAGTAACCCAGTCTACACTAACACAGGGAGCCCCATACACACGGCGGCAGGTAACCCAGTCTACACTAACACAGGGAGCCCCATACACATGGCAGGTAACCCAGTCTACACTAACACAGGGAGCCCCATACACATGGCAGGTAACCCAGTCTACACTAACCCAGGGAGCCCCATACACATGGCAGGTAACCCAGTCTACACTAACCCAGGGAGCCCCATACACATGGCAGGTAACCCAGTCTACACTAACCCAGGGAGCCCCATACACATGGCAGGTAACCCAGTAACCCAGTCTACACTAACCCAGGGAGCCCCATTCACATGGCAGGTAACCCAGTCTACACTAACACAGGGAGCCCCATACACATGGCAGGTAACCCAGTAACCCAGTCTACACTAACACAGGGAGCCCCATACACATGGCAGGTAACCCAGTCTACACTAACACAGGGAGCCCCATACACATGGCAGGTAACCCAGTCTACACTAACCCAGGGAGCCCCATACACATGGCAGGTAACCCAGTCTACACAAACACAGGGAGCCCCATACACATGGCAGGTAACCCAGTCTACACTAACACAGGGAGCCCCATACACATGGCAGGTAACCCAGTCTACACTAACACAGGGAGCCCCATACACATGGCAGGTAACCCAGTAACCCAGTCTACAGTAACACAGGGAGCCCCATACACATGGCAGGTAACCCAGTCTACACTAACACAGGGAGCCCCATACACATGGCAGGTAACCCAGTCTACACTAACCCAGGGAGCCCCATACACATGGCAGGTAACCCAGTAACCCAGTCTACACTAACACAGGGAGCCCCATACACATGGCAGGTAACCCAGTAACCCAGTCTACACAAACACAGGGAGCCCCATACACATGGCAGGTAACCCAGTAACCCAGTCTACACAAACACAGGGAGCCCCATACACATGGCAGGTAACCCAGTAACCCAGTCTACACTAACACAGGGAGCCCCATACACATGGCAGGTAACCCAGTAACCCAGTCTACACTAACACAGGGAGCCCCATACACATGGCAGGTAACCCAGTAACCCAGTCTACACTAACGCAGGGAGCCCCATACACATGGCAGGTAACCCAGTAACCCAGTCTACACTAACACAGGGGGCCCCATACACATGGCAGGTAACCCAGTCTACACACTAACACAGGGAGCCCCATACACATGGCAGGTAACCCAGTCTACACTAACACAGGGAGCCCCATACACATGGCAGGTAACCCAGTCTACACTAACACAGGAGCCCCATACACATGGCAGGTAACCCAGTCTACACTAACACAGGGAGCCCCATACACATGGCAGGTAACCCAGTCTACACTAACACAGGGAGCCCCATACACATGGCAGGTAACCCAGTCTACACTAACACAGGGAGCCCCATACACATGGCAGGTAACCCAGTCTACACTAACACAGGGGGCCCCATACACATGGCAGGTAACCCAGTCTACACTAACACAGGGAGCCCCATACACATGGCAGGTCAACCCAACCCAGTAACCCAGTCTACACTAACACAGGGGGCCCCATACACATGGCAGGTAACCCAGTCTACACTAACCCAGGGGGCCCCATACACATGGCAGGTAACCCAGTCTACACAAACACAGGGAGCCCCATACACATGGCAGGTAACCCAGTCTACACTAACACAGGGAGCCCCATACACATGGCAGGTAACCCAGTCTACACTAACACAGGGAGCCCCATACACATGGCAGGTAACCCAGTCTACACTAACACAGGGGAGCCCCATACACATGGCAGGTAACCCAGTCTACACTAACACAGGGGCCCCATACACATGGCAGGTAACCCAGTAACCCAGTCTACACTAACACAGGGGCCCCATACACACGGCAGGTAACCCAGTCTACACTAACACAGGGAGCCCCATACACATGGCAGGTAACCCAGTCTACACTAACCCAGGGAGCCCCATACACATGGCAGGTAACCCAGTAACCCAGTCTACACTAACCCAGGGAGTCCCATACACATGGCAGGTAACCCAGTCTACACTAACCCAGGGAGCCCCATACACATGGCAGGTAACCCAGTCTACACTAACCCAGGGAGCCCCATACACATGGCAGGTAACCCAGTAACCCAGTCTACACTAACCCAGGGAGCCCCATTCACATGGCAGGTAACCCAGTCTACACTAACACAGGGAGCCCCATACACATGGCAGGTAACCCAGTAACCCAGTCTACACTAACACAGGGAGCCCCATACACATGGCAGGTAACCCAGTCTACACTAACACAGGGAGCCCCATACACATGGCAGGTAACCCAGTCTACACTAACCCAGGGAGCCCCATACACATGGCAGGTAACCCAGTCTACACAAACACAGGGAGCCCCATACACATGGCAGGTAACCCAGTCTACACTAACACAGGGAGCCCCATACACATGGCAGGTAACCCAGTCTACACTAACACAGGGAGCCCCATACACATGGCAGGTAACCCAGTAACCCAGTCTACAGTAACACAGGGAGCCCCATACACATGGCAGGTAACCCAGTCTACACTAACACAGGAGCCCCATACACATGGCAGGTAACCCAGTCTACACTAACCCAGGGAGCCCCATACACATGGCAGGTAACCCAGTAACCCAGTCTACACTAACACAGGGAGCCCCATACACATGGCAGGTAACCCAGTAACCCAGTCTACACAAACACAGGGAGCCCCATACACATGGCAGGTAACCCAGTAACCCAGTCTACACAAACACAGGGAGCCCCATACACATGGCAGGTAACCCAGTAACCCAGTCTACACTAACACAGGGGCCCCATACACATGGCAGGTAACCCAGTAACCCAGTCTACACTAACACAGGGAGCCCCATACACATGGCAGGTAACCCAGTAACCCAGTCTACACTAACACAGGGAGCCCCATACACATGGCAGGTAACCCAGTAACCCAGTCTACACTAACACAGGGAGCCCCATACACATGGCAGGTAACCCAGTCTACACTAACACAGGGAGCCCCATACACATGGCAGGTAACCCAGTCTACACTAACCCAGGGAGCCCCATACACATGGCAGGTAACCCAGTCTACACTAACACAGGGAGCCCCATACACATGGCAGGTAACCCAGTCTACACTAACCCAGGGAGCCCCATACACATGGCAGGTAACCCAGTCTACACTAACACAGGGAGCCCCATACACATGGCAGGTAACCCAGTCTACACTAACACAGGGAGCCCCATACACATGGCAGGTAACCCAGTCTACACTAACACAGGGAGCCCCATACACACGGCAGTCAACCCAGTAACCCAGTCTACACTAACACAGGGAGCCCCATACACATGGCAGGTAACCCAGTAACCCAGTCTACACTAACACAGGGAGCCCCATACACATGGCAGGTAACCCAGTAACCCAGTCTACACTAACACAGGGAGCCCCATACACACGGCAGTCAACCCAGTAACCCAGTCTACACTAACACAGGGAGCCCCATACACACGGCAGTCAACCCAGTAACCCAGTCTACACTAACACAGGGAGCCCCATACACATGGCAGGTAACCCAGTAACCCAGTCTACACTAACACAGGGAGCCCCATACACATGGCAGGTAACCCAGTAACCCAGTCTACACTAACACAGGGAGCCCCATACACATGGCAGGTAACCCAGTAACCCAGTCTACACTAACACAGGGAGCCCCATACACATGGCAGGTAACCCAGTAGCCCAGTCTACACTAACCCAGGGAGCCCCATACACATGGCAGTCAACCCAGTAACCCAGTCTACACTAACACAGGGAGCCCCATACACATGGCAGGTAACCCAGTAGCCCAGTCTACACTAACCCAGGGTTCTCTGTTAAACATCCCAACAATGATCAGCTACACCACATGCATCGCCTCAGACTAAACATGTTCATGCAAACTACAAGGGCTGTAACCACACACTTTAAGGGGAAATTATAACGATTCTGATAATGTGGCCAGTATGGTGTGGGTCCCATGGTGTGCACCCTCTGTGGATTGTTACAGCCCTGAAACCAACCAGTTCTATAAAGCTCAGAGGGATCATTGAGATTCAGAATGTTTATCTGATGTAACTAGGAGATTAGAGACAGAGATTCCTCATTGTCAGCCAATATGTTAATTTGATGTTAGAGATATGTGGTTCTGGTAACTAGGGGCTGTCTAGGAGGTAAGTGCAGTATGTTAGATTTGTAACTCAGGACAGGTAGCATTCCTCTGACATATTCTGTCTCGTACAAGCTTAATGATCAGCAGCAATGGCAGGAACACTGACATACTCAAGTAGAACCTATTGAGGAATGACTCATTTACTGGTTATATGTTTGCAGACTGTCACGCTTTGGATAACATTCCATTTGTCCATCTACCAATTTAGTACCAATTAACTACTGGTTTCCCTTGTTATCTCATAACTGTTGTTGCTTTCACATGTACATATATATATAGTTTCCTCATTGTTTCAGTCACCTGATGAAGGAGTAGGAATATACTCTGAAACATCGTGCCCATCACAATAAAGAAGTTGACATCCATACAATTCTTGCCTTTATGTGTATCCCTTCTGAATGCCATTCAAAGACTGTGTGAGTTTAATATTAGTGTGAACAGTGATGGAGACCTGTGACTGATGATGATCATGAGGTGCTACCTGGGATTCACACCCCAGGGTCTCCTTTCACGAAGCAACCTTTACTAAGGTTAACCTTAACTCCTATTCTTTAACATTGTACTAAGGTTACCTTAGTAACTTACGATCACCTTAGTGCTTTGTGAACGGAGGCCCTGGGCGCCGTTGTACAAAGCTATCTTAGCACTAAGGTGACCGTAACTCCCATACCTTAACATATACTTAAGGTAGTCTTAGCGCTAAGGTGACCGTAACTCCCATACCTTAACATATACTTAAGGTAGTCTTAGCGCTAAGGTGACCGTAACTCCCATACCTTAACATAGACTTACGACTAGCATAGCGCTAAGGTTGCTTTGTACAACGGCACCCAGGTCTATAATAATGGCACCTGATGAGAAGCACCTCTGAAGGGTGGTTTCAGCAGTTTACACACCTTGACCACAATGCTCCCCTGTGACCAGGGTCTTGGTCCACTACATGATCACACATCTTAGATGATCGTCCATTCCAGACTTTCACACAGACTTACAACAGGCCTTACTCCCATATTTCAACAACATTACTCTGTGGATCAGAGCCATTGCATTGTGGTAGATGTTAGCTACAAGAGTGTAAGAACTACATGGTCAAAGCCTATGGTGTGTTAAACAGAGAAAGGGTTGTTTTAGTTGGAAATGATACTACCACTATACAGGTGAGTGGCACTAACATCAGGAACAAGTCATACATAATTCAACATGCAGTAATTTGGGATGAGAGTTAATGTAGCCGTCCAAATAGGAAAGAACGGAATGACTTAACATTCTCATCCGCATATTACGACTAGCAATGCCAGTAACAGTGGCAACATCAGTAACAGCAGCAACGTCAGTAACACCAACAGCCCCAGCATGCCAACATCAACATCAAACCTTCAACTGTATCAAGTCCTGGCGTCGTGGAGGGGCCCTGTACGGGTTGGCGGACAATTGGGGGAGGCCCTGATAGGCAGACAGTCATTCAAGAGTACAGAGAAATAATATATATGACAGGAAAATAGTATGAACATTAAACCATCAACACTTGAGAAATAGATGACATAGCTTGATCATGTTGATATAAATATAATCAAGTTGTACTTCCATATGACAGATGAAAGGGTGATTCAGATAAAACAAAAACGCAAGTCTGATGTCTGTGAAATAAGTAAAACATTTTCAATGGTGCTGAGAACACATCACACAGATTAGAGGTGAGGTGAAATTGGGTTTAACGTCGTGCTTGAGAATATTTCGCTCATATGACGACTCACAGATTAGAAAAGGAAACAAGAACAAAATACTTCAGTATGATGGTGATCCGGATGGTGTGAGTGGATTGAAATAACCGTGGCAACTTACCGAGCTGACTTCCCTGGCAAGACTCTGTCGGATGCTGGCGTTCATCTCCAGGCTCTGCCGCAATCTCTAGATTGAAGACAGGAACATGTCGGACATCACACATGACACATACAATGTGTACCTATGAGCATCAACAGACATCTCGCACACCACCATGCAAGATGTCAGACACAACTCCTGACCCTAATGGGTGCCACTGTGAGAGTCGGACGAAACACCTTATTCTAACATGTTCAAGTGTGAGAGTCGGACAACTCCTTATCCGTAATGTCTTGCGGTTTTAGAGTCAGCCAAAAGTCCTTACCCAAACATCTCAGGTCTGCCAGAGTAAGAGTCAGACACAAGTCCTTACCCTAACGTCTGCCAGTGTAAGAGTCAGACACAAGTCTTTACCCTAACGTCTGCCAGAGTAAGAGTCAGACACAAGTCCTTACCCTAACGTCTGCCAGAGTAAGAGTCAGACACGAAGTCCTTACCCTAACGCCTGCCAGAGTAGAGTCAGACACAAGAGTACCCACACATGTCTCCAGAGTAGAGAGTCAGACCCAAATGTCTGCCAGAGTAAGAGTCAGACACAAGTCCTTAACCTAACGTCTGCCTGTGTAAGAGTCAGACACAAGTCCTTACCCTTAAGTCTGCCAGTGTAAGAGTCAGACACAAGTCCTTACCCTAACGTCTGCCAGTGTAAGAGTCAGACACAAGTCCTTACCTCTGCCTAACATCTTCCAGTGTAAGAGTCAGACACAAGTCCTTACCCTAATGTCTGCCAGTGTAAGAGTCAGACACAAGTCCTTACCCTAACGTCTGCCAGTGTAACAGTCAGACACAAGTCCTTACCCTAATGTCTGCCAGAGTAAGAGTCAGACACAAGTCCTTACCCTAACGTCTGCATGTGTAAAAGTCAGACACAAGTCCTTACCCTAACGTCTGCCAGTGTAAGAGTCAGACACAAGTCCTTACCCTAACCCTGCCAACGTCTGCCAGTGGTGTTGTAACAGTCAGACACAAGTCCTTATCCTAACGTCTGCCAGTGTTACGGTCAAACACAAGTCCTTACCCTAACGTCTGCCAGAGTAAGAGTCAGACACAAGTCCTTACCCTAACGTCTGCCAGAGTAAGAGTCAGACACAAGTCCTTACCCTAACGTCTGCCAGTGTAAGTTGTAACAGTCAGACACAAGTCCTTACCCTAACGTCTGCCAGTGTAACAGTCAGACACAAGTCCTTACCCTAACGTCTGCCAGTGTAAGAGTCAGACACAAGTCTTTACCCTAACGTCTGCCAGTGTAAGAGTCAGACACAAGTCCTTACCCTAACATCTGCCAGGGTAAGAGTCAGACACAAGTCCTTACCCTAACGTCTGCCAGAGTAAGAGTCAGACACAAGTCCTTACCCTAACGTCTGCCAGAGTAACAGTCAGACACAAGTCCTTACCCTAACGTCTGCCAGAGTAACAGTCAGACACAAGTCCTTACCCTAACGTCTGCCAGAGTAAGAGTCAGACACAAGTCCTTACCCTAACATCTGCCAGGATAAGAGTCAGACACAAGTCCTTACCCTAACATCTGCCAGAGTAAGAGTCAGACACAAGTCCTTACCCTCACGTCTGCCAGAGTAACAGTCAGACACAAGTGCTTACCCTAACGTCTGCCAGAGTAAGAGTCAGACGGTCATTGAGCTCCTCCTCCTCACGTATCTGGGCTGCCTTGCGTTTCAGGTAGCTCGTTTTGCGACTGCTGCCTGGCCTGCTGCTGCTGCTGGAGGAGGGACGGCTGCTGTCACAGCCACGAGCATCCAGGTCGCTGTCAGAGTCATACCTCTGTTCCACATGAAGCCACATCATTAACACATGTTATCCATTACTTTTATTTACTTTAAGACAAGAAGAGCTTTTTGTATATTGGTTATGCAACTTTTAGTTACGTAACATGATTGTAACAGTTCTGGAATCCAACAACCAGAGCAGCAACCCTTTACTCTCTTTACAACATATACACTATACAGTAACCCACCTGGTCTCTTTCATCTCCAGAGCTACGGTAGTCACCACTGTCGTCCATCTCAAAGTCATCCTCGTAGTTGCCCGTCATAATATCTGATACAGAATCATTCCATCAGCACACACTCATGGTACGGAGTAAATATTCTAACTGTTACGATCAAATTAACAGCACAGGTATGACTAATCAAGGATTACATCTGGACAAAAAGTCTGCGGTTCCTGGTGCTACTAAGGGAGGCAACCCTGCATATTTTATTTTGGTTCCTTCATAAACTGAACTAATTGCTTGCCATTTTTTCGAAATTGGACATCTTTTTCATACTGCAACAGTGAGTTTGGACTATGACATACAGCCTAATGAGGGAAGTTACATTATGACCATAGCTACCACTTTGATGAATATCACAAGCCCATGGCGATAATGGAACAAGGATCATCACTGAGAAAACAAACATTGTCACTTAGGTAACATAATTCTCTGCCGCAAATGATCAAATCAAACTTAAAAAAGCAATGAAAGTGAAGGTCATAGTTTAAGATGAGGTTAAATGTCAACAAAAACATGACCAGTCAACCCCTCTTGATATCTTGCTCTGTAATTGTTCAAACACACAAATATTTTCAAGACTCACTTCGACCTTGACACGAATGTCATGTTGAGTGAATGAGTGAATTTGGTTTCGCACCGCTTTTAGCAAGATTCCAGCAATATCACGGCGGGGGACACCACAGATGGGCTTCACATACTGTACCCATGTGGGGAATTGAACCGGGTCTTCAGCGTGACAAGTGAATGTTTTAACCACTAGGGTACCCCACTGCCCTTGAATGTCATGGTGTATAAAATATTCAAAAATAGTAATAAAGAAATTGCCTATCATAAAACATTCAACTGAAGTCTTGAAAGTCTAAGAAGAAATGCAGTGTACCGTTCTTGAGATACCTTGCTGACAATCTTAACATGCAGGGTAACATGCTGAAATCTTCAAAGTGTCGCTGTGACCTTGAAAATTACGTGAAGGTCACCAAAATCCACTTGGCTCTGTGCATCCCCTAGATGAAGCTTGGTGTCAACTATGACGACAATCCAGCAAACGGTTCTTGAGATATCTCGTAAAGGGTAAAACATTAAAGTCCCCTTGTGACCTTGAAATGAAGGTCAAGGTCACCAAACCTGACTGGGACCTTTCTCATGCTGTATTGAAACTAGGTACAACATATGTAAAGAATCTAGTAAACGGTTCTTAAGATATTCCAATTCGTACATATGTATGGAGCCTAATACTATATTCCCTGCTTCGCACTAAATGCATGGCGGGGGGATAAAAAGACTGCTCTATTTAGTGAATCATGGTGTCATAACATAGCACCATGTCAACTTTTATCAAAATATATGCATACTAAAACCTGCCACGTCTCAACATTATTCCATCTATAACAAACAAAATCTGTAACCTGAGGAAAAGTAAATATGTCCTGGCAGAATGAAATGTGTCCTAGGAGAATTCCAGTTCAACATGAGAAATACCTGACGTGAGAAGTACTTACTTGGTGCCCTGACTTTCCTCTTGTCCCCTGAAGCAGTGGTGATGTCCACTGACCCAACATTCCAGCCTTTCCTGCGAGTCTTGGAGGGAGCAGTGCGAGCTCGCTGCTTCTCTTCCTGAACACGGCGTTCTTCAGCTCCCAGCTCCTTCAGGTCTTGTGCGTTCAAATAGATGTTCCGACGCATCTCTGAAGTAACATCAGCAGCATTCATTACTACAAATACTCACAGACATTTGTTTGACTTGGTCACTCTAATGATGAAACCTTTGAGTTTGACACACTTTACACTGAGTGATTACGTTACCAGCTGATTACAGAATGTAACAACAGAACATGACTACAGAGTGTCAATGTAGAACGCATCTAAAGAATGTGACAACAAAACATGACTACAGAGTGTCAATATAGAACGCATCTAAAGAATGTAACAACAGAACATGACTACAGTGTCAATATAGAAGGCATCTAAAGAATGTAACAACAGAACGTGACTACAGAGTGTCAATATAGAACGCATCTAAAGAATGTAACAACAGAACATGACTACAGAGCGTCAATATAGAACGCATCTAAAGAATGTAACAACAGAACGTGACTACAGAGTGTCAATATAGAACGCATCTAAAGAATGTAACAGAACATGACTACAGAGTATCAAAATAGAACGCATCTAAAGAATGTAACAACAGAATGTGATTACAGAGCGTCAATATAGAACGCATCTAAAGAATGTAACAACAGAACATGACTACAGAGTGTCAATATAGAATGCATCTAAAGAATATAACAACAGAATGTGATTACAGAGCGTCAATATAGAACACATCTAAAGAATGTAACAACAGAACATGACTACAGAGTATCAAAATAGAACGCATCTAAAGAATGTAACAACAGAATGTGATTACAGAGCATGACACTAACTTTTCACTCACTTTACACTGACACATGTTTTTTCCATCCCGTTATCGAAACCTCCTTAAATGGCTGCTCTGATTGTGCCATGACCATCTCCTTGATTGAACTGTTCACACCTACATTGTTTGTCAACCCCTACTGTTGGACACATCCACGTACATTCTTGTGGCACACATTACACCATGTACACATGCATACATGCATACAATGTCTGTTTGACACTAGTCAAACAAATTCTACACTTGAACCAAAAAGGGCAAATGCCATTAGTGGCTTCTACCACCTCTTTTGTGGGCTTATAATAAAAATCAAGGGGACTCTGGGGTCCTTGAAATCCGCTGCAGATTTATGCGAATCAAGGGACCCACTGATCTCAACTGCTAACATTAAGGATATTATAACAGAGATTTCCTAATTCTCCTGCTTAATTTCACTGCATGCTGTCAACTGATGACTGAACATGTCCAGCACATCATCCAGACAGATATTCAGGCATATGTTGTCAACCCACCTCCAGCTGTCTTGGGCAACTTGACTTTGCCGGCACTTTTCCCTGTGGGTGCCACAATGGGGAGGTCTCGCTGGGCGTTGGCGCCATTCACGTACAGAGCGAAACCCTGCTCCTTTCTTTCGATCTGGATCTGGCGGGAGTTCTTCTGACGGAGCTTCTTTATCAACCTGTGTGCACAACATGCAGTTTTACTGGGATGTGATCAATGTGTTTCACAGCATACTTAGACCTCTGGAACCTTTGGATCATGGCATGAACTACATATGAAAACTAAATCTGGGAACAGCATATAAAAGTGATACACAAAAGGGAGACAATTTATGGATGTCAGCTTTATGTCAACAAGTATTTATCCGAAATAGATTTCCATTTGCACGATATGCATGGAAATTAAATGTTAGACGTACAAAGGTATTTATGTGCGTACATGACACGCTTGAAATCTTATATTATGTCGAAATTCATTGAGTTTGAGGCGTACATTACGCCTGTACTCCCCTTATCTGTAGCCCTGTTCAGACACTGTCAAACACACTCAGCCTACATAACCATTCTGTGCCTCCATCCACATCGACTGCGGCTCTCAAGACACTGTGTACTGGAGACTTATTCTGCTCCAGTTCTACTGTTGTAACCTAACATTCTCCTGTTTACCAATTATAACCTATACAGTTTAGCCGTTATAACCTATACAGTTTAGCCGTTATAACCTATAGTTTACCCATTATTACCTGTACAGTTTACCCCTTATAACTTATACAGTTTACCCATTATTACCCATACAGTTTACCCGTTATAACCTATACATTTTACCTGTTATAACCTATACAGTTTACCCATTATAACCTATACAGTTTACCCATTATAACCTATACAGTTTACCCATTATAACCTATACAGTTTACCCATTATAACCTATACAGTTTACCCGTTATAACCTATACAGTTTACCCATTATAACCTATACAGTTTACCCATTATAACCTATACAGTTTACCTGTTATAACCTACACAGTTTACCCATTATAACCTATACAGTTTACCCATTATAACCTATACACTTTAACCCATTATAACCTATACAGTTTACCCATTATAACCTATACAGTTTACCCATTATTTCCTATACAGTTTACCCGTTATAACCTATACAGTTTACCTGTTATAACCTATACAGTTTACCCATTATAACCTATACAGTTTACCCATTATAACCTATACAGTTTACCTGTTATAACCTATAGTTTACCTGTTATAACCTATACAGTTTACCTGTTATAACCTATACAGTTTACCCATTATAACCTATACAGTTTACCCATTATAACCTATACAGTTTACCCATTATAACCTATACAGTTTACCCATTATTACCTGTACAGTTTACCCATTATAACCTATACAGTTTACCCATTATTACCTATACAGTTTACCCGTTATAACCTATAGTTTACCTGTTATAACCTATACAGTTTACCCATTATAACCTATACAGTTTACCCATTATAACCTATACAGTTTACCTGTTATAACCTATAGTTTACCTGTTATAACCTATACAGTTTACCCATTATAACCTATACAGTTTACCCATTATAACCTATACAGTTTACCCGTTATAACCTATACAGTTTACCCGTTATAACCTATAGTTTACCTGTTATAACCTATACAGTTTACCCGTTATAACCTATAGTTTACCCGTTATAACCTATACAGTTTACCTGTTATAACCTATACAGTTTACCTGTTCTTTTCCTGCAGCAGCATCAGGTACTCCTCATGACCGGGAAAGATTTCTTCCCGAACTGCCGGAACCTGAAACAATATACAGCATGATACATGTGCCAGTTGATATTAATCGTCTACTGTACATACAACCAAACTACCACAATGCTGAATATATTAAGACAAATTGGCTGCACAAATTATTTTAAAAAATTACTAATTTGCATCACAACACTTACATCAACAGGCACTTGGACCACTGGATCATCCTTGGTCCATTTCTTCCTGGATTTGCTGGCTGCAATCAAACACAGGAGTCTTAACCTAGGGCAGCTAGTAGTAGTTATATAGTCATGTTTCTTCTACCATGTCTTTTGGTTATAGACTCATAGTATACGAGACTATCATTAAACGGAACAAGAAGGCAATGGTGTGTATGAACTCAACACCACCATCATCACTGGATGCCACACACCAGTAGAGGTTATTCAGAATTAGTTGACATGATGCTAACACTAGAGAGTATCCACTACTGTTTGGAGAAGGGTTCATACAATGGAGAGTACTATAGATATCTGCTGGATATGTATCCCATGTACCTCACTGTATCCTGAACAAGTACCCTAAATAACAGCAGAACACTGGGACACATGCATACTTCATACAAGTATAATCTACCATAGGAAACAGCTGGAACCAAGTAAAAACTGTACTGACTGACAAAAGCTAAAATGGCTACTGTTATGATTGTAGCACCTTATCTTTTTTTCACTGTTGCTTTTAAAAACAGGCAATAAATGAAATAAACTCACAGGTTCACATATAAACACAAATGATTGTGAAATGTTACATAGCCTTAAAACCTTACATTAGAAAGTAGCAACTACTGCAGTTTATATGCCGAAGCTGATAGAGAGCCGCAATTGTACTTGAATGTCTTCTTCTTCTTATCATTATTATGTTTTAGACATGTTAAAAATAAAAAGAAAATGCTGCAGAAAGGTTGGGTGGACTTGGCCAAGTCTGGCTGGTTAGACTAATCATCAGCTCTGGTACAGTTGCCCCCCTTCCCCCTCTACTTGCAGCCCAGACAGTGAAATGGATTTCTCCCAGGAATCTCTGCCCAGATGCACCCACCAAACTTTTCCGGAGTCCCTAACACTGCACCTCAAAAAGTATATATTGAATCTGCGAGGAAAATACTATGTTTCTGAAAAATATGCACATGGGCAAAAATATTGGCCAATGGTGCTCAAATTACACAAATTTTTGTCAAACTTTTAGCATTTGATTTTTCTTTTCAACATTTTCATTCATGTCATTCAATAACTTTTACAAGTATCAGTGACTGTACTTAATTTTGTTTCATGATTTTCAAAAAAAACACTTGTAGACACATTTCTGTGTGACATGAACAATTCTGTTATTAGTGTTAATGGTGTACTGTTTTTGATGACCAATGGGTTATCAGGGCACTTGATTTCAATAAATCAAACCGTGCATTGGAATTCACATGCTTTTATTAGCCAGTGTTTTTTTACATTCCCGGGAGGTAACTCTCTTGCTCTTAGTTGCTAAACAATAATACCGCTACTAGAGTTGTAACACTATATCTGGGTACTCTTCTCGTGTAGAAGTTATGCCTTCTACTGTATACCGCTAATAGTATTAGAGTTGTGACACTGTATCTGGGTACCCTTCTTGTGTAGAAGTTATGCCTTCTACTGTATACCGCTAATAGAGTTGTAACACTATATCTGGGTACCCGTCTCGTGTAGAAGTTATGCCTTCTACTGTATACCGCTAATAGAGTTGTGACACTGTATCTGGGTACCCTTCTCGTGTAGAAGTTATGCCTTCTACTGCAAATGATAAAGGGGTTGTTCAAGAGGTAGGGATGAGGATAGAGGTAGATGAAACCAAAGACGTACCATGCCATCATATGATTCCGTGGTACTTATGTTTCCGTGGTATTTTCCAATGACATAATTTCTCATGAGCCACTCGCCAAATCGCGCCACCTATCGATTGTTTACGTTCATCAGTTGATCGGCACGGGTCTGAACAAAAAATGTTCAGACTTTCATCAATTTGCGTACGTACAGTAATCTACTATTAAAAAACTAATGCAATTTTGATGTCTAGCACGTCATGCATTTTTTGCGCGATCTTTGCAAACATTTTCTATAAACTTACTCAGCTTCAAAGTTTTCCAAACATCGCTCGTCTGCAAGCTGATGTCATCAATAAAAACAATCACGTGACCTAAGGGGGGAGTCCCAGCTCTATTTTTTAAACTATAGAAGCCCGATAGGGTCCATTCTCTTCCCACAGAGGTTGCTCCTGTCATATCTTCCTACGTAACCTCTGTTCTAATACGGCCCTTTCATGGTGTGAGCGTTCAAGACTCGTGATTGGAGGCAATCAGATTTAGTTGTGCAATCAACGACGTTGTTTCAAAAGTGATCATTCGCAAGGCCTCGGTAATTTCCGTATGCTTCGAGAAAACTAAACTTCTTCCCCTGCGCGATGCGCAAACGTTTCTTCTAGACAGAACTCAGTCATGTTATGGCGAATCAGTGGCGTCTCCATCGCCCTCGTTGACAACGGACAAGCTAGCCATTAAACGTCTTGTGTGTAACATCAACACAAGTCCCCGGCAGATGGGGGATATTTGTGGCCCCACATTTGCTTGTGTTAGTCAAGTTGAATCTAAGTCGATGTAACACGTGTTCTGATTGGATAGAAAGAAGGGAGATAATTCATGTTGCGATCTTTTGCCGCTAGGGGATTTTAAGAGAACCGGGAAATATGGCCTTATTAGAACAGAGGTTTGTAGGAAGATATGACAAGTAACCTCTGTGGGAAGAGAATGGACAGGGTCATCTCTTAAGGTTTTTTTTCACTTTTCATTTCACGTATCCCGTATCAACTCTACATATTTTATTAACTGGAAATTTATGCTGAAGAAATGTGACTATTGTGTTAATTCTACAAAATCGTTTACTGTATTAAAATTTATCAACTTTGATAGTACTGTAAACCTACATTGACACTCTCGGATTGGCTGTTGACAACGTGTGAGATTGTGACGTGCTGTGTGCGCCCGTAATTTGATCTGAAGGAAATTCCACGGAAACATATGACGTCACCAGAGTTTGTGCACAATGGCCGCCTGTCGTCCGATACGGACAACAATGAACTTCAGAATGACAAAAGTGTTTTACTGACATTAAATGATACAAAGGTATGTCGTCTAACACTATATTATGTTTATATGACTTGGCAATATGAGCGATCATATTCATAGTAATAAATTTCTTAATACCAGGGAAACCCATGACGCGAGGGTATATATACGTCTTTGATGAAACCTACCCTATCTACAACAACATTCAGCAGGCTGAGCTAGTCACTGCTGCAATAAGCTGTGCTCGATAAACTGCTTTCAAGATTCATGCTAATGTTTTTACTGTTTCAAAGTGATCTGTAAATGGTGTTTAATTAGATTTACACCTGTAGAATTGATGACAAAAGTTTAACGTGCTCGTGCAACACTGAAAAAAAAGAACTTGTGCTAAATGATTAGTAAAAATAAACCTTTAAACGCCAAATACAGCATTATTTCACATAGTGCCTTTCGCAACTACAGAGTAGAAAGGCCCTGGGCGTATATATGTAAGAATTATTTACAAAAATATACATTCGAATATTAGTAGTTAAACGATAAAACAGTTGAAGCGGCACAAACTTCAAATGATCGAAAACCGAACGATCAGCTAAGCAAAAAGTTATTTTTTCTGCACTGCAGTTATTGAGGAAAATAATGAGTAAAGAACTTACTTTCCATCTTATTTTGTCAGGTCAACACACGCGTTACACATATATTTCCATCACATTCGCTAGTTTTTGTGTTTCTAACAAAAGCTCCGCGTGCATGTATGTTGTTGTTGTTGCTGTTATCGTCAGTTTACATTGACATTCCTCCATGAAAATGATGGTTTGCACGCATGCGCAATATCCGGACACTTTCAACATGGCTGCGCCCAGAGTGCGGACGCTGAATCATTGACGCAACATTTCATGATGAAATCTGACTGAAAAATGTAACAAATATTATTGAATTGTGATAGATTAAAATTCGCGAAGTATGTTATGCAAGGAGAAGGTTTTATGGTGAGCATATACGTCTGTCAATCATGAAATCAAATTCCATTAGGTTTGAGGTAAATGAGAGCCTGTAACTGTGTAAGACCTGAGCGTTCACAAGGTTGACAACATATCGACCAAAAGATAATGTCTGTACGGATTTCTATGTCTGAATTGTGTATCATGTTCATCTCTATCTTCGTATTTGTTGGCACTGATTTATTGAATTGTTATTTATTAAGCTATTGTTTTAACAGTTTGGTTTACCCCACTAAACAGAATGAATGTACACAGTCAGTTCTTAAATGGTTGGTGAACATTATAACCTGTACTTCAGCTTGTGAGCCTGGTAGTATTACACTATGTCAATATTCATGAACTGTTTTGTGTGCAGCGCAGACAAGCTGTTCAAGTGTAGACGCCAACAAGACAGATCTGTACCACAGAAAGGTGGCGCCAAAGACTATGCTCCAGATGGATCCTGGCTCCAGGCGAAGCGCCTTGAAGCCTTCCACCAGGAGAGAACTGCAGTATTAGCGGAGCCAAGGGTAGAACGTCTGTAAGTGTTCAGTTGTAGGACAGTGAGGAATTGTATGATAAGGTATGTTTTCGAGTGCTAGAACTATTCCAAGCGTTGATGTGATGAGTGGGGTGAGGTGTAGAGTACTGGTGCCCCAGTTGGTGTTGATGTGATGAGTGGGGTGAGGTGTAGAGTACTGGTGCCCCAGTTGGTGTTGATGTGATGAGTGGGGTGAGGTGTAGAGTACTGATGCCCCAGTTGGTGTTGATGTGATGAGTGGGGTGAGGTGTAGAGTACTGATGCCCCAGTTGGTGTTGATGTGATGAGTGGGGTGAGGTGTAGAGTACTGGTGCCCCAGTTGGTGTTGATGTGATGAGTGGGGTGAGGTGTAGAGTACTGGTGCCCCAGTGAGTGTTGATGTGATGAATGGGGTGAGGTGTGGTGTAGAGTACTGGTGCCCCAGTTGGTGTTGATGTGATGAGTGGGGTGAGGTGTAGAGTACTGGTGCCCCAGTGAGTGTTGATGTGATGAGTGGGGTGAGGTGTAGAGTGTTGGTGCCCCAGTTGATGTGATGATGGGATGAGTGGGGTGGTGAGGTGTAGAGTACTGGTAGAGTACTGATGCCCCAGTTGGATGATGATGAGTGGGGTGAGGTGTAGAGTACTGATGCCCCAGTTGGTGCTGATGTGATGAGTGGGGTGAGGTGTAGAGCACTGATGCCCCAGTTGGTGTTGATGTGATGAGTGGGGTGAGGTGTAGAGTACTGATGCCCCAGTTGGTGATGTGATGTGGGATGAGTGGGGTGAGGTGTAGAGCACTGGTGCCCCAGTGAGGCTTGATGTGATGAGTGGGGTGAGGTGTAGAGTACTGATGCCCCAGTTGGTGCTGATGTGATGAGTTGGGTGAGGTGTAGAGTACTGATGCCCCAGTGGTGCTGATGTGATGAGTGGGGTGAGGTGTAGAGTACTGATGCCCCAGTTGGTGCTGATGTGATGAGTGGGGTGAGGTGTAGAGTACTGGTGCCCCAGTGAGTTGATGTGATGAGTGGGGTGAGGTAGAGCACTGATGCCCCAGTTGGTGCTGATGTGATGAGTGGGGTGAGGTGTAGAGCACTGGTGCCCCAGTGAGCTGATGTGATGAGTGGGGTGAGGTGTAGAGTACTGATGCCCCAGTTGGTGTTGCTGATGTGATGAGTGGGGTGAGGTGTAGAGTACTGATGCCCCAGTGAGCTGATGTGATGAGTGGGGTGAGGTGTAGAGTACTGATGCCCCAGTTGGTGCTGATGTGATGAGTGGGGTGAGGTGTAGAGTACTGGTGCCCCAGTTGGTGCTGATGTGATGAGTGGGGTGAGGTGTAGAGTACTGATGCCCCAGTTGGTGCTGATGTGATGAGGGGTGAGGTGTAGAGTACTGATGCCCCAGTTGGTGTTGCTGATGGGTGAGGTGTGATGAGTGGGTGATGAGGTGTAGAGTACTGGTGCCCCAGTTGGTGTTGATGTGATGAGTGGGGTGAGGGTGTAGAGTACTGGTGCCCCAGTGATGTGATGAGTATGGGGTGAGGTGTGTAGAGTACTGGTGCCCCAGTGGGGTGTTGATGTGATGAGTGGGGTGAGGTGTAGAGTGTTGGTGCCCCAGTTGGTGTTGATGTGATGAGTGGGGTGAGGTGTAGAGTACTGGTGCCCCAGTGAGCGTTGATGTGATGAGTGGGGTGAGGTGTAGAGTACTGATGCCCCAGTTGGTGTTGATGTGATGAGTGGGGTGAGGTGTAGAGTACTGATGCCCCAGTGAGCGTTGATGTGATGAGTGGGGTGAGGTGTAGAGTACTGATGCCCCAGTTGGTGTTGATGTGATGAGTGGGGTGAGGTGTAGAGTACTGATGCCCCAGTTGGTGTTGATGTGATGAGTGGGGTGAGGTGTAGAGTACTGGTGCCCCAGTTGGTGTTGATGTGATGAGTGGGGTGAGGTGTAGAGTACTGATGCCCCAGTTGGTGTTGATGTGATGAGTGGGGTGAGGTGTAGAGTACTGGTGCCCCAGTGAGTGCTGATGATGTGATGAGTGGGGTGAGGTGTAGAGTACTGGTGCCCTAGCTGATGATGTACTGATGATGAGTGGGTGAGGTGTGAGGTGTAGAGTACTGGTGCCCCAGTTGGTGTTGATGTGATGAGTGGGGTGAGGTGTAGAGTACTGGTGCCCCAGTTGGTGTTGATGTGATGAGTGGGGTGAGGTGTAGAGTACTGGTGCCCCAGTTGGTGTTGATGTGATGAGTGGGGTGAGGTGTAGAATACTGGTGCCCCAGTTGGTGTTGATGTGATGAGTGGGGTGAGGTGTAGAGTACTGGTGCCCCAGTTGGTGTTGATGTGATGAGTGGGTGAGGTGTAGAGTGTAGGTGCCCCAGTTGGTGTTGATGTGATATGAAGCATTAGAACACCATGATTGTTATAACTCACTGTGTGGAGGGAGTTGTGAAAAGCCTGTGTACATGATGATCATGATGATAGAGAATGTTTGTGTTGCAGGGGCGGCCTTGTGCAGGGGACATGGGACCCAAACAGGAAACTGGTTCAGTTCAAGAAGGAAATGGTATGTTGTGAAGAACAATAGAGGATTTAAGTGAGAATGTTGATTTGGATGTGTCAATGCTATGTCAAACCTGGGATACAGAGGGTGGCTTCTGTATTTAAAATACCTCTGTTTCATATATACTGAACATCATTGAAAACGCACCACTTAAAAAAGTTCAGATTATGAAAAGCACGTGTAAGGAATTGATATTTTTTGAGTGGATAATAACAGATGGACGACTGACAAAAACAACAACACAGAAAAGACGCTCATTCATTGAAAATGAAATGTTCCACAGTCAGAAAGGATCAAACACACGTGGGGTCAAATCAAAAAGTCAATATCGCGTGTGACCGTCATTTGCATTGACACATGCAGTTCATCGTCTCCTCATTGAGTCAATAAGCGTCCGAATAGAGTTCTTGAGGATGGCATTCCACTTCTGCAGTAGTACAGCCTCAAGTTCCCCGGACGTTTCGCATCTGATGTCGCCGCGAAAGACTGACCAATTTCGTCCCACAAGTGCTCCATGGGGGATACATCTGGCGACTGTGCTGGCCAATGAATAACCTGGATGTGTTGCTGGGCCAGATAATGCATGGAAAGTCTTGTTGTGTGTGCCTGTGCGTTGTCCTGTTGAAAAGTATTGACATCTTGGTGGTGATTGAAGACAGATACGATATGATTCTGAAGAATCTGCTCACGGTAATAAAGGGCATTAACTCTCCCTTTTAAGACATGAAGGCAGTCCTGTAATTGTAATTTATTCCAACCCAGACCATGACACTCCCACCACCCAAAGGTTGTCTGAACCACACACTCATCAGCATAACGTTCACCACGTCTACGCCAAACACGTAATCGGCCGCCAGCATTACATAGATGAAGACATGACTCGTCAATGACTACCACACCTTGCCATTGTTGTAACCTTTACTGAAAATGCCTGCTAGCCCATTGTATACGCTCATTACAATGTCTGTGAGTCAGAATTGGTCCAATGTAAGGATGTCGAGCATGGAGCCCTGTAGAGTGTAAACGGCGTTGCATGTAGTCAGCGCTGATGACCCCCACGTCAACCTTGAACTAGTGCAGCAGTCCTGGCAGTCGGCAGTGTTCAATTTACTGATATGGACACGTCAATATGGCGAAACTGATGGAGCGTCGTAACACGTTGTTGCCAAAGTCTTTGAAGGTCACAGGTGCTGCCTGTCTACTGATGTCGTCTATGAAGCCTAACGATGGTGGAGTGGCCAAGACCAAGTTGTCGAGCAATATCCCTGCTACTGGTGCCAATCTGAATCATGACTAGTGCTCGTTCTCTTTCGTGAGGTGTTAACCTCGGCATCTCTGTCCTCGTTTCAAAATCAATAGTGAAGCAATGAGAATCGGTTCTCATACACCTGCTTTTAATGTCACAGTCAGTATGTTTTCAGAATGAAATTCGCGCTTTTTTCATGGCGTGGCTGCATGTTGATGCATTTTGGAATTAAGAGTCATACTGTGGACAGGAATTTGTTTCTAAAGCATTTTTTCAACTGGACATGCCCTTCGACTTCATGTTAGTTATATTCATTGGTCATTGTCATGCTGAAATCCATCTTGATGAATATATGGAAAATTTTAGACTGGTGCGTTTTCAATGATGTTCAGTATATATCATATATATATATGTATATATATGTCAACTGATAGAAATGCTCATGGTGTCTATCACTGGATTGTCAGGTCCAGACTCGATTATTTACAGACCGCCGCCATGTAGCTGGAGTATTGCTGAGTGTGGTATTAAACAACAAACCAAACAGAATACAAATGATAAGACCCAGTGATCTAGGACACAAGAGTTGTGTCCCTTAGGTAAGGATACCTCACTGATCCATGGTTGTCCATTTCACACTCATGGTTTCTGCTCAGTAGTGAAACTTGAATGATGTTTTTCTTGGACTCAGAAATCATAGACCCAGTCTTGACTCAAGCTGTCCAAGCTCCCTTACCCAACCACATTTTGTAAGGTTCCTAAACTGTATAAAGTGTACAGGTTAAAGGTATAAGTACTCATTCATAACCTTTTAAGAACAAATGAGAATGGCATCAATTCTTTTTCAGAAGAAGTCCTCCTTGGGGTACATATAGGCATAAAATGTCCATTTAAAACCTCTATGGCAGTTGTAGCCATATTTTTCAATAAAATATTTACAAAACAAAAAACTTGTTTATATGTATTTTGACTGCTTCTCAGTCCCCGCTGATAGGCATAGGCATAAGGCGGGCCTACATTGCTTAGCCGATGCAGCTCATGACGATCAAGGTTGTGACATCTGTAAAGCCTTCTCCCCCAAGACGATCAAATCCTGTCATGCGGACTTGGTTTATTACCAGTCTTTACTGCAGGCGAGGCGGGGGGATATTTGGGCCCAAGATCTACCCTCTAAAAACACAAGAAGAAAAGTTCTTCTGCATCCAGCTCCACTTCGGCTGAAGGGGCGGCTAAACGAGCTAGGGTGGCGGATTCAAATCCCAAAGTCACTTCACCCCCTATACCTTCAACTTCTAAGGCTGTGTCTCCTACACCTTCTACCCCTTCTGCACCTTTCACCTTGGATATTATATCAGATTTGTTGCAGCAACAGATGTCATCGGTTAGGTCGCTATTCCCGGACGCGATGTCTGGTTTCCGTAAGGAGATTGGCGTCCGTCTGGGGTCTAGTGATTGTGCCGGTGGATCTGTCAGGGGTTGTCCTAACCCGAGCCTGGGCCATGCCCCCGACGGTGTGCCTAACCCGAGTTTCGGCTCGGGGGATGGCTTCTCCTCGGCCAACGTGTTCAGCTAGAGCCTAGGCTTCAGGTCCAGGTCTCGGCCTGGTCCCGACCCCACCGGTACCGCAGTCATGGGTCCACCGCAGGTATCGGCGTCGCCGATCACTTCAGCAGCTGTGCTTCCAGGTGTGTTACCAGGGAATCCTGTCTCGGCAGGCCCTTCCCACACATGGTTACAAGCCGTGGGTTGGTCAAGCTGGGCACCTCGGCCCTTCTTGATCCTCTTTCACTCTCCTCGGCTCCCTCTTCCGACCCTTCAGAACTTTTGAAGTCTAATCAAAACAAATAGTAAATAATCTACTCGTTACATAAAAGAACCCTGTTAGGATCTAGATCTACTCAGCTATGTGTGAACCAGTGAGGCGTTCGACATTTCAAGACGGAAAACCTCGGCGGCTGTGCTTCCAGGTGTGTTACCAGGGAATCCTGTCTCGGCAGGCCCTTCCCACACTTGGTTACAAGCCATGGGTTGGTCAAGCTGGGCACCTCGGCCCTTCTTGATCCTCTTTCACTCTCCTCGGCTGCCTCTTCCGACCCTTCAGAACTTTCTCTGGAAACAGAGTTTGCTTCTGGAGGATTGTGATGAGAGAGCCATGGAGGAGGAGGGTCGGGAGAGACTGACTTCTCGCTCAGCTCATCCTTGCGTCAGGTTCGGGAGCGTATAGCTTCAGTCCTAGCGCAGGTGGTTGTCCCGTCAGAAGACCCCAACCCTGTGGAGTTTCGCCTCCTTGGTGAGGCGTTTGCTCCGTCACGGGCGCCCGAGACACGTCTCCGCATACTCCCGTCACTGCTTGCAGAGGTGGTCAACCCCCTCCACCTGAGTACGTGTTTCTGTTTCAATCTCCCCGAGCTAGTACCTAGGCGGTACCTAATGGGGGAGGAAGGGCTCTACAGCCCACCAGTGGTGGACGACTGCCTTTTCGCAACAGTCGTCCTGGGTGGGTCTTCGGGGCACGCGTTCTGACTGCTGCCATTCGCCGCCAACGCCCAAGCACTGAAATCGGTGTGCCGGTTGTTTGAGAAGCAGTACCGGAATGTTGTTCAGTTGCTTAAAGGTCACATGCAACGTAAACACAACTTTGCAGATTCTGATACCTTTCGATATGGACCTACAGATGCAAGTTGTCAAAAATGCAAATTCAACTTATAAAGTTGAAAAATAACGCGATGAAACCCAACACCCCCCTCCCAGCTTGTGGTGAAAAGTGGTTTCAACAGCTGTGCTGTGCTGCACTGGGCTGCGCTCATAGCGCATGCACAGTGAATAGGTTTGCGCAGCTTTGAAGCGGGATGTCCGGATTATAATGTCATGAGCAGGAGTAGTCTAATCAAAACAAATAGTAAATAAAAAATATCTACTCGTTACATAAAAGAACCCTGTTAGGATCTAGATCTACTCAGCTATGTGTCAACCAGTGAGGCGTTCGACATTTCAAGACGGAAAACCTTTGCTGGTGGTGAGTACTCGGTGAAGGCTTTGATGTGAGCTATTTTTCTAAAGTTTTGTTGATATTTCACAGGTGCGAGCTTTTTATATGTTATGACAGTAGATTACCGATTTAACTGTTTATATAATTTCATTTGTCTATTTCACCACACGTTCTTACTGAGTCACTTTCTCAGTTCAATACTTTAAAACAATGTCATTATTTAGCATTGACAGAATTTCTAACTTTGATATAGATATGTCTTTGTCACAGACAAAACTCAATGTCTGTTTTATTGACACCTATGTGTTTGCGTGCCTGTCTGCTAATGACAATATGCAATACACAACTTTGATCACTGACCACATGTAGTTTGAACTTAACACCATTCAGTCTATACACCATAAACAAAACACATTGATTTATGGCTCGTGGACCTGAGTTCAGTCTCTGTCACATTATGTAGTTACACAGACAGGCAGGTGTGATACTTGTACACATGACATGTCATGATGTCTGTTGATTGCAAAATGTTATGCACAAAAAAATGAGCATGTATTTACAAAACCCAACATCTCTATATACACATACACAATGAGTCGTGAGGACATCGGCAAATGAACCAGCCAATGAAAGGCTTCGTTACACTTGAGTGTACACCCACACACACCCACTGGGTTCGGTATTCTGGGTGCTTCGTTTTGACTGTACGCTTATAATTTTGTTTATATTTTTTCTCATTATCAGCAATGTATATTATATGTCATGAATAAGTGATAATTGTGTTTTAATTAGGTTTGATTTTTTTGGTTGCATGTAACCTTTAAGGTAGTTATACACTCAGCGCCATCTCTCGGCTCTGCAGAGGCAGCTGGTGGATGTTGGCAGGATGGAGGATGATACCTCATCCGTGACCGTGAGAGGTCCACTCTCATCTGGCACGTGATGCTATATGGTCATCGGCGTGCCTGATGATGAGTGCTGTTATGGGCCTCTGGTGACTCTGGCTCTCTGTTGCGTGCTACTCTCTGGCGACACAACAGGCACTACTGTCGTTACAGTTTCGCATGGGTGCTACCCTGTTTCCCAGAGCGGCGACAGTAGTCAGAGAGGCCGCGGAGGCGGTTAGTTCGTTCAAAGATTCTAAGCCTTGGCTCGAACAACCCTCCACTTTTCACACACGGCCCTCGGTCCTTACCTCGGCACACCCTTCTGCTCCGGCAAAGGCATCTGCCAAGTGGTCTGCCCTGTTGCAGTCACGTAGAGGCAAGGGTAAGGGCAAAGGTAGGGGCAAGGCTGCGGCTCCTCAGCAACCATTTCAGAGGGAGGGGAAGTCAGCCCCGACTTCCCAGTAAGTCTTCCTCGGGTGCCTTTGGAGGACCCAGTGCAACCAGTCTGTGCACTGCCGACCACTGGGATCCAATGCCTTTTGCCCGATGCCCCTTTAGGCGGCCAACTCTCTCTCTTCCTTCCGGAATTGGAGAGGGTCACCACAAATCCCTGGGACCTGTCCACACTCAGGGATGGCCATTTGCCACAGTGGAAGCGAGGCCCCCCCTCCCTTCTCTGGGATCCGTTGCAGGCACTGGCGGCCTCCCGAGAAAAAGCGGAGGCGCTCCCGTGCCGATGTCCAGTCATTACTGGACAAGGCAGCCATCAAGGTCCATTGGTGCAGGAGAAGATGGGATTTTATTCCACGTATTTCCTGGTTATCAAAAAGGACAGAGCGTTCACACCTATTCTACATCTCAAAGGGATGAACGACATGATTCAGGTACCGACTTTCAAGATGGAGACACTGCGTTCAGTGATCTCGTCTGTAGAGGCAGGGGATTCAGGATTGGCTCACATCAATTGACCTCAAGGACGCATACCTTCATGTACCAATGCACCCCGAGTTCAGGAAATACCTCAGTTTTTCCTTTGACGGGAGGTGTTATCAGTTTCTCGTGCTCCCCTTCGGCATCTGCACGGCGCCAAGGGTGTTCAGCAAACTAATGCTTGTGCCAGCTCAGGTTGCCAGGGCACCGGGCAACTTTTGTTACCCGTACCTGGATGACTGGTTACTCAGAGCCACTCGCCACTCACTTGAGTCGAGATGCGACATTTTCAGTGATGAGTATTCTCACCAAGTTGGGTTGGATCATCAATCTCAAGAAATCAGAACTGGTTCCCACCCAGGATCTGGATTTCTTGGGGACGAGGTTCGAGGCATAGTCTCCCGACCGCATCACCAAAGTTCAGGGGGTTGTTTTACAATTCCTCTGGTCCCACGGGGTTCAGCACGGACTTGGATCCAGTTGCTAGGCAATATGGCGGCGACGGTGGACATAGTTTGGCGTACGCGTCTGAGGATGCCACCAATACAGCAGGCCCTAGCGCAGCTGTGGTCTCACTCGCAGAGTTGCGAGACTATTCTTCAGACTCAAGAGTGGCTCATTCCTCATTTGAGGTGGTGGACGGACGTCGGGAATCTCGCCAGGGGTGTACGTTCTCGGTTCAAACGGATGCCTCCCTCACAGGATGGGGCAGTATCAGGCCTTTGGTCCGAGAACGAAGCAAGCCTGCACATCAACGTGCTCGAATTGAGAGCAGTCGGGTTGGTATTCGAACGCTTCCTGGAGCAGTTTCGGGGCTGTGTGGTTTGTCTAGAGATGGACAACCAGACGGCGATGACCTACATCCTGAAGCAAGGCGGTACAGTGTCTCTGTCACTCCTGTCGGAGGCATGGCAGTTTCTGCTATTGTGTGACTAGTTTGACATTCGGGTGATGCCTGTTTATCTGCCGGGGGTAGCCAACGTTTGTGCAGATGCACTCTCACGGCATATACTAGCCCCACACGAGTGGATCATGAGATATTCAGGATTATCTCCCAGTTGTTCGGGTCATTCCAGGTGGATCTGTTTGCTTCTAGGGTGATGAACCAGATTCCAGAGTCATTGCCACCGATGCCTTCCTGCTCGATTGGATGGACAGGGTGTTATGGGCGTTTCTGCCAACTCCCCTGATTCCCAAAGTTCTCTCGCAGCTTGCCACCCAACCAATTTGTGCTACTGGCACCCCTTTGGTCGGCCCAAAGTTGGTTTCCGGTTCTCATCAGGTCTCTGGCTATGCCTCCTGTACTGTTACCCTTTTGACCGGATCTACTATCCCAGAACAGAGAGCCCCACCCAAATCCCAGGATTCAATGGGTGGCTTGGCTACTGTCAGAATCGCCTCCAGGCCAGCGGAATTCCTGCACCAGTTGCAGACAAAATTCTTGCTTCGCGGAGGGATTCGACAAATGTTCAGTATGAGGATAAATGGGCCTGCTATGCGCGCTGGTGTGAAAATAGAGGGATTCTTGATCCCTTTTCTTCGACTTTAGTCGAGGTATGGAGTTCTTACAGTCTCGGTTAGACACCGGCCTAGCCACGTCTACCGTCCGAGGCTACTCCACGGCAATCTCTGCCTTCCACACGGTGTCATCTTAGAACAGCACCCTCTGGACAGAATCCGTCCGACTGTCCGGCGGACTAGTCCCCCGTGGGTCTTGCCAATCGTTCTTGATTGGATGTCCAGTCCTTGCTTTTTGTGATCTGTCGGCTCTCTCCCTCCAGCTGTTAATGTGGAAGGCAGCCATTCTTGTGTTGGTAACATCTGGCAGACGGGTTGGTGACATTCACGTTATGTCAGCAGATCCTGAGCTAACCATTTTTCATAAGGATAGGGTCAGCATTAGGTTGCCAGATTCTTACCGTCCTAAGATCGCAGGCGCCTTTCATGTAATGGCGCCCAGTTCATCCATCATTACCAACTGGTCAAACACTCACATGAGCGTGCTCGGTTTGGCCAGTCAGTTCTCCACAGTGGGCAGTCATCACTCTCTAGCTGAATGAGCTTTCGAGTTACCTCAATTTTGCACATAGTGCTGTGGGGTTTTATCGTCCTTCCCCAAGTTTAGTGGTGGTGGTACTCTTGGTGATGGTATAACCTATTTAATAGACTTTCTAGCGTTGTTGACGCTTTCCTATCCTTTTTACCTCTCGCCACAGTTAGCTGGTTTGGGTAATAAAGGCGGGATTAATTTTGGCATATTCCCATGCATTCATTTCCATTATAATGGTTGGGTGGGTGGGGTTTATGTCGAAGCTGTTGTCAGCCAATCAGCATATAGGCCTAGGCCCTCTATTCTCTGCCCTAGCCATGTCCCCTCCCTGATTGATATCAGCGGTCAGGTGACTAGGTAAGTGTGTTTTTTCTATTTCCGTATCAGTTGTAGAGTTCACTCCACCACAGGTTTAGTTGTTGCCAGACAGAATGACCACTCATGTCTTAGTTATCTTTGGGAGTATGTCTTATGCTTATATGTACCCCAAGGAGGACTTCTTCTGAAAAAGAATCGTACAAACCTGTAGAGGTTCTTGATTCTTTGAAGAAAGTCCTCCTTGGGGTACGACCACCCACCTCCCCGCATTCTGTCTGATACGTTCAGCATGAAAAGTGAGGTATGAGGTAGGTGGCGAGAGTTACCTGCTCTTGGCTGTAGGGGGCGCTGAGGAGTCTTGTAGGGGTGGTCTCAAAAGACAAAAACAAGTTTTTTGTTTTGTAAATATTTTGTTGAAAAATATGGTTCCAACTGCCATAGAATTTTTAAATGGACATTTTATGCCTATATGTACCCCAAGGAGGACTTTCTTCGAAGAATCAAGAACCTCTACAGGTTTGTACGAATAGATTTTACAAATGTCTGTATTTGCAGGGCAAGTTCTGGAGTCATATGGGCTTTGTGGATGAGAGTAGAAAATGGCTGTTTCCTGAAGAAGCTCTCTTTTTGATGGAAACTGTGAGTGCATATGACAGGGTTGATTTGGTATTTGATGGTATTGAAGGGGAGCATGATGGTGTTGAAGGGGCGCATGATGAAGGGGCGCATGATGGTGTTGAAGGAGCGTATGATGGTGTTGAAGGAGCGCATGATGGTGTTGAAGGGGCGTATGATGGTGTTGAAGGAGCCGTATGATGGTGTTGAAGGGCTTAGCATGATGGTGTTGAAGGGCTTATGATGGTGTTGAAGGAGCCGTATGATGGTGTTGAAGGAGCCGCATGATGGTGTTGAAGGGCGTATGATGGTGTTGAAGGAGCGTATGATGGTGTTGAAGGAGCGTATGATGGTGTTGAAGGGGCGCATGATGGTGTTGAAGGAGGCGTATGATGGTGTTGAAGGAGAGTATGATGGTGTTGAAGGGGCGCATGATGGTGTTGAAGGAGCGCATGATGGTGTTGAAGGAGCGTATGATGGTGTTGAAGGGGTGCATGATGGTGTTGAAGGAGCGTATGATGGTGTTGAAGGGGCGTATGATGGTGTTGAAGGAGCGTATGATGGTGTTGAAGGGGCGCATGATGGTGTTGAAGGAGCACATGATAGTGTTGAAGGGGCGTATGATGGTGATGAAGGAGCGCATAATGGTGTTGAAGGGGTGCATAATGGTGTTGAAGGGGTGTATGATGGTGTTGAAGGGGCGTATGATGGTGTTGAAGGGGTGCATAATGGTGTTGAAGGGGTGCATAATGATGTTGAAGAGGTGTATGATGGTTTTGAAGGGGCAACCAATGGTATTATAATGATGTGGCACACAAGTGGTGACACGGCACATGATCGTACTGAAAAGGTGCATAATTTATATTGATGGTGACCATGGTTGTATTGATGAGGCATGTGGTAATGATGGGGGCATTTAAAAGGTATTGATATTGGTTGCAGACTGTCCTGGAGGTGTACTATGGTGGTGTTCCTCTCAGTATCCAAGAAGCATATGTCCGACTCCTGGGAGAGGATGTTTCTGTGGAGGAGTATCAGACATACGCCCACCTGCGGCGACTTGGATACGTTGTGTTGCGACATGTGGGAGGGTGAGCCACTTCCTCACTTTATGTAAGCTGCTACACGTGGGAGGGTGAGCCACTTCCTCACTTTATGTTAGCTGTGACACGTGGGAGGGTGGGCCACTTCCTCACTTCATGTAAGCTACGGCACTTGGGAGGGTAGGCCACTTCCTCACTTTATGTAAGCTGTGACATGTGGGAGGGTGGGCCACTTCCTCATTTTATGTTAGCTGTGACACGTGGGAGGGTGAGTCACTGCCTCAATATATGTAATCTGTGACATTTGGGAGGGTGGGCCACTTCCTCACTTCATGTAAGCTACGGCACTTGGGAGGGTAGGCCACTTCTTCACTTTATGTAAGCTACGGCACTTGGGAGGGTAGGCCACTTCCTCACTTTATGTAAGCTACGGCACTTGGGAGGGTGGGCCACTTCCTCACTTCATGTAAGCTACGGCACTTGGGAGGGTAGGCCACTTCCTCACTTTATGTAAGTTGTGACACATGGGAAGGTGGGCCACTTCCTCATTATATGTTAGCTGTGACATGTGGGAGGGTGGGCTACTTCCTCACTTTATGTAAGTTGTGACACATGGGAAGGTGGGCCACTTCCTCATTCTATGTTAGCTGTGACACGTGGGAGGGTGGGACACTTCCTAACCTAATTTAATCTGTGACATGTGGGAGGTTGAGCCTCTTCCTCACTTTATGTAAGCTGTGACACATTGGAGGGTGAGTCACTGCCTCAATTTATGTAATCTGTGACATTTGGGAGGGTGGCCCACTTCCTCATTCTATGTTAGCTGTAACATGTGGGAGGGAGGGCCACTTCCTCACTTGATGTAAGCTGTGACACGTGGGAGGGTGGGCTACTTCCTCACTTGATGTAAGCTGTGACACGTGGGAGGGAGGGCCACTTCCTCACTTAATGTAAGCTGTGACACGTGGGAGGGTGGGCTACTTCCTCACTTGATGTAAGCTGTGACACGTAGGAGGGTGGGCTAATTCCTCACTTGATGTAAGCTGTGACACGTGGGAGGGTGTGCCACTTCCTCACTTGATGTAAGCTGTGACACGTGGCTGGGTGAGCCACTTCCTCATTTGATGTAAGCTGTGACACGTGGGAGGGTGGGCTACTTCCTCACTTGATGTAAGCTGTGACAGGTGGGAGGGTGGGCCACTTCCTCACATATTGACATTTCAAATCTTTAGTTTTGAATGTGGGCCAAAATTCACATGTACGATGTGGTGTGGGAGAGTAACCTCCCTTGAACCACTGATAACGTGGTTTCACCCTTGTATACTGTGGAAAGGCAAGCATTATATTGAGACAAAAGGTGAATTCTTCAATGTTTTTCTATAGGTCCCAAATCACAGAGTACGAGCGTCAGATTAAACTTGACCAACACGTGAAGGAGTCAAAGAGACGGCTGCACCGAGACAGACAGGAGGAGGTGTTTGCTGTGGACGCGGAGGTCAAGAAACCAAGAATTGACCCACAGCAAGTTGAGATGGACCAGAGTCCAGGAGGTCGGGAGTTGAAATGTGTTGCCATGGATACAGGGTCTGGAAGAGACGCTGAGTATAAAGAATCATCAGATGCTGTGAAGGTGAAGATGGACAGTGGGCAGATGGTTGTAGTGGACAGTGATGTTCAACAAAACAATCACCCGTCATTTGCTAAATTATCAAATCCATGGAATCTACCTCATAAGAGTGAAGGGAAGGTTCCTGTTCGACACAGTGAGTGGGACTTTGAGACCTTTGCTTTCCCCGATATTGGTGACAAGGAAACCGTTGTGCTGAGTATCCCTCTGACAAAGTATCTGCCTGTGAATGTAACCCTCAGTGAGGAATACGAGGACCTGTGTTTGTTTGATGTTACTGAGTATCGACAGCAGGTGTCTCAGTTTGCCCAGCGGAGACGGGAGTCGGACAACTACGTATTTGACTTGAACTTCTCCTACTCTACCTGGGCTCGCAACCGGAAGAACATTGCAGCAGCTAACTGGACAGAATACAAACTAAAGCTGAGGCAATCTCAGTCTGGTAGATCAGTGCCCTCTCCAGTTGATCATCTGTGGCAAGGGGAGGTGACTCCTCTAGTGAAACCAGAAGATGCAACCTCAACCAGTAAGATACAGAACAAATTGTTGCTGTCATTTTTCTAAAGATACCAAACCTATGTATGTACTCATTCTTTTTAAAAAGCTTCCTCTTTGAAAGTGTGGTATTTTGAGAGGTTGTTATGCCTTTATGATGGCTATTATATCTTGCCTCATCACCTCGTCCATATCATCATATCAGGATTATATCTTGTTAGTACACCAGTGTTAGCTTTTGTTCCAGGTAAGTGTTACCGCTTCAGTGTTACCCTATCTGTGTGGTACAAAATATTGTTGTTCCTGCAGGAGATGTGCTGAGTCGGCTACAAGTGATCCACAGTGTGAACCTGCCACAACCAGTCAGGTAACCAAAGGCAACCAAGATTACTCTTGTGAGAAAAAATGATGACACAGAATGCATGCTGCTTGTCTTGGGATAAGACTTTGAAAAAAAATGTGGAAATATAATTGACTGATATATTTTGTGATGGTGTAGTGTTGGTGGATGACAATGTAGAGTTGGCAGATGATGGTTGAGTATATAAATAAGCCTCGGAGCTCAGGTACTGACATGCCCAAAATAAATTGCCTCTCACAGAATGAGAACAGGGGCTGCCATTTACTCAAAGTCAGATGTTATCATTTGTAGAATATTTGAATTTCCAAAATGTACAAAAAGGAACTTATGTGATGTGTTGCAGCAAATCTGACAGACATTCTATGAAAATATCCTTTGATGTCCACCTTCCAAATGCCAGGTTCAAGAAAACTCGGCCTGGGCTACCAAACCACAGAGTCTGTGTTGTCAGGTAGGTCTCCTATGTGTCCATGGTGATGGTTCCTGCCAGGGACTACTCTGTTAGTGTGTGTTGTCAGGTAGGTCTCCTATGTCTCCATGGTGATGGTTCCTGCCAGGGACTCCTCTGTTAGTGTATGTTGTCAGGTAGGTCTCCTATGTCTCCATGGTGACATTTCCTTCCAGGGACTCCTCTGTTAGTGTGTGTTGTCAGGTAGGTCTCCTATGTCTCCATGGTGACATTTCCTGCCAGGGACTCCTCTGTTAGTGTGTGTTGTCAGATAGGTCTCCTATGTCTCCATGGTGATGGTTCCTGCCAGGGACTCCTCTGTTAGTGTTTGTTGTCAGGTAGGTCTCCTATGTCTCCATGGTGACATTTCCTGCCAGGGACTCCTCTGTTAGTGTGTGTTGTCAGGTAGGTCTCCTATGTCTCCATGGTGATGGTTCCTGCCAGGGACTCCTCTAATAGTGTGTGTTGTCAGGTAGGTCTCCTATGTCTCCATGGTGATGGTTCCTGCCAGGGACTCCTCTGTTAGTGTGTGTTGTCAGGTAGGTCTCCTATGTCTCCATGGTGATGGTTCCTGCCAGCTCGTGCCAGGGACTCCTCTGTTAGTGTGTGTTGGCAGGTAGATCTCCTATGGCCCATGTTTGTGAGTTTGTCAGGTAGATCACTATGTTTCCTTTTACTTGTCAAAAAAGAGAGAGGGTGGGAGGTAGAAAAGGAGGGGGTTATGGAAATAGGCTGCACTGTTCATTTGGGAATTGAATGATATGGAGTGTTACATAAAACATCTGTCTGTTTCCTAGGAGTAGCGACCCACCTCCTGCCATGGCTGATATATCGGATGCCGTCACTCGTTACCACGACAACGTGCCAGTCAACTGGGCAGTGGTTGACAATGGTGACATTGCCTTCTACAACATGTCCAGTATGTTGCTTCCTGTTGATGTAATGATGGGATGAAATAAAGCTGAGTTACCTGCCCTTGCTTTCTGTGTCAGTTGTAAGGGATTCCTGGGATGGGTGCTGCACTGTCACCTTCACATGGCCAAAGTTCATAGAAGTGTCCCAGTGGTCATTGCTTGTCACACAGACTTTCCACTAGTATGCAGACATAATGATACTTGGACTACAAACCTCCTCCTTCAGCTCTAGATACCATGTCTACCTGACCACATAGGTTAACTCCATCAGGAGGCTCAGAAGGTAGAGATGTCATCGGTAAAATGACAGCACAGCTTTCTACACAAACACTTCTCCTTAAAAGTGGGCTGAACCATAGTAGTAGTATATCTTTGTAAAATAGGCTTCATGACAAATTCTGTTCTCTGACTGTAAGTATATACTACGAAGATTTTGGTTTTAAGTGTTTAGAGCCAATGTAAATATGTATGCTGAACACAAATTGTTAGTGATCATGAATATTTTGTGGATTTGCCTTCAGTGATCACTGAGCTGTCAATCCTGTGCTGTCAATTTCATAAAACTATCCCCAGATTATTCATGGTCCCAAACTTTTCATCAGAACATGCTACTTTCTTATAACCAAAAATTGTCCTTTGCAACTTACACTGGCTTCCAGGGTAATTGTCTGTCCTGTCAAGAGATGATCCTTCGGTGATGATTTACAATAACTATGTGACTTGCTTACCAGATACATTCGACACATACACATGATCATTATCAAGCTAAACCCACTCCTTATATAACCATGAAAACTCATTGCTATTGTATTTAGTTTGAAAACAAAATTCCACATATAAGAATGGTAACTGTAACATAATTGACTAACATTTAAACAAAAACAAAAATAAAATTTGATAATAGTTTACTTGAAATCTTAGTCACGATATGGCTGAAATACTGCCGATGTGACTTTAAATTTTAACTCACTCACTACTTGCAATCTGAGAGGAATGCACAAAAACGTGAATCTCAATAATGCCAGAAAGTATGGTCACCATGACTCCGCCACTAACTTGCTTGTCACAGTCCTCAACAAATTATAGTTGTGATAGTATGAAGCACTACTGCTGACCACATTGTTACCTCCTCATACTGGCAATTGTCAGCATCAACCTTATGGAGTGTCTGACTCAATTCCTGTAGAGTTTGAACAGATGGATTTATAGCTCAAATGTGGCGTCTATAATGGTCCCAAAGATATTTTCATGGGGTTTATACAGGGCTCCAGGTGGGCAATGGTAGTGTTTCAATGGCGTTCCGAGAATGGTGATGTCATCCATGAATGTCAGACGACCTGGAACGGGATGCTTATCAAAATGTGACACCACAGCCTTATCCAGTACTTCCTGCTGGTAACGTTGACCGTTGAGTGTCCTGCCTGTTATCAAACTGTGGCACCACAGCCTTATCCAGTACTCCCTGCTGGAAACGTTGACCATTGATCGTCCTGGGTATTATCAAAATGTGGCACTACAGCCTTATCCAGTACTTCCTGCTGGTAACGTTGACCGTTGAGTGTCCTGCCTATTATCAAACTGTGGCACCACAGCCTTATCCAGTACTTCCTGCTGGTAACGTTGACCATTGATCGTCCTGGGTATTATCAAAATGTGGCACCACAGCCTTATCCAGTACTTCCTGCTGGTAACGTTGACCACTGAGTGTCCCGGTATTATAATGAGATCCAACGTGCAAAGCAACCCAATACCATCACCAAAAGGTTTAGCTGCACTGATCATCTTCAGGTGAAATCCCTCGTTACGACGTCTTCATACGCTACATAGCCATTCTCAGTTAAAATGTACAATTGCCAGTGGAAATTCGCGGGAAAAAATGTTTCATGTTCGGTAAATTGCATTACTTTTCATGAAGTACAAGCATTAGAGAATCTGTTACTAAATAACTAAATATTCAACACTCAGGCACAGACAATTACCCTGCAACAGCTCTTTATACTACTGTACCCTGAAGTTACAATGAAATTTACGTGACGGCACCCAAGTCACAATCACCTGTTGCCTTTCAAATAGCAATACAATGATATTTTCAAAAACAGTAGAATAAGATAGACAGTTTCACATGTCATATATGTGGTAAAGCAATATGAAAATCCAGGCGTGTACTTTATTTTTTCAGATATTTTATACTTGGTAAGAAAGGAAATGCCATTGTTAAAACCGATACGCATTCTCAATGATAGTGTTAAGACAAAATTGCTGCTTTTCATATTTGATTATGACCTGTCACTGTGATACTGTATTGTCAGGCAATAATCTCACATGCTGGTCCCAACGATCTTAACAGTCATCTGTGTAACAACTCATTCTTTTTTTGAGTGACGTAAATTACAATGTTTCAATAATTTTGATACAAATAAACAATACCAAATGACACAAAAGGTGCAGCTCTTAAATGCTTGTATTTAGAAGGGTTTTTTCCCAAATTGACAGCTACTTAATTAAACCAACAACTTATGGTTAACCTGACGATAAACATTAGACACATAGACCCTGATCAAAATACGACTGTCACGTAAATTACCAGTCAACAATTGCAACTTATATATAAATGGGCATAGGTGATACTATCATAAGACAGGGCCAAAGCAGAACTTTCGAAGAACATTTGACGTATATGAACGTATAAAACATAGAAACTTGTATATGAATAAAAGTGGGTAGCTTAGCATCACTGGTTCGTGTGTTGTACTGGACACACCATTCTCATCAGACATTTCAGTCACTACAGGCTTCATTCTGGTTCATAGTAGCTAGAATGTCTTGTACATTTTCTGCATATTTTCTGACATTTCTTTTTGTATCTTTCTCTACGTTGTTCTTTTTCAGCTCTAGACAGTGTACTGGTCTGCTTATAATACTTTTAACACGTTCCATTTTTTTCCTATTCCATTTGTTTCCCAATTCTGATATTTTCCGTTCTCTGTTTTCTCTTTGTCTCTCTGCTTGAGATTTAGCTATAATATTTTCAATAGATGACCACAATTCAAGCAATAACGTATAGATTCCATGATTTAACATAATGTCACTTTCCAAACAATCCCAAATAAAGTAATGTAATTTACGTTAACAGTTAATATAGGACTTCATAACTGCTTTATTATGAATCGCATGCAATGACATCACTACTTTGAAGAGTATCCCAATAGCCATTTGTTTAAGGATAAAACATCATGTTTTAAAGTATTATCATCATACCAACTGCAGTTTCACAAGTATCATATAAAGAACTACATCAACAAATAATAAAAAACTGAAAATAGTTCTGTTTACATCTTTAAATTTAAATCTCCACTATCCAATCACTGTTTACTGCTTTATCACTTGATAGGAAACCATATGTTTCAATATTCAGCTTACTTTATACACCAGTGATTTATAGAGAAAAGATTAATGTAGAGGCAATGAAAAGTAATGTACGTCACAATTCCTGTAATTTATGTTACATGGCCATGCATGGAAGACAAAGGATGGTTTTCATAAATCATGTCTGAATTATGAAAGTATTTAAACTGATTAATCAAAATACTATCGTAATGTTGCAAAAATGTAACTCGGAATCATTATACAGCATGTGTCAAACAGTACAGTCATCCTTATCATTGAAAAACACTTATTCCACTTCAGGATGAATCAGGAAACTCCGGTTCATCAAAGTTCACATTCGAATGACGTGCTGAAATGACCACTGCTTCCAACGTGTGATTGCATAGGGTATTTGTGGTGCACATTTTCACTTACAAGGAATTTCTGAACATCTATTAAACGTAAATTACAAAACGTAAATTACATCCTTATATTAAATGTCCAGGATGAGGGCAACATTACTCCGTGTTGGTGATTTAATGTTTGGAAATACATACACGATTATGCTATCCATGTAAATGGATTAGGGCCAGCATCGATTCCTGTGAGACTTATTTTACTGTGACCTTCACGCATGATTACATTCTTAAAAAATGGTTTCAATAACTAAAGATAAAGTGGTTTAGTTCGTTCTATTAATTCTCCTTGTTGATCAGGTGACATTTGTTTGTAAGCAATATTGTGTTCGGCATAGAATACAACTCATTTCACTTGTTAAACTTGTTTATATGTTGTAAATGTTATGTACATCAGTTACCACAACGTAAATTACGTTACTTCTACCGACAAAATTAAAACAAAATATTGTCTTTTTGTTTCTTTCTCATCCTTGATTTTTATGTTCTTATATAAAAGCACACTTTGAAATTTTATTATGCTGGTTTATTACATTGACTTGTAATTAAGTAGTATTATCTAGAAGAGAATCGTTGACGGCAATTTGTTTTGCCGACAGCAAGAAAATCATAACCAACTGTAAAGGAACAGTCAGTTTCGAATATTTTCTCAGATGTTTGTGATTATTGTAGTTTACCAAAAATTTCTATTACATTTGACTATTGAATAGTGTCGATTTCATAGGGAAAACGGTTTCACGGTAAGGATAGCGGGGCCTGTAACCAGTCCGACTGAGAATGACTGTACAACGTCCGTCGGTAACGTATAGAAGATGCCGACTCGGCCCAGTGAACCGAACGCCATGTCCTCAAGCTGAGGTTTTCTCGGCACCACGCCAGACGTTGGCTGTATCTATCTGTGAAGAAGGGGCGTCTGATCTGACGACGTACCCGCAGACCAGGAGGTTGGTCTCATAGTCTGCATTGCGTCTTGCTTGACGAATTCCTACTCGACCATCACCGTCAATGGTGTTTATCGGTCATGCAGGTCTTGAAGGATAACTGTGACCAATAACTGTGTTGTTAAAGTTCCAACGACCACCGACATTGCCACAGGACACCCCAACGGCACACATACCAATAAGTTGCCATCGTGTAGTTTCTGAAAGTCCACGTCTGGCTATTATGAAAGCCGAGTAAACCATCCCCCAACCCCCACCCCCGCAGCTGAGACGGACGCCAAGCTTTTCACGCTGAAAACTCACCCGATCCTGGTCGCATTCCGACTGTGCGCATTGTGCACGGACTATTGCGCCACAGAAGTTGATGATGATTATTGTACTTACTACTACTACTACTACTACTACTACTATTACTACTACTACTACTACTACTACTACTACTACTACTACTACTACTACTACTACTACTACTACTTGTGTGTGAGGACCCGTGAAGATCGGGTTAAAATTGATCTTCAGTAACCCATGCTTGTCGTAAGAGGCGACTAACGGGATCGGATGGTCAGGCTCGCTGACTTGGTTAACACATGTCATCGTATCCGAATTGCGTAGATCGATGCCCATGGTGTTGATCACTGGATTGTCTGATCCAGACTCGATTATTTACAGACCGCTGCCATATAGCTGGAATACAGCTGAGTGTGGCGTAAAACTAAACTCACTCACTCACTAACTCACTCACTGTGTGTGAAATATAGCGCCATGAGTAACCATACAGTGTTTGGATATTATAGGCTGACTTGCATGTCATCGTACCGGACGACTGCAAAGGATATCAACCACCTGTTTGTGTAACCCAGACTCAATAATGTACTGGCCGACGTGATATCGCTGGAACATTTTGACTGCGGCGTAAAACAATAATGGCCCAACAATTTCTAATCGAAACATATATTTTAAATTATAGATAATTAATAACACTTTGAAGTGAAGGACGAATGAACTGATCTAATTCTTTTTCCAGACTCACGTGAGGCGTAATGTATTGAAGATCTAGTATCATAGAACCTCGGGTGGTAGGTTTGTCTCGCAGATCGACATGTGTGTGATAATTCGTCGTCACCATGCAGCGCTTGTGTCCCCGTTGAGCTGTCACAATCGATGACACTACCATGTGACGTCATTAACTGTTAAGCCCAAATGACCACTCCCTGACCGTTGTCCAGACACTAACAACACACAGGACGAACACATACAGCAGATTTGTGAAAGGGTTTATTAAACAGTTCTCAACAATCCGTTGTTTCACACAACCTTTCATGAACTCAAGCTCTTTGATAATATCCTTTCTTTCTGTAGAAAACATACAAAGTGACATTGTTATAAAATAAAACCTAACAATAAAAACTAAACTGAAATAAGCAAGATTTGGAAGAGATGTAACAAAAGCGAAAAATTGTATTTGACGTGACCCGCCTGTGCTGGCCAGGATGTTTGTCAGACGATGTCGCAGTGTACGTCTGTGGAGGTCGTGATGCCTCAGTCCCAGCAGCTAATGCGCTTAGTACTGATCCTTCCCGCAGGCAGAACTGGCTTCTCTGTATCAGCATCAGTCACAGATTCAACTTATTGGGGAAATTAAATGAAAACGATCGCACATGTCTGGAGAGTAAATTATAAAGGCTGTGTATGGTTGACACATTCGGCTTATCCGCGATCAGGTACACTAATCGTTTATGAGCGAAACCGAATTTGATTCAAAATTCTAAAAATAATTTAATATAGGCAACACAACTTATTTTAACTGCACACGACACCCTTGTATCCACAATACAACCCAAGGGTGTTTCTGCGAGGTACCAGCATGCCCTCTGATGACCTTGACCATGGATGAGCCGACTACGATATATTGGGTGTAGCATGGGGTTAGACCTACAACAAGGGCATTACGACAATATGGAATCACTTAGAACACTTTTGTTTTTGGATTGCTTACTGTGTCTCAATCTCATGCTTTTTACTTTCTGTTTGTATCGTTGCTTGTCAAAACTGTAGCTATCATTTGGGACGGAGACAGAGTAATCAATCAGTTGGAAGGCATTTGCTTACAGAGTCCATAGACACTTAGTTCACGCGCATCCTGCAAGGTCACGGGGAAGGTCCGAGGACCAATCAGACGCTTGCAGGCCGTCGTACACGATAACTCATCTCGTTTCATTCCTCAGGAAACCGGTGTGTAGATACTTCTATCGGCTCACTCCTTTTCGAATGTCTGGTTGTCGTGACCCGTCACTTCAGCTTTTGTGTCAATGGTTACTGCGTCTTTCTTCTCGCTGTCTGAAGCTTCTTCACTGCTAACCTCGACCTTGGCTGGCGCCGCGGGTTGGCTCCCAGTCGCTGCGGGACTTGGGGCCGCTGCTGCGGGGACGCCGAGAGCGGCAGCACTCTGGGTGATGGAGTAGATATCAGGGAGCTGGGGGGTAGGTGCTCCTGCTGCTGGGGCTGGCACTGAGGCTGGAGCGGGGGCCCCTCCCTCCTGGTTCACCCCGTATTGATAGTACTGCGGGGGCATGTAGGCGAGAGGTACCTGGGGCCGACTTCCTGGTCCGCTGACTGCGACGAAGGCTTGGAGGATGTCACGGATGAGGGCGCCATTAGCTTCCTGACCTGCAAGAACGGTCTCCTGGATGTCGCGGTCCCTGATTCTTTTGCTGTTTCCACGCTGGCTCATTTCGATCGCAGAGTCGCTGATGTTGCTTACGCAGCTGGACATGTCGCTGACGCTGCCACCGTAGGCGTTGCTGTTGGTGCTTCCGGTCTGGCCGGTGTGTTTCCTGTGAGCCATGTTCTGGGCAAGTTCCTTCTCTGTCTGTTGGCAACAGCACAACATCCAGGGGAACAGCTTGTTCAGCGCATCGCGGAACTTAGGATGGCTCAAGGCGTAGATGATGGGGTTGTGCATAGCGGACGCCTTGGCGAACATAACGGGGATCTCGGACACATACGGAGTCACCAGCATCGGGTTGCCGAACTGTGCGATCAGGCCCACCGTGGCGTATGGCATCCAAGACAGCATGAACATGCAGAAGATCATCAGACTGATCTTGGCGATCTTCATCTCGGCGCTGGTCTCGTTCTCGTTCTGTGTGTTGCGGGGGTCGTTGGCGCCCAGTTTCTTGCCCATGTTGGCCATCTCTTTGCCGTGGTTGGAAACTGCCCTGATGATGAATATGTAGCAGAAGAGAATGATGAGGACGGGCACGCAGAAGCCGCAGATGTAGAGGCACATGAAGTAGGAGGTGAAGTGGTCGTTCCTAGTGAGGTAGTCGAAAGTGCAAGATGTCTGGAAGCCCTCTGGGATGTATGCGCCCCAGCCGAAGATTGGTGGGACGGCCCAGATGATGGACCAGATCCACACGCCCACGATCATCAGGAAGGCGCGGCGTTGCGTCATGTTCCTCATGGCGGAGAAGGGACGAGTGATGACGAAATACCGATCAATGGCGATCATAGCTAGCGTGTTGATGGACATCAAGCCGAATATACCACCCGTTAGTCCGTACAGCTCACAGGCTGAGGAGAGAAGAAAGTTAGGATGAGTTAGGATACAAACAAGGTTATAATAAATGGGTTGCCAACAACAGAACTGGGATTCACTCAGTGTACCCCTTTGGGGAATCGAGCCTGACCTAACGACGTGACCATTTAACTACTAGGTTACACCATGTTACACACAGAAACCATGTGTTCCATTGTACGGCCACAGAAACCATGTGTTCCACTGTACGGCCACAGAATCCATGTGTTCGACTGTACGGCCACAGAAACCATGTGTTCGACTGTACGGCCACAGAAGCCATGTGTTCGACTGTACGGCCACAGGAACCATGTGTTCGACTGTACGGCCACAGAAACCATGTGTTGGGCTGTACGGCCACAGAAGCCATGTAATCGACTGTACGGCCACAGAAGCCATGTGTTGGGCTGTATGGCCACAGAAGCCATGTGTTGGGCTGTACGGCCACAGAAGCCATGTGTTCGATTGTACGGCCACAGAAGCCAGGATGAGGCGATGTAAGTCTCCTTCAGATGTGAACATGCCTACCTATTTTTCCGAACATCCATCTCTTGTTGAAGGCGGAGATGGAGAGGAGGGGGAATCCGTTCACTGCCGAGAAGATGAGGTCAGACAACGCCAGGTTGACCACGAACATGTTGGACGGGGTTCTCAATCCCTTGGTCCTAGAGGTCAAAGGCACGTGATCAGCATTTACATCAGTACAGGATGGTCAGTACATTACAGCTAGTTTCCTTGGCAGATAATAGTTGGAAAGGGCATTCGAACCAGGGAGGGGAAAGTAAAAAAATGAAGTCGTAATTTTTGAAAATAGGAACATTAACTAAGAACACAGTCACGAGACACAGAAATAGAATCTTATGAGAGAGAAATTGGTTCGGTGAGCATATTTACTGCAGTTATGTCGGCAATGAAAATGTTGAAATGTCAAATAGAAACATATATTTTAGGTTCCTTTTGTTCAAATAAGCATTACGAAGTTTTAGTTTACAGACATTGTACGTTTTCAATGACCTTATTCCAACTTCATTCAATAGGTCTGAAGTCCGCCTTTAATGTGTTATACCGAAGGATTGCTTTACGTTATCTTCTAACAGACGAACATTCGGGACAAACGAATCACAAATTACAAGATACATACTTGCTGAAGATGTAGATGACGATGAGGTTACCGATGACGCCGGTGATGCCGACAGCGGTGATGTAGACGCCGATGGTGTAGTGCCACACATCAGGGATTGGGGGGAAGCTCTTCCAATGAGGGTGGATAAATATATCCTCCCATGTATCATACAAGTGTGTTACGTTGTCATGGAAACTTGTCGTTCCCTCAACCGCCGTGACTTCTGTTGTCATCGCAGCCATGATGCTTTCCTGAAAAGTATTTCAACCCATCGATCAGCGTCAAGTCATTTGGATGTGACGCTGCAATCAAAAGTATGTCGGTTACGTCACGAGTAAAGCCTATCACGTCTCATGAATTTAGTGACACAACCAAGAATGACAACCAGGGCGGTTCTGGACTTGGAGCCTAACATGAGTGTATCAAGATATGCCCAATGGATGGAACTCGACATGGACTGTCATTACTCTAGATGGGTCTACAACAGTGTTAACACCTGTATACACCAATACCTGTACTATGTGGTGCCTCTCCGGAACTGACTACCTCTATTACGTGTTAGACCCTGTCGCCCCTCACTCATACACCGTCACTAATGCAACAGGACAGGTTTTTCTAAGATTTAACTCACTGCCGGAAGTAACGCACCTGAAGCAATTGAAACACGACAAGAATAAACTCACACGACTAGAATTGATTCACAGGTGAGACACACACCAGGTGAGACACACAGCAGGTGTGCTACCAGGCTTGTGACACAGCGACACTGCCAGATCTCAGTGTTCATCGCCAGTATCTATTCCAGAACTGACATTGCAGTGATATCAACCTGCACGCGATGCCCGTGGCTTTTCCTACCTGCCATAGGTGATCAGTGCTGGAACAATCCGCTTACCGTTACCTTAATCAATAGTGACGTACACAGGGTCATGGACATGCCAGTTATAAAACAAACACTTGTCAAGTGTGAACTTGATAACTCGATTACCGCATGCTTCCACCCACATCCTTTGTATCGAAGTCGTTATCGTATCTTTGTTCTACGCGATATGTATTGGCATCCTGTTTAAGAACTCCCGCGTCATACCGGTGTTCTCACCTGGTACAAATATATCACCATGTGTGCTCAGAAGCTTAGGGCTAAATATGGTTTTGATTTGGTACTGTTTGGGGGTAAAAGACGTACCATTAACTGAATCATTGACATAGGCATCCTGTCTATTGCGCTGTGGTATCCGGAATACCACTTAGCAGGGCTGGGGCGCCAACAAAACAAAGGGGGGTGGCACCCTGTTGACATTAGGTTACTGTTATTGTTGTCATAACGGCGACAGTCATCTCATACAGGCCGGTTATCATCTGCTGGACATACCAGACAGTGGACCTGCGGACAAACGGCGCCTCTTTCACCTGAACCCTGTGGTCTGCAGCCGCCAGTTCGCCTCTACGTTAACACGAAGGAGATCACATGATCAGTAGATGTATAGCCCTCCTGGTCTCCATCAGTTTACATATCGGGAGTCAGTAGCTTCTGATCAAAATGATGTTTGCTATGTTTGTTTAACGGGAACTCAGTGTATTTTTCCTGCTTGTTGACGCTTTGCCTGTCTCCAGCATGGAGGGCGGGATGACACCATTGAGTGAACCCTAAACACGATCGTCTTGACAAGATGTGTTTTAACAGGTTGGTGTTTCATATTATACAAGAAACTTGATTGTTCACAAGCAAATGTTCTTATTTGCTATGAAAACATATCTCCTTCAGAGCAATACGAACCATGCAGAAATATCTACACCCATTCTACCAGAAGATTATCACACTGAAGTGAGTGAGTGAGTTTACTTTTACGCCGCTTTTAGCAATATTCCAGCAATATCACGGCGGGGGACACCAGAAATAGGCTTCACACATTGTACCCATGTGGGGAATCGAACCCGGGACTTCAGCGTGACGAGCTTTAACCATTAGGCTACCCCACCGCCCTTACCAGAAGGATCCATGACCGAGTGTGTAGCTGACGGGACGGATGCACGCTAAATAAACCTGGCTTAAGTCTATACTACTTTTGATCTGCGAAACTGTCATAGTACGCGTTCAAGAAGAATGTGACTGACACGTTTGCTGGTATATCTTCAAGACCACGGCACGGTATGCCGCATGGTGGAATCCATTTCTGCTGTCACAAAGTATACTTATGTGACGCGAGGACATAGGGTGTATCTCTCACATACACTAGCACCATTGCTGGGACCTGGGACTTTGATGGTTGGACAGGAGAAGCCAAGTACAATTGTTCTAATTCAAGAGATATATCACGAAAGTCCGAGTTAAAACAAATGTTCATGATCGGGTAATAGAGACTGTTACCACTCATCATTATTATCTGTGACGTAAACCTTGGCCCGGTGACCTTCAGCACTGGACGCAAGAGGGATGGGGAGAGGCAGGAGGAGGAATGTTTACTCCATACACAGAAAGACCGAGACGTTGAACGTTAAGAAACAATTTTCCCTGCATAAAACATGCCAACCGCTCATGTCTAATTTTCTGTCTGGTCTGTGCGTTAACAAAACTATAAAGTGTTCGGTGGGGGCTGGCTGGTTACCTGACCTCGTCATCTCAATGGGTATTCGAGTTTCGGAATAGTCAGATGGACATACAGAACTGGAGTATTCGAGATTCGGAATAGTCAGATGTCATACAGATCTGGACTATTCGAGTTTCTGGATAGTCAGATGGACATGAGGAACTGGTATTCACGTTAGAGAGTGAATGGTGTTTTACGCCACAATAGTATCATGAAGTTGGCTTACCTATCTGGCTAGATCTCCCTTCTCCCGTCTGTGCTTGTGGTCTGAGCAAATGCCGACAATGGTGTAGCGTCCTTCTTGTCTTATATACCTTTAGCTGAAGAAAGCGCTGTTCAATGGACTTAATTAGGCGGGCTACCCCGTCCCGAGTACTGCTCGCGTGTCGGGACGGCGTTACCCTCAGCTCGATCCCGCCCTCATAAGAGGATTGCCTCGATTCCACTGATCAACACAAATTAATGTCGCAGCCCTCTTCGGCCCCAGGATCCATGCCAAAGTATGAGGCTCGACATGATCTTTATTGAAATACATGTTGTTAATACAAATATTTTACCGGTGATAAATGGAAATGTTTTCTCGTTTCTGTATTGTCTAAGTGAAACTCATGCTCTGATTACCGTATGCGTTCATGTGAAATATATAATTACTGAATTGAATTGCGTATGTTTATTGCAGGATGCTTGTTTAACGCATGCGTAGAGACCCTCAGTAAGGTGAATGTTTACAAACATCCGTGATTAAGGTCAGAGGTTAATTAGGGTGGAAATGTCTATTATTATGTGTCCCAACACACGTGCTAATGGCACACATGGACATATTCTACCAGACCGCCAGAAACGTTTCATACATATATAGTCAAACCTTTGTAATCTAAACGGTATCGTTCTTAGAAATCGTCCAGTTTAACGGGTTTCCGGAAAAAGAAATACGGCGTAATGATAATTTGTACTTGTATGATGGCGGGGTGTCCGAATTAACGGGGGTCCAGACAGATGGGAGACTTTCAAGATGGGAACCACACAGCGTGTTTCTACAGGCGCGTTGTTAGTCTTACATGGGGACATGTTTTATATGAACATTGTTTAAAGTGTCAGTAAAATTAATTATGGGTCTTTTCTCTCATCTGGATACGTTTGTGCGTGCTTTTGAAAAAAATTGTGCGTCCTTTTGAAACAGTTTTGGTTTACGGAGTTCTGTTCCGAAACATTTGACCGGTGCTTGAGATACAGTTCATTTAGACACCTATATATATATATATATATATATATATATATATATATTTATTGGTGAAGTTCGTGAAGTTCAAGGGCGGTGGGGTAGCCAAGTGGTTAAAGCGTTCGCTCGTCACGCCGAAGACTCGGATTCGATTCCCCACATGGGTACAATGTGTGAAGCCAATTTTTGGTGTCCTCCGCCGTGATATTGCTGTAATATTGCTAAAAGCGGCGTAAAAGTAAATTCACTCACTCATGAAGTTCAGCAGTGCACAGTAGTACATTTGGAAATACATCCACAAAATAATGACACAACATGCTTTTCACTTTATCTTCAGGGAGTCCATATATGTTAATGTATATGTTAAATAATATGAGTGAGTGAGTATGGTTAAATGCCGCTTTTAGCAATTTTCCAGTAATATTAGGCGGGGAACACCAGAAATTGGCTTCACACAATGTACTCATGTGAGGAATCGAACCCGGGTCTTCGGCGTGACGAGCCAACGCTTTAACCACCCCTCCACCCCGTTTAATTAGATACCCATTTCATTTTGCAAACTGTGACATAAGTATTCAACATATTACAGCGTTCACGTGACAGTATGGGAACGGTGGAAGAATGACTCCAGAAACATTCATTGGATCTGTTATTGATCATGTGTGAGTGAGTGAATTAGGTTTTACGCCGCGATCATCAATATTCGAGCAATATCACGGGACACCAGAAATGGGCTTCACACATGCCTGCGTGGGGAATCGAAACGTTTTATTGACGTTGTTATATTACAGCATCATCCCTCAGTGACATGTTTACAAATGCATAAAATCGGTGATTTACAATGTGATTAGGTTGTCTGACAAAACATCCACTTGCACAGTTTGAGATCGATTGGATCATTGGATGAAGAGATATTTACAAAAAACCGGGTCCACATGCATTTCATGCCAAACTATAGTCGCCAGTCTTGGAGTAGCCCACTCGGAATGTTTTCTGTACTGGATTCCCCAAGGGGTATCAATCAGACACAGTAAAGGACATCTGTATACCAACATTCATTTAGTACTTCATAGTACTTCACAAACACGTGTTTCCCGACTCTGCATACCTCACAGTGTTGGTGCCATTCAGCTCTACAGACATCGACCAGTACACAGTATATAGTTTAAGGCGGGGAGGATATCCACAAGCACCGAGACATGCTGTTGGCAAAGATTGTAGCCCCATGCTAACGTTACACTGGACCTTTCGTTAATTCAGGGTTAATAGTTGAAGGAGCCTAAAGGCCCTTGGTGGTGGCTACCCGCACATCATCTATGGTACATTTAGGTAATGGTAACAAGGAGGTAGACACAGGTAATGTTAACAAGGAGGTACACACAGGTGATGTTAACAAGGAGGTACAGGCATGGGGTATTGCTAACAAGGAGTTACAGTCAGGTATTGTCAACAAGGAGGTACAGGCAGGTAATGTTAACAAGGAGGTACAAACATGTGTTAATAGCTCAAGGAGCCCAAAGGAACATGAGAAGAGGACAGCTAGTGGCTACGCTCACATCATCTATGGTTCATTGAGGTTATGTTAACAAGGAATGTCAACAAGGGGGTACAAACAGGTAATGTTAACGAGGAGGTACAAGCAGGTAATGCTAACAAGGTACAAACATGTAATGCTAACAAGGAGGTAGAAACAGGTAATGTTAACAAGGACGTACAAACAGGTATTTTGGTATTTGTATTTGTATTGCCTACAGGAGGATAATGTTCATTAGAGCCTGGGGTTTTGAATATCGTTTTCCTATATTTTCAACATACGTTTCATTCATCACATATTGTTCCAGAACATTCAGTGTCATGGTCGGTTACATCGGTCCGTTCTTATCTGGACACTCACTTGTCCACGCGAATGTTGCACATCCGCGTATTGTACAACCGAAGATGGGTCGTCACAGGCAAATATAGGAGATGCTGAATATTTTCATATTCAAATTGCCACCTTAATCATGCCTGGATTAACAATCCCTGGCTTCCACTTGTCCATCTACCAATTAACTACTGGTTTCCCTTGTTATCTCATAACTGTTGTTTTTTGTTTAACATGTACATATATAGCTGTCTGTTCCTAATTGTTTCATTCACCTGACGAAGGAGTAAGAATATACTTCGAAACGTCGTGACCCAATAAAGAAGTTGACATCCATAAAATTCTTGCCTTTATCACATTTATAGAATAAAAACAAAGGCAGCTAAGAACGTCTTATACATTAAAACACATTAAAACATTTTTTGTCGATTACCTAATCATGAATGAGTCTAAGCCCAGGTCTAGTGGTCTGCTGTCACGTAACTTGTCTATAGCCTCACGGTATAGACCACGGAGAAATTCACGGACACAGATGAATATTGTACAAGCCTAGATACACAGCGACGTCAGTAGAGCTGTTGATGCAGCAACTACTGCACCCAGCGTAAACATACACATTGTACACGATGTGGTTGCAGTGAAATGTTTTCAGTCATAACGCCGTCACCCCTAAAAAATAAGTTTCCTGTAAAGCATATGTTTCTGAATAATACCTTAAACTGCATATGATTGCAGAGACTGAATAGAGAGAGAGAGAGAAGAGAGAGAGAGAAGAGAGAGAGAGAGAGAGAGAGAGAGAGAGAGAGAGAGAGAGAGAGAGAGAGAGAGAGAGAGAGAGAGAGAGAGAGAGAGAGAGAGAGCTGTTGTAAGTCCAAGTCCGTGAAGCAACACATCAGGACACTTAAGTGTTGTGTGGTATCCATCGCTATGTTGTGGTCGCTAATGTGGTGTTGATGTTCGTGTGTAGGGTGCGCCGTTACATAACACTACTTACCCCCCTCTCCCCCCAAAGCATCACCCCTCCCCTTAGCTCACTAGTGACACACATCATTCACTGCTACCCTCCCTTACAGAGATAGTTGGTGGGAAGCTTCAGCAACTTCGCTATGTTTCAGAATCAGAGGCAGGCTGTATACGCCAGGCCTACAAACACTGTCATCAAAACGGAATTAGTCCTGTGTTAAACCCCAGTGTAGCATAAGGCATACAGACAAGTACAGACTGTGTCTATGACTGGGACAGGGGATGATGCTAACACCCCCTCTTTCTCTCAGTTTCCATCGCAACATGCATCCTACAGCTTTCATTGCCATCTTGGCCGTGCTGCTGAGTGGTGCGCAGGCTCGGGACGGCGAAGGTAGGTGATGTTCACAACGCTGATGCCGGCTTGGCGTCCATGTCCTGTCTTTGTATCAGTAATCATAATATATTTCTGTAATCACTGCGTTCCGTCACCTGGTATACAAGACAAGCACGAAATCGACGGGAGAATTAAGCCCCATATTAATATTTGTTTTCCACGTTTACTGGCGTGTGTGTATTAGCAAGGCGTTTACATACGAGTCGAGGTCAGTGGACTATCAATACTACCTACTGATCTCCAACATTGCCATGACGAAGATCTTCGTCTTATGTACGTAAGTCCCCAACGACACCACGCCTAGACGGCCAGGTCACTCACTGCCCTTGACCACGCAATAAGCTGCCTTCAGAGCCACATCCTTGGTCAGAGACGTCTTCATGGCGGAACACATTGATGGTAGAAATTAATGATGCTTTTACAAGATCTAGTATTGTGTACACTCAACACACCGTGGATAGATTCATCTGGAAAGTATATGTAGAAATGTAAACTTGACACAGAGACACGTGAGATCTATTTGAATTTGTGAAATAATAGAATTACGACGATACATCTTTGCGAAATGTTTTACCCCTGTACGGATTGCTGAAGATCAGTCCTTCACGGGTAACTTATGTTTGACATTAACGTCATTGAGGTGTGTTTGACATTAACGTCATTGAGGTGTGTTTGCCATTAACGTCATTGAAGTGTGTTTGACATTAACGTCATTGAGATATGTTTGACATTAACGTCATTGAGGTGTGTTTGACATAAACGTCATTGAGATGTGTTTGACATTAACGTCATTGAGGTGTGTTTGACATTAACGTCATTGAGGTGTGTTTGACATTAACGTCATTGAGATGTGTTTGACATTAACGTCATTGAGGTGTGTTTGACATTAACGTCACTGAGGTGTGTTTGACATTAACGTCATTGAAGTGTGTTTGACATTAATGTCATTGAGGTGTGTTTGACATTAACGTCATTGAGGTGTGTTTGACATTAACGTCATTGAGATGTGTTTGACACCAACACCATTGGGTCATATATGACCCAACAATGTTTGATACAGACATACAGGAGAGATCAAAGGTGATGCATATCTTACACAGCTATATTTATAGGTGACAAAAACATAGGTGAGGGAGTATTGTAGATAACCAGAGTCCACAAAGTTTACCCACAATGCCTTTCTTCTGACTAGACTGGAATGACATTCGGTTGGTCGGGGCACGAAGTCCGTACAAGGGGCGTGTGGAGGTCAAGGTCAACGGACGCTGGGGCAGTGTCTGTGACGACGACTGGTCCGTCTACGATGCGGTAGTGGCGTGTCGTCAGCTTGGCTTCAGCGGCCTCGCAAAGGCACAACCTGGAGTAAGTCCTACCCTATGTTCAACCTGGAGTAAGTCCTACCCTATGTTCAACCTGGAGTAAGTCCTACCCTATGTTCAACCTGGAGTAAGTCCTACCCTATGTTCAACCTGGAGTAAGTCCTACCCTATGTTCAACCTGGAGTAAGTCCTACCTTATGTTCAACCTGGAGTAAGTCCTACCCTATGTTCAACCTGGAGTAAGTCCTACTCTATGTTCAACCTGGAGTAAGTCCTACCCTATGTTCAACCCGGAATAAGTCCCACCCTATGTTCAACCTGGAATAAGTCCCACCCTATGTTCAACCTGGAGTAAGTCCTACCCTATGTTCAACCTGGTTGGGTGGATGGTGTGTGTGTGGTGTGTGTGTGTGTGTGTGTGTGTGTGTGTGTGTGTGTGTGTGTGTGTGTGTGTGTGTGTGTGTGTGTGTGTGTGTGTGTGTGTGGTGTGTGTGTGTGTGTGTGAAATGGGAATGGTGTGTGTGGTAAGGGGGGGGGGGGGGAGGTGTTGATATGAGACAAGCGGAAACGATGATATACAAATATAGTCGTTTGGTTACTCCTTTCTCACCATGCCAAGATAGAGCTAGCTGTCTTTATGTTCTTCCTAATTCATCTAATAAAAATAACGTCGCGCCTTTAAAATCAGTACGTCAACGTACTCTCACTGTTAAGATGTTAAGAACACTGAAAGTGTTTATCTATCTCCTCCATACCCTTTCAGTTCAAATGTTCAGTATATGCTGCAAGCATTGCTACTAACCTGAGGTTGGTCTTTATACGGATGTATCGCTATCTATGACAGTGTAGCAGCCTCAAGTTAGCTGATGGGCATATGGTAGAGCTGATGGGCATATAGTGAATAACGAACCCTCTGCTAGCACGTTATTCCTTATTCGAAAAACGAACAACAAATAACGAACCCGCTGCTAACATCCGGGTGCCTGACAGTGTCAGGTATGTGATACATGATGTCAACAACCGGGCGTTCATTAGAACCGATATATATTCCTTACCATTTTCTCTGGTCATTTGCATACGAATGTAACCACACCAATCTCTCCTAGGGGACGTACGGCGAGGGGACCGGCCCCGTCTTCCACACCAAACTCAAGTGCACGGGGAACGAGTCACGCTTGTCCGACTGTCACGGGCAACATGGTATGACATTACTGATTATATTATATATATCACATCCGATTGTCACGGGCAACATGGTATGACATTACTGATTATATTACATATATCACATATCTGCACATTATGAATACACATCAATGCGGGCTGTAGTCAACAATATAACAAGATACATTTGTGAAATAATTCTTTGGAGAAACAGTTCCTTTATAACAACGAGTACGACGTTTTGCCGTAGATACTAACACTGTTATCAAACAGGAACATGGCTCAATCCTGCTTGTTGGTAATACCAACGTCTAAAAAGTAAACACTATAACAGTTATATCCAGACCGTCTACACAGTAGTCAAGGCTTCAGTCGGCAATATGAGATGCTATAACACGACATGAAACACAATAACAGTTATATCCAGACTGTCTACACAGTAGTCAAGGCTTCAGTCGGCAATATGAGTGCTATATCACGATATGAAACACAATAACAGTTATATCCAGACCGTCTACACAGTAGTCAAGGCTTCGGTCCTCAATATGAGAGCTATATCACGACATGAAACACAATAACAGTTATATTCAGACCGTCTACACAATAGTCAAGGCTTCAGTTGGTAATATGAGAGCTATATCACGACATGAAACACAATAACAGCTATATCCCGACCGTCTACACAGTAGTCAAGGCTTCAGTTGTCAATATGAGAGCTATATCACGACATGAAACACAATAACAGTTATATCCCGACCGTCTACACAGTAGTCAAGGCTTCGGTCGTCAATATGAGGGCTATATGACGACATGAAACACAATAACAGTTATATCCCGACCGTCTACACAGTAGTCAAGGCTTCGGTCGTCAATATGAGAGCTATATCACGACATGAAACACAATAACAGTTATATCCCGACCGTCTACACAGTAGTCAAGGCTTCAGTCCTCAATATGAGAGCTATATCACGACATGAAACACAATAACAGTTATATTCAGACCGTCTACACAATAGTCAAGGCTTCAGTCGGTAATATGAGAGCTATATCACGACATGAAACACAATAACAGTTATATCCCGACCGTCTACACAGTAGTCAAGGCTTCAGTTGTCAATATGAGAGCTATATCACGACATGAAACACAATAACAGTTATATCCCGACCGTCTACACAGTAGTCAAGGCTTCGGTCGTCAATATGAGAGCTATATCACGACATGAAACACAATAACAGTTATATCCCGACCGTCTACACAGTAGTCAAGGCTTCGGTCGTCAATATGAGAGCTATATCACGACATGAAACACAATAACAGTTATATCCCGACCGTCTACACAGTAGTCAAGGCTTTGGTCGTCAATATGAGAGCTATATCACGACATGAAACACAATAACAGTTATATCCCGACCGTCTACACAGTAGTCAAGGCTTCAGTCGTCAATATGAGAGCTATATCACGACATGAAACACAATAACAGTTATATCCAGACCGTCTACACAGTAGTAAAGGTTTCAGTCGGCAATATGAGAGCTATATCACGACATGAAACACAATAACAGTTACATCCCGACCGTCTACACAGTAGTCAAGGCTTCGGTCGTCAATATGAGAGCTATATCACGATATGAAACACAATAACAGTTATATCCCGACCGTCTACACAGTAGTCAAGGCTTCGGTCGTCAATATGAGGGCTATATCACGACATGAAACACAATAACAGTTATATCCCGACCGTCTACACAGTAGTCAAGGCTTCGGTCGTCAATATGAGAGCTATATCACGACATGAAACACAATAACAGTTATATCCAGACCGTCTACACAGTAGTCAAGGCTTCCGTCGGCAATATGAGAGCTATAACACGACATGAAACACAATAACAGTTATATCCCGACCGTCTACACAGTAGTCAAGGCTTCAGTCGGCAATATGAAACACAATAACAGTTATATCCAGACCGTCTACACAGTAGTCAAGGCTTCGGTCGGCAATATGAGCTATATCTATAACGACATGAAACACAATAACAGTTATATCCCGACCGTCTACACAGTAGTCAAGGCTTCGGTCGGCAATATGAGAGCTATATCACGACATGAAACACAATAACAGTTATATCCCGACCGTCTACACAGTAGTCAAGGCTTTGGTCGGTCAATATGAGAGCTATATCACGACATGAAACACAATAACAGTTATATCCCGACCGTCTACACAGTAGTCAAGGCTTTGGTCCGGCTATATCGACATGAAACACAATAACACAGTTATATCCCCGACCGTCTACACAGTAGTCAAGGCTTCGGTCGGCAATATGAGAGCTATATAACGACATGAAACACAATAACAGTTATATCCCGACCGTCTACACAGTAGTCAAGGCTTTGGTCGTCAATATGAGAGCTATATCACGACATGAAACACAATAACAGTTATATCCCGACCGTCTACACAGTAGTCAAGGCTTCGGTCGTCAATATGAGAGCTATATCACGACATGAAACACAATAACAGTTATATCCCGACCGTCTACACAGTAGTCAAGGCTTCGGTCGTCAATATGAGAGCTATATCACGACATGAAACACAATAACAGTTATATCCAGACCGTCTACACAGTAGTCAAGGCTTCGGTCGGCAATATGAGAGCTATATCACGACATGAAACACAATAACAGTTATATTCCGACCGTCTACACAGTAGTCAAGGCTTCGGTCGGCAATATGAGAGCTATATCACGACATGAAACACAATAACAGTTATATCCCGACCGTCTACACAGTAGTCAAGGCTTTGGTCGGCAATATGAGAGCTATATCACGACATGAAACACAATAACAGTTATATCCCGACCGTCTACACAGTAGTCAAGGTCGTCAATATGAGAGAGCTATATCACGACATGAAACACAATAACAGTTATATCCCGACCGCAGTATAGGCTTCAGTCGACATCAATATGACACAATAACAGTTATATTATATCCCGACCGTCTACACAGTAGTCAAGGCTTCAGTCGTCAATATGAGAGCTATATCACGACATGAAACACAATAACAGTTATATCCCGACCGTCTACACAGTAGTCAAGGCTTCGGTCGTCAATATGAGAGCTATATCACGACATGAAACACAATAACAGTTATATCCGATCGTCTACACCGAGGCCGTCTAATATGAGAGTAGTCAAGGTTATATCCGACCGTTCACAGTAGTCAAGGCTTCGGTCGTCAATATGAGAGCTATATCACGACATGAAACACAATAACAGTTATATCCCGACCGTCTACTATATCACGACATGAAACACAATAAGTAGTCAAGGCTTAGTCGTCAATATGAGAGAGCTATATCACGACATGAAACACAATAACAGTTATATCCCGACCGTCTACACAGTAGTCAAGGCTTCGGTCGTCAATATGAGAGCTATATCACGACATGAAACACAATAACAGTTATATCCCGACCGTCACACAGTAGTCAAGGCTTCGGTCGGCAATATGAGCGATCACGATGAAACACAATAACAGTTATATCCCGACCGTCTACACAGTAGTCAAGGCTTCAGTCAATAGGCTTAACACGACATCACAATATGAGACCGCTATATCAACTTCATGAAACACAATAACAGTTATATCCCGACCGTCTACACACGTAGTAGTCAAGGCTTCGGTCGGCAATATGACGCTACACGGTAAGGCTTCACGGCAATATGAAACACAATAACAGTTATATCCGACCGTCTACAGTAGTCAGGTAGTCATGAGGCTTCACGTCATCAATATGAGAGCTATATACACGGTACATGAAACACAATAACAGTTATATCCCGACCGTCTACACAGTAGTCAAGGCTTTGGTCGGCAATATGAGAGCTATATCACGACATGAAACACAATACAACAAGTTATATCCCGACCGTCTACACAGTAGTCAAGGCTTTGGTCGGCTTTGGTCGTCAATATGAGAGCTATATCGACGACATGAAACACAATAACAGTTATATCCCGACCGTCTACACAGTAGTCAAGTCGGCAATATGAGAGCTAATCACGGCAGTTATTGGTCCGTCTACACAATAGGCTTTGGTCGTCAGAGCTATATAACGACATGCTATATCACGACATGAAACACAATAACAGTTATATCCCGACCGTCTACACAGTAGTCAAGGCTTTGGTCGTCAATATGAGAGCTATATCACGACATGAAACACAATAACAGTTATATCCCGACCGTCTACACAGTAGTCAAGGCTTTGGTCGGCAATAGGCTATATGACGACATGAAACACAATAACAATATCCCGAGTCAAGGCTTTGGCTATATGAGGAGCTATATGACGACATGAAACACAATAACAGTTATATCCCGACCGTCTACAGTAGTCAAGGCTTTCAGTCGGTATATAAGAGAGCTATATAACGACACGACACGAAACAATAACAGTTATATCCCGACCGTCTACACAGTAGTCAAGGCTTTGGTCGGCAATATGAGAGCTATATCACGACATGAAACACAATAACAGTTATATCCCGACCGTCTACACAGTAGTCAAGGCTTTGGTCGGCAATATGAGAGCTATATCACGACATGAAACACAATAACAGTTATATCCCGACCGTCTACACAGTAGTCAAGGCTTTGGTCGTCAATATGAGAGCTTTGGTCCTCAATATATGACGACATGAAACACAATAACAGTTATATCCCGACCGTCTACACAGTAGTCAAGGCTTCAGTCGGTAATATGAGAGCTATATAACGACATGAAACAATAACAGTTATATCCCGACCGTCTACACAGTAGTCAAGGCTTTGGTCGGCAATATGAGAGCTATATCACGACATGAAACACAATAACAGTTATATCCCGACCGTCTACACAATAGTCAAGGCTTCAGTCGTCAATATGAGCGCTATATCACGACATGAAACCCACAGCCTACACAACTGTTAACATTGCATATTTTCAACCACACGGACCACAATGTTTACGTGGCTCATTCACGCCCGGTAATGTTCATGACGGTGTCTGCAGGTGTATGACATAGAGACACAATTTGTGTTTATTGTCCACAGATCCTGCAGTCATTGACTGTTCTCACCAGGAAGACGCTGGTCTCACCTGCACCACCCCTCAACCCAGGTTAACAGGTATATAGATTATGTCATGTTCACAGGCAGATAGATCACGGCATGTTCAACATGTAGATAAATCACGGCATGTTCAGAGGTAGATAGATGACGTCATGTTCACAGGCAGATAGATCACGGCTGTTCACAGGTAGATAGATCACAGCATGTTCACATGTAGATAAATCACGGCATGTTCAGAGGTAGATAGATGACGTCATGTTCACAGGTAGATAGATCACGGCATGTTCACAGGTAGATAGATCACGGCATGTTCACAGGTAGATAGATCACGGCATGTTCACAGGTAGATAGATTGACGGCATGTTCACAGGTAGATAGATAACGTCATGTTCACAGGTAGATAGATAACGTCATGTTCACAGGTAGATAACGTCATGTTCACAGGTAGATAGATAACGTCATGTTCACAGGTAGATAGATAACGTCATGTAGATCACGTCATGTTCACAGGTAGATAGATGACGTCATGTTCACAGGTAGATAGATGACGTCATGTTCACAGGTAGATAGATGAACGTCATGTTCACACATCATGTTCACAGGTAGATAGATGACGTCATGTTCACAGGTTCACAGGTAGATAGATAACGTTCAAGTTCACAGGTAGATAGATAACGTCATGTTCACAGGTAGATAGATAGATGACGTCATGTTCACGTCAGGTGTTCACAGGTAGATAGATGACGTCAGAGATAACGTAGATAACGTCATGTTCACGGTAGATAGATGACGTCATGTTCGTAGAGGTAGATAGGTAGATGACGTCATCATGTTTCATGTTCACAGGTAGATAGATAACGTCATGTTCACAGGTAGATAGATGACGTCATGTTCACAGGTAGATAGATAACGTCATGTTCACAGGTAGATAGAGATCATGTTCACGTCATGTTCACAGGATAGATAGATAACGTCATGTTCACAGGTAGATAGATGACGTCAACAGGTAGAATAGATGACGTCATGTTCACAGGTAGATAGATGACGTCACGTCATGTTCACAGGTAGATAGATAACGTCATGTTCACAGGTAGATAGATGACGTCATGTTCACAGGTAGATAGATGACGTCATGTTCACAGGTAGATAGATGACGTCATGTTCACAGGTAGATAGATGACGTCATGTTCACAGGTAGATAGATAACGTCATGTTCACAGGTAGATAGATGACGTCATGTTCACAGGTAGATAGATGACGTCATGTTCACAGGTAGATATGTTACGCCATGTTCACAGGTAGATATGTTACGTCATGTTCACAGGTAGATAGATGACGTCATGTTCACAGGTAGATAGATAACGTCATGTTCACAGGTAGATAGATGACGTCATGTTCACAGGTAGATAGATAACATCATGTTCACAGGTAGATAGATAACGTCATGTTCACATGTAGATAGATGACGTCATGTTCACAGGTAGATATGTTACGCCATGTTCACAGGTAGATATGTTACGTCATGTTAACAGGTAGATAGATGACGTCATGTTCAGAGGTAGATATGTTACGCCATGTTCACAGGTAGATATGTTACGCCATGTTCACAGGTAGATAGATGACGTCATGTCCACAGGTAGATAGATCACGTCATGTTCACAGGTAGATAGATAACGTCATGTTCACAGGTAGATATGTTACGTCATGTTCACAGGTAGATAGATGACGTCATGTTCACTGGTAGATATGTTACGCCATGTTCACAGGTAGATATGTTACGCCATGTTCACTGGTAGATAGACTGAGTAAATCCCGAAAACGTGATCATGTTCAGACTTGACGTTTGTTCAAATGTTTACTGATATTCAAGTCATCTTATTGCCCAAGCTTTATACAGTAAGTGAGTGAGTGATGTTAGTTTTACGCCGCACTCAGCAATATCCCAGCTATATGGCGGCGGTCTGTAAATAATCGAGTCTGGACCAGACAATCCAGTGATCAACAGCATGAGCATCGATCTGCGCAATTGAGAACCGATGACATGTGCCAACCAAGTCAGCGAAACTGACCACCCGATCCCGTCTATACAGTATGATGTCAGTCATGTGTCCACTGGGTTAATGGCTCCTCTACTGTGACTGCCAGTCCTCTCTGTATTTCTGTACTGACGTCGATCTGTCTCCATCCTCCAGCCACAAACTGCAGCGCCAACCAGTTCCTGTGTCGGCGGAAGAATACATGCGTGCCGCGGAGGTGGATGTGTGATGGGGACAATGACTGTGACGACAACACCGATGAGTCTGATGTCATGTGCGCATGTCAGTAGTTCTCCTTTTTTGTATATATATATATATGTACTTTTATATATACACTCTCTCAAAAAAGAAACGCAACCCCTGTTTTTTTTGGTAATGTTTATATCAATTTTAACTGGTTATTACATTTGTATTTTTAAAGATAATGCCATGAAATTTGACATGGTGAACCTTAGGTCAGCACGGTATAAGGTAACAGTTAATGCAGGTCAGTATCGAACTCTCAATTTACGCTAGGGGGCGTTGTCTTCAGTATCTCGTTGTAGAGCCAGGAGCTCTAATCACAGCAGTGCACCTCCTCGGAACAGAACGAATCAGACGGCGGATGTTTTCCTGGGGGGATTGCTCTCCACTCTTCCTGGAGTGCTGCGGCCAGTTCAACCAACGTGTGCGGTTGTGGTGTACGTGCACGAACACGACGATCCAGCTGGTCCCACAGATGTTCGATAGGATTGATGTCTGGCGATCTGGAGGTCCACGGCGTCACGTTGGCGTTTGAATTCTGTAGGAATGCCACTGTTGCACGAGCTGTATGAGGGCGGGCATTGTCATGTTGAAACAACTCCCTCTGTTGGTCGATTATCGGCAGAAGATGTGGCTGTAAGACGTCATCAATGTACCGTTGTGCCGTCAAATTGCCACGAATGATGACCAAGTCTGACCGTTGGTTGTAAGACATGGCTCCCCATACCATGATGCTTCCTCCTCCAAATCTGTCGACCTGTCGAACGCAGTTCGGTGCAAAACGTTCATTTGCTCGTCTATAGACACGTTGTCTACCGTCACGTCGTTGAAGAAGAAAACGAGACTCGTCACTAAACCAGACTCTTCTCCAGTTTCTTAGGGTCCATCTCCTTACGTTAGTACACCACCTGAGACGTTGGCGTCGATGTTGGCGTTTCAAGACGGGCCCAACAACTGGTCTTCTTGCACGTAAATTTGCCTCATGTAAACGGTTCCTGATGGTTTGGGCCGATACTCTCCTCAAACCTGGCACCTGTGTTGCAGTGATGGTGGGTGTGGCATGCCGATTACGTAGGTGGCTGAGTCGAATAAAGCGATCCTGAGCGGGTGTGGTGATCCTAGGTCTACCACTCCTGGGACGATCTTCAATTGCATGGAACTGTGTGTAACGATTCCAAAGTCGTGAGATTGTTGTTTTGTGTACGTTTAGATGACGGGCAACTGTTCCAAAGCTTTCCCCGGCCTCAATGCGACCAATGGCAATATTTCGATTTGCTGTACTCAAACGGGGCATTTTCGAACTTGATTTGCAGAGCAAATTATGAGAGAAAAATTACAAACTACGCGTGCTTTTAAAACCCTCTACATGAACTGTGTTTTCAACGATTTGCACGTGCAACAGGCTTTTAGCATTTTGTACATGACAATTTCGCACTTTCTCAAATAACACGGATACAAAGGTCATCATGTGTGAAAATGGTTCCGTTTGGGAGCTTATACTGATCAGATGGGAACGTATTAACAGTATTTTGAAGAAAATTCTAATTTACATTCACCATCTTTATTCTAGAAATGATGTCAGATATTTAGATAGGGGTTGCGTTTCTTTTTTGAGAGAGTGTATGTCATATTTTGTCATCATACAATGCATAAAGGGACATTTAAAGGGTGTTAATTTATTTTCAGCATACGGATTGCAGTTGTTCCTGCAGTTACATACATATTGTCCGGTTATATACATATTGTCCGGTTACATACATATTGTCCGGTTATATACATATTGTCCGGTTACATACAGAGTCCAAAATGTCCAGGCCCAGTGCTTGAACCTGTACACGAACGTCATTGTTGGCGTAACGGCATGGGTATACAATGACTTATAGAAAACGGTCAAATGTAACATTGGGATTATTTGGGATTACTTGTTCTCAGGAAAGTATTGATTCTAGAACTTTTGGTGGTTGAGTCCCATTCGGGAATCGAACCTACACTCTCAGAGTGAAGAACCTAATCGCCATCACAAAAAGTCAACAACACAACCCACTTAACCTGAAAATGGTCTGACAACGTACTTTGTGAACGCCTTTGACAAGAGTGAGTGAGTGAATTTAATTTCACACCGTTTTTAGCAATATTCCAGCAATGTCACGGCTGGGGCCACCAGAAACGGGCTTTACACATTGTACCCATGTGGGGAATCGAACCCGGGCCTTCGGCGTGATCATGAGGAGCGAACGCTTTAACCACTAGGCTACCCCACCGTCCCCTTTGACAAGAGTAAACTGGCATAGCTCCCTCGGCCGAAAGGTATGACTACATAATGCCTTCTAGAAAGTGCTGAAATGTAACATATGTACATACTGTTCTGAGAACGTGTAGCTCCAGATATAACATATGTTTGTATAACGGGATTCATGTATATGGCCGACTGACTCTGTCCTGTAAATGCCTCGGTGTTCAGAGATCTCTATGTCCTCACCCCCAGCTCCGACCGACCTGCTGCTCAGTGTCCACAGTGTACGTTTGGCCGATGGAAACACGCCCTCTAGCGGTCGAGTGGAACTCTATTTCTCTGGAAGTTGGGGCACCGTCTGTGACGACAACTTCGACATGAAAGCCGCAACTGTTGTGTGCATGCAGCTGGGCTACAGGTAAAAGATGGTGGCTACATACGGAGATAGTCAAATAGGACGTGGCTGTTCTTTGTTGGTGGGAATTACCTCTACTTGAACATGCTGCAGCAATGGCAATGTATTTATTGGACATGACGGACATGAATGCGTCCAGCATGATGGACGTTGTTTGAGATAGCCGCGACAAAGATGACTTCAGCTGTTGTAATTTGACCGTGTTTTCGTCGATGTGTCTTGTATATAGTATGAATCAGACAGTAAAACTCGTTCGCTACGTCGCGTTACTTTATTCCATCAGTATATCTATGAGGGTCACATTTACGTGTATTTAGTGTCCAGACATACAGAGTTGACACTGTGTGGAGCTTGGTCTCTATATCTCACGTTAGATATAGCACCAGTTCAGATCCTTGTTCTGTCACGCAGGGCTGCCGAGGCCTACAACACAAGACTTCCGGGCCAGGGCAAGATATGGTTAGACCAGGTCACTTGTCGAGGCACAGAGGCGTCCATCGTCAGCTGCTCTAGGAATCCGTATGTTGACAGTTGCTATAACACAGGCTTAATTAACATGGAGGGTCTGTGGGGTAGCACCATGGCTCTAAGGTTTCACTATCCTGGGTTCGATTCCCCAAGTGGCTACAATATTTGAAGTCCATTTCTGGGATCCACGCCGCCATATTGCTGAATTATTGTTTTAGCTGGACAAACCAGTCACTGGCGGGGAAACAAATGTAAACTTTAGTTTTTCTATTTGCTTGACTGTTGGCGTGACCGATGACGTTTGTATATCTGAGGTTTGGATCACACGACTGTAGCCACAAGGAGGACGTCAGCGTCGTCTGTGCCGACAACAACACCTCCCACCACGACCGTACACCTGTACTCACTACCACCGGATCGCCAAAAGGTAAAGTTACCCAAATGTAGTCCAGCGCATTCTTTGGAAAAAACCATCATGAATTAAAACAGCATTATGTGTGGACATGCGTAGTGTTGGTGCTTCCCTACTTCACTTTACTTTGAAAGTGAAAGACGTCGGCGAAAGTGAGATAAATCCCTCCAGCATTACAAAAGTGTATCAACGAGGAAACGGATTATACTAAAATATAAACTTTGAATGTCTATAGATCACGTGAGGCTGCAAACATATCAATCATGTTTCAACCCGTAGATGTAATGTACAGGAAGTCTACAGGAAGTGTACAGAGACGCACAGGAAGTGACCAGGTGTAATTCTAGACGGTATCACAACTTAATCTTCACTATAATTGCAGTGTGCGGAACGTCGGTATTTACGACGACACTGTTTGACGTACCAGCTGGTCACATGACCAAGAAGGGGGCGTGGCCATGGCAAGCTTCACTGCGCGTGACGACAGACTACAGCCACACACACCACACCTGTAGCGGTGCCCTGATCTCTCCACAGTGGGTCCTCACAGCAGCAGGGTGCTTCAGCAGGTGACCAACACAGCTGCATGAGTTCTTCATGATGATGATGAGGGTGATCTGTATAATGATCTATGAATGGTGACAGCCATCTGAAACTAAATTAAAACTAAATTACAAATCTGAAATGTAACGGAGAGATTTACAGACAATATGCAAACTGGAGTAGTTTCTTCTAAACGTGAGATATAATATGTGCTACTTTGCATAAACATGACGGCACAATGTCTAGTACACCGGTATAAACAACCACTGGTTGCTTTACCGCCACCAACCTTTGAAATCGTGTATATTTGCATTGTCATATTTGGTATCTTCCCATAAGACACACCTCCCAAAAGACAGACCTCTTAAAACAACATATTTTACGGTTGGTTGCATAAGGCTTAATGAAGCTGTACCCTTGATAATAATGGTATGTGCCCAGATAAAAAAGACAGAATTAGGTATTAACTATAGTTTTATCAATTCATGTAATGAATTATGATTTTTAAGTTAAGACATATTGCATCAACAGATTCAACACATATGTACATCAGCATCTATTTGCCAGATCACATTTCCTTATGAATATTATCAAAATAAATAATTTATATACATGTACCTATCAAACATATGAGACCAAGCACCATATTATTTTACATCACATGTCAGATAAGAGCACAGATAACATTTATTAGAAAGTCACTTGAACATCATCAATTTCTCCTTTCACCTTGCTCTTGGCATACAGGTAGCCATCTAGAAGGTTGATCGGAAAAAAATCATGGGAAAATTAACTATACTAAAACATGTTTATGCTGAATTATATGAATACTATTTCACTTTCATCTGCAGTAATAAAAACATCCTGTTCTCCAGTTATTTGCAAAAACTAATTCAACAACATGTCAATAAACTTATTGAGGACCAGCTTGGTATCTTTATGAAATTGTTGATATTATATGTGCACCCGCTACCATACGTGCAGTGTCCATATACACCCACATCTAAATACACAGTGTCCATATACACCCACCTCTAAATACACAGTGTCTACATACGACCGCCTTTATATACACAGTGTCCATATACACCCACATCTAAATACACAGTGTCCATATACACCCACCTCTAAATACACAGTGTCTACATACGACCTCCTTTATATACACAGTGTCCATATACACCTAAATACACAGTGTCTCATATATACACAGTGTCCACATACACCCGCATCTATATACACAGTGTCCATATACACCCACCTCTAAATACACAGTGTCCATATACACCCGCATCTATATACACAGTGTCCATATACACCCACCTCTAAATACACAGTGTCCATATACACCCGCATCTATATACACAGTGACTACATACGACCTCCTTTATATACACAGTGTCCATATACACCCGCATATATATACACAGTGTCTACATACGACCGCCTTTATATTCACAGTGTCCATATACACCCACCTCTAAATACACAGTGTCTACATACGACCGCCTTTATCTACACAGTGTCTACATACGACCGCCTTTATCTACACAGTGTCTACATACGACCGCCTTTATATTCACAGTGTCCATATACACCCACCTCTAAATACACAGTGTCTACATACGACCGCCTTTATCTACACAGTGTCCATATACACCCGCATATATATACACAGTGTCTACATACGACCGCCTTTATCTGCACAGTGTCCATATACACCCACCTCTAAATACACAGTGTCTACATACAACCGCCATTATACACACAGTGTCCATATACACCCACCTCTAAATACACAGTGTCTACATACGACCGCCTTTATCTACACAGTGTCCATATACACCCGCATCTATATACACAGTGTCCATATACACCCACCTCTAAATACACAGTGTCCATATACACCCACCTCTAAATACACAGTGTCTACATACGACCTCCTTCATCTACACAGTGTCCATATACACCCGCATCTAAATACACAGTGTCTACATACGACCGCCTTTATCTACACAGTGTCCATATACACCCGCATATATATACACAGTGTCTACATACGACCGCCTTTATATACACAGTGTCCATATACACCCGCATCTATATACACAGTGTCAACATACGACCGCATCTAAATACACAGTGTCCATATACACCAACCTCTAAATACACAGTGTCTACATACGACCGCCTTTATCTACACAGTGTCCGTATACACTCGCATCTATATACACAGTGTCCATATACACCCACCTCTAAATACACAGTGTCTACATACGACCTCCTTCATCTACACAGTGTCCATATACACCAGCATACATATACACAGTGTCTACATACGACCGCCTTTATATACACAGTGTCCGTATACACCCACCTCTAAATACACAGTGTCTACATACGACCGCCTTTATATACACACTGTCCGTATACACCCACATCTAAATACACAGTGTCTTCATACGACCGCATTTATATACACAGTGTCTACATACGACCGCCTTTATATCCACAGTGTCCGTATACACCCACCTCTAAATACACAGTGTCTTCATACGACCGCCTTTATATCCGCAGTGTCCATATACACCCACCTCTAAATACACAGTGTCTTCATACGACCGCCTTTATATCCACAGTGTCCGTATACACCCACCTCTAAATACACAGTGTCTTCATACGACCGCCTTTATATACACAGTGTCCGTATACACCCGCCGCTACATTCAGTCTATACTCTGCAGGAATGAGAATCCGGCTTCCTGGCGAGTCCGGCTGGGGGAGCATGACATCGATGTGTGGGAACGCACGGAACAGGAGCTGTACGTCTCCAGGGTGTACGTCCATGACGGCTTCAAACCGCAACAATACGGGAACGATCTGGCACTTGTCAAACTGCAACATGCCGTCAGCCTAAACAGCGACTACATCAACACCATCTGTCTACCTGACGACGATGACGACGATGTCGACCCTAAGGACCGATGTGCGACCACTGGCTGGGGGAAACAGAGTGAGTAGTGAGGGCGCCCATGCGTTTGTGCGTCCGTGCGTACGTGTGTGTGTTTGAAGCAGTGGCTGAGTGGGATGGACAGTAGAATTAGTGGGTGGGTGAGTAAGAATGGATGAATGAGTGATACCGTTGTGATACTTCTGTGTCGGGTGTATGTGGAAATCCGGGTGAGAATGGGTCCCCAGGAACGCCCTTCTCGTATGGGGGGACTAAGTGGTAGATTGGGTCAAACGGGATGTCCAGGATTCCGTTCAGCGCTGGGACTGTCGTATGCCCATGTTAAGGTGTGGGGATTGCGATCGCTTTGTACTTCTTACTTCAGGGAAAGGAACATTGCTATCAGTCATAGCAGACTATTTACAGGAATCCGCCATGCCATTTAGTTTAAAGCAACTAATTTATTTTCCACTCCCGCAAGATGGGCAAGGTCACGTGGTCCTGAAGGAGGCGAATACACAAGTAGAAGGCAGCTGGAGATGCAGCGGTTGGTTCCAGGAAACTGTCGGTCCAGGGATCATCTGTGCTGCCTCCAACACTACAGACAAGAGGAGCACGTGTCAGGTGAGCTATGCAATACAGGGGAAGGGATAGTTCCAGGAGAATGTCGGCCCAGGGCTCATCTGAGCTGCTTCCAACACTACATACAAGAGGAGCACGTGTCAGGTATATACTGACGGGGAGGCGAGACAGACGTACAGATAGATATGAGGTTTAAAAGAAGGAATGTTTGAAAATCGCAGTTATCAATATTTTCAAGATATTGTTATTATAAATATCTAAAACTTTGGACCAAGATATTTTTGTACCTTCAATTTAGAAACTAATGATTACGTAAGAATTTACATCATTACTGTTCACTGTTCAGGCCGACACTGGCGCACCATTCGTGTGTTACCGGGCCGGAAGATGGCGACTATTTGGACTGGCGTCGTGGGGAGCCGGATGTGAGCAGCCTGGCGAACCTCGTTTGTACACTCGCGTCAAGTCCTACCTGGCCTGGATCGCTCGTGTGATGGAAACAGACACGAGGAACAATAAAATACCGTGAAGAATTCAGTAGGATTGAAAGCCCTTCATAACACTGTACAGAGCGGATCCACTGAGTGCCTCTCCTTTGTCAGTATCCCCGATCCGCCTCTTATCTATACGAATTCATTAGTTTAATAAAAGGGGTCCGCTTGACTTGAATGTTCTTGATTTTCTACATCTGTGGATTTCCGATCAGACGCTGTCGCAAGAATTGAGTAGTAATAGTGACTTATCAACTGATTGTGTACCATTGTGCACCAGCGGTACCACATGTTGCTCCAGCTTTCAACCACTCGTTTACATGCTGCAATGACAGATAGGCCTAGGCTCCTGACTTTACACAATATGTCCATCAGATGTTGATGCAGCCGAATCCCCCAGGATCAATTCTCATCATTAGTTCAGATATATGTCGTATACTAAAGTGAATGTTTAACAGCCAACCCGCGGGAATTCTGGGTTAGAAGTGTTCATGCCAATGGACCATGTCTAAAGTATAAAATCAATATCAATGTCTGCCGGGCTTAGACATGTGCGTTATATGATTTTATTGAAATCATCTCTGTAAATACGACTAGGCTAGACATTTTTCCGGAGCTAAATTTCATTTAAGCCAGACATAAATTTCATTCAAACCAGAATATCTCAGACACCTCTAATGTCTGAGGAAATTGATCCAAACAGACGGAATATCGATGAGCGTGGCATTAACCAACAAACACACAGACACACACACGCACACACGCACACATAAACACAAACGCATACGCAAACATGCTTGATGTTGATCTATTACTTCGCATCAGTATCCCCCTGTGTGTTAGATTCTGGCCTATACAACCTCACTGCAGAATTTCTGCAGATGTGTATTTAGGTCTGCTACCAGTTCCGTTGGACGTCATGTCATTCATCCTGAATACGATGTCCCGTCATGAGTGGGTCGATCATGAACATGCAGTGCTCAGTAAAGCTGTGGATATCATTGCATATGAAGTCGACATGCTTACCATACAGTGTCGGTCAGGTCACCTGGACATGTCAGGTCGACATACTGAATATATAGTTTAGGAAAGATTTACAGTTAGACATGGTCTGCTTCTAGTGTGGCACAGATGTACAGGTCTGCATGCACATACACATATACTACGGGTCGACATACTGAACATACAGTGTCACACCTAAGACGTACAGTGTCTGATATACAACAGGTCGACATACTGAGCAGACAGTGTCACACCTAAGACTTACAGTGTCTGATATACTACAGGTCGACATACTGAGCAGACAGTGTCACACCTAAGACTTACAGTGTCTGATATACAACAGGTCGACATACTGAGCAGACAGTGTCACACCTAAGACTTACAGTGTCTGATATACAACAGGTCGACATACTGAGCAGACAGTGTCACACCTAAGACTTACAGTGTCTGATATACAACAGGTCGACAGGTCGAGCATACTGAGCACACCTAGGAGTGTCACACCTAGGATACTACAGTGTCCGCACCTGATATACTACAGGTCGACATACTGAGCAGACAGTGTCACACCTAGGACCTACAGTGTCTGATATACAACAGGTCGACATACTGAGCAGACAGTGTCACACCTAAGACTTACAGTGTCTTATATACTACGCGTCGACATACTGAGCAGACAGTGTCACACCTAAGACTTACAGTGTCTGATATACTACGCATCGACATACTGAACATACAGTTTCACACCTAAGACTTACAGTGTCTGATATACTACAGGTCGACATACTGAGCAGACAGTGTCACACCTAAGACTTACAGTGTCTGATATACAACAGGTCGACATACTGAGCAGACAGTGTCACACCTAAGACTTACAGTGTCTGATATACTACAGGTCGACATACTGAGCAGACAGTGTCACACCTAAGACTTCTGATATACAACAGGTGTCTGATATACAACAGGTCGACATACTGAGCAGACAGTGTCACACCTCAGACTTACAGTGTATGATATACTACAGGTCGACATACTGAGCAGACAGTGTCACACCTCAGACTTACAGTGTCTGATAGACTACGGGTCGACATACTGACTAGGCATACAGTGTCTGATATACTACAGGTCGACATACTGAGCATACAGTGTCTGATATACTACAGGTCGACATACTGAGCATATATTGTCCGATAGTTTACACGTTGATAGTTTACGTGTATAATGTTGGACATAAGAACCATGACTGACGAACATTTTGTATTGATAATTTGAGTTTGAGAGTGCAGGGACCGGGGATTATATGATTAAAAAAATGCAAAAAATCTGTAGAAAAATGAGATATTGGCCGGACTGGGTGAATATATATATTAGGAATACTAAATCTCGCGTGTTATACCCCCAGGTCTGTACAGGTTTCAGTCATGCCAGTGAGAACCAAACATCTGCTGACAATCAGCCAAACTTCCGGCATCCTGGTTACAGTTATGGGCGTCTGGTGATAAGGACGCCACTCCTGACCTAGAAGTGTATCTCCCTATCTCTTATCACGGCGTTCCAACATAACACAGTGTCAGTCACCTGAAGCCGACTCTGATGGACATATTAACTTTACTACTCCTGAGTCAGCTGACCACGTGGTCTACAGGCTTCTTGCTGGGTACGTGACAATGCATATGTATACCTATGTCTCACACAATCACGCCTGCTACCCATACATGTCGCCATGGAATTCATTTCGGTAAGCATTGTGGGCTAGTGTTAAAACAGTACAGGACAGACACCGTCTTGTACTGGGCGACTCTGTGAGCCTACAGGTGGTATGGTGTGTTGATAGACAACAATGTCATTGGGGCTGTAAAACTCGTTGACAGATACTGAGCGGGTCATACATCCTAAGTTTACTGAACTACGGTAGTTCTTGTAAGAACACTGTCTTATACACAGGGCGGTGCAGAGAAGAGTGCCGACCACTATACTGACATATCGTCTCACATTTCTAGACTGTCTCGGGAACGAGGTGAAGTGTGGTGGGTCTGGGCGATGTGTGCCTCACGTCAAAGTCTGCGATGGCAACAACGACTGTGCAGATGGCGAGGACGAGCGTGGCTGTTCAATGACCGGTGGGCAAGATTCCTAGATGACCTGTAGACAAGCCAATGTTGCTTTTATGATGAACATTAATACCATTTTGTAGCTCCTGGTCTTGTTTGAAATGAATAAGGAGGAGGGAAGATAAGGACCCTTTGGTCTACAGGAAATGTAAAAAATATAAATAGTGGAAAACGTTGTAATGGTATCATAGGTGATCAGATTGTCTGCAACTCGCCACTTTCTTCTTTACCAAAGTTAGAAGTTCCACATTTGTGAAACAGGACTATGTTACCAACTTCAACAATGGGGGCCAAGTATTTTATAGCAATGACAGTAATGAAACGCTACCTGAAAACACCACATCAGGTGTACATTTACTCATTTAAGGTTTTCCGTTCACATTAAATGTCGTTATAAGTACATTACGAGCCGATTTGTCTATTTCTCGGAGATGCAAACACATTTGATAACCGACACAACAATGACTGATTTAACATACATTTCCAATACATTGACGGTGACAAAGTTAAGAGGATGTATTTATAACAATTTCTGTTTACTCCAGGTTATGGAAGTGTTATCAATAATTGTGTTTACTTTGTAGAACAATGTAGGAAATGTTTAGATCGTGTAGGTCCTGTAAGTCAACATGTTGTAGAAGATGGAGGAATGTATTCTCTGAGCAGACATCCAGGACATAGAGGTCGTGGTTTCTTTGTTACTTGTTGAACCTACGTTAGTGTTGTCTCTGTAGATATTGTATAAGCTCTATGTCGAATCTATGCACAGTAGGACCGAGAGACAACAGAGTAAGAGCTGTGTCTAGAAGTCCGTTACGCCGGCATCTTGCAGCTGTAGATTGTGTGTCTACTGACTGCCTTGGTGTTCACCAGATATATCGGGGTGCAGCTGTAGACTGTGTGTCTACTGACTGCCTTGGTGTTCACCAGTAATATCGGGGTGCAGCTGTAGACTGTGTGTCTACTGACTGCCTTGGTGTTCACCAGTAATATCGGGGTGCAGCTGTAGATTGTGTATACTGACTGACCGCCTTGGTGTTCACCAGTAATATCGGGGGTGCAGCTGTAGACTGTGTGTCTACTGACTGCCTTGGTGTTCACCAGTAATATCGGGGTGCAGCTGTAGATTGGGTGTCTACTGACTGCCTTGGTTCACCAGTAATATCGGGGTGCAGCTGTAGACTGTGTGTCTACTGACTGCCTTGGTGTTCACCAGTAATATCGGGGTGCAGCTGTAGACTGTGTGTCTACTGACTGCCTTGGTGTTCACCAGTAATATCGGGGTGCAGCGGGGTGTCTACTGACCTGCCTTGGTTCACCAGTAATATCGGGGGTGCAGCTGTAGACTGTGTGTCTACTGACTGCCTTGGTGTTCACCAGTAATATCGGGGTGCAGCTGTAGACTGTGTGTCTACTGACTGCCTTGGTGTTCACCAGTAATATCGGGGTGCAGCTGTAGACTGTGTGTCTACTGACTGCCTTGGTTCACCAGTAATATCGGGGTGCAGCTGTAGACTGTGTGTCTACTGACTGCCTTGGTTCACCAGTAATATCGGGGTGCAGCTGTAAATCGTGTGTCTACTGACCTGCCTTGGTTCACCAGTAATATCGGGGTGCAGCTGTAGACTGTGTGTCTACTGACTGCCTTGGTTCATCAATAATATCGGGGTGCAGCTGTAGACTGTGTGTCTACTGACCGCCTTGGTTCACCAGTAATATCGGGGTGCAGCTGTAAATCGTGTGTCTACTGACTGCCTTGGTTCACCAGTAATATCGGGGGTGCAGCTGTAGACTGTTCGTCTACTGACTGCCTTGGTTCACCTGTAATATCGGGGTGCAGCTGTAGACTGTGTGTCTAATGACTGCCTTGGTTCACCAGTAATATCGGGGTGCAGCTGTAGACTGTGTGTCTACTGACTGCCTTGGTGTTCACCAGTAATATCGGGGTGCAGCTGTAGACTGTGTGTCTACTGACTGCCTTGGTTCACCAGTAATATCGGGGTGCAGCTGTAGACTGTGTGTCTACTGACTGCCTTGGTTCACCAGTAATATCGGGGTGCAGCTGTAGATTGTTTGTCTAATGACTGCCTTGGTTCACCAGTAATATCGGGGTGCGGAGACGCAGGTATATACGACACCCCTCACGGCTTCCTGCACAGCATCAACTACCCGGCTGCATACAACGACGACATCGACTGCTGGTGGGACCTGTACACTCCGAACGGCACTGTGAGTAACACAATAATGGAGCTATCGCTTGTCCTCGTGTTGTCACCGTGTCTCCTTGTATGACCGGCAGTGTTGTACCTAGACTAACGCTTAGTCCCTGAATATATATAATTTTGATAGCAACAAATAAGCCCATTTAAATTTTAAAAGGAGCCCCAGGGAGACCAGAGATTTGTAACCCGACCTCCAAAGTGAGTTAGTTTCTTGCAGATGTTAACAGACCCTGAACCTGAGGAAATCTAGACTTGCTTTACTTAGGGCTTCAGCACTGGAGATAGGGCTTGGAAGTAGGGAAAATAATGTGGTTCAGGGACTGTGAGACAGACTAGATTGTAGCAAACTCCACGGAAAGACAGATAGCTCTACTTAACATATTTCCCATATTTACAATGTCGAGGGTCGATCAAAAACCAAATAGGAAATCTCGCTTGAACAATTTACACATGCTGATATTTGATGTGTATAAAATCAGATTTGACCTTTGTGTACACATATTTGACAAACGCCGTACTCGTGTGTGTGATAGTGGGGTGTAAGAGACACACACTTGACTAATATTGTACACGTGTAGTTAATTATTGGTTTTAGGGGACAACTACTTGACTAATATTGTACACGTGTGTGTGTGTGTGAAGTTCGGTGTAAATACACACACTTGGCTATTGTACACGTTTAAGAGAGTATTGGGGTGTAAGGGACGTTTACTTAACCGATATTGTACACGTGTGTTTGCGATAGCTTGGTGAAAGAGACACGTAGATAACTAGCATAGCATGTAGATGAATGTGTGGTGTAATACTCACATATTTCACCGATACTATACTCCTTTGACTAATGTTATATATGTGTTCATGTTTGATTATCTTTCCCGTAGCATCTGGAATTATTCTTCACCGGCGTCTTCAGCATCGAACCTGATCCCCATGGTTACTGTCGCTATGACTACGTGACCATACGTGATGTCACAAACAGTAAAGAGCTAGGTAACAGTGGCCATGTCACCGATGTAGGTGTTTGAAGCGCCAGTCAATCTAACAAGCCCGGGTCGCACAGGCTTATTCCATCATGACTGCAGTCAATCTATTTCCATGAACCGAATAGAACACATTATATATATTAATTGCTACTTCCTCATATTCACCTAGTCATCAGTATATCTTAATGTCAACATCCCAGGTCAGTTTTGCGGAAATACCCGACCCAGCAACATCACCGTCGACGGAAAGCACGTGCGAGTGAAGTTTCATAGCGACAAATCTCATAACTTCACTGGGTTCCAACTCGAATGGCAACGGGTGCAGTCAGGTCAGATCTTGTTTACATCTCGTTTACATCTCGTTTACATACCCCGTGTTGTTTGACGTGAAGACTGATACAAGTGGAGAAATATATGTAACCATGTAGATCTGATTAATTACACAAAGATTATAACGGAAAGTGCATGATTCCTTTCCAAATTATGAATAAAGACGCTTGACAATGCTTGTATCAAATTATTGTTACAAATAGCGTCTATCAAGTGTAATCGATTTACTTGTTCCCTTTCGCGTTTCATACAGTTGCAACCACTACCCCGGCGGTGGACATCATACAATCCGCTGGGTATAGCAACACGTCGTCATGCGCTCACGACGTCGTCCTCACCTCACGCTCTGGTTACATCCTCTCACCCGACTTCAACCTCCACCACAACTACCCACCGCAGCTACACTGTGCCTGGACCATCAGGGCTGAACAGGGAGCATTCATTGTGCTAGACTTCATGTTCTTTGAGGTGGAGTTCACTGATCGCTGCAACGCCGATGCTGTGACAGTGTACGACGGCGTTGACGACAATAGCACCGTCATCAGTGTACTATGCGGGAAGACGCTGCCAGGAGAGCTACTCTCCTCATCTAATCACCTTCATGTGACCTTCACAACAGACAAGGGTATTGAAGGTCATGGATTCAAGATTAAATACACTGTCATCGGAAAGGGTAAGCTACGTTTGTTGAGTACAATTAAAAGGGCACCTTCATTTACTCGTTATAAGCAAAAACAGTGATAACATAATGGTTTGGTGAGCATTAATGAAAACTTCACATCACATATTCTCACTCACACTCAAAGGTAATGGAGATTTTCGGCTACAAACTTTTAGATGACTTTGTTTGAACCTGGGTAAGTGCTTGTGTCAATGCTTGAAGAAATGTCAGCCAATCAAATGCGGCGGATAAATAACCCTCAACTCCCTGAGAAATACGATGGTTTCATTAGTGTGGGATATGTTCTGCTGTGCTTTCAGACACGACAACGTCTCCCGTACCCACGACACCACCGCCTGGATGTAGGGGCACGACGTTGTCCGTCACAGGCTATCAGAGTGGAGTTCTCACATCACCCTGGTTCGATGGTGCACACTCCTACGTCCCCCATCTCGACTGCCGCTGGGTGATACAAGCACCCCCGGGCCAGGTTGTCACAATGCACTTTAACCAGTTCGAGGTGGAATTCTCAGCAAACTGCAGTTACGATGCCCTGGTTATATACGACGGAAGTAACACAACCTCCAGCCTACTGGGTAATTTGTGTGGGATCCGCAAACCACATGACCTGACGTCTAGCGGAAGTGACGTATTTCTGACCTTCACCTCAGATGATGCAGTTGGCGGAATTGGATTCAACATCACTTATACAGTCCATGATCCTATACGTACGTTAAGATTTCATCTAGAAGTTTATAGAGTACTCAAGTTGGTTATCGTTATCCTGAGGTTTTGGACTGACTACAAAGGGGCGTCGGCATATCAGAGCAAACAGACCCACGTTACTTGTGTGAATCCGTTCGTCATAAGAGATCCAATGTTAGAACCACGACCATACGTTCTATGTCTTGACACTATCTTAAAATCGTATTTCGAAATGTGAAGTGTGACCAATACCAGATAATCCTGAACCGTGTTGTATGCTGGAACAAACCCATAGTACCTAATCGGAGTGGCCTCCGTTACTTCCATTTTCATTTTCAATCACCATCTACGAGTTGATACTTGAGCTTTGATCTGATGCTTGTATCGTCTCTCCTCGGCTCCAGCAACGTGTTCCGGTTTCACCTGTTCCGACGGCTCCTGCGTCTCCAACACCGTGGTCTGTGACGGTAAGCCGGACTGCAACGATGGAAGCGAGGAGCTCGTGTGTGGTGAGTGTATAAAACGCCTAGCAACAAGATGATATACTTGTGAAACAACATGTTATATTAGTAGGTGGAAGATTGCAAAGAGATGTTGAAATCTCTGGTCTTACTCTAAAAACCTGACACATCCTGGCCAAAACATCAGTGCCGTAATATACCCGTGTGTTGAAAGGGAGAGTGAGATACAGGTTGTGATTAGTACATGGGAGACATTGACACATTGTATCATTTTTACAGCGGACAGTCTCACCTGTGGGCGACCAGTTATCTCCCCTGATTTGGATTCCCACCGTATCGTGGGCGGGAAGGCGGCGGTTGCGGGAAGTTGGCCGTGGCAGACATCGTTGCAGGAGATGAGCGTTCATCAGTGTGGAGGGAGCATTATCCACCCTATGTGGGTCCTCACAGCGGCCCACTGTTTCCAAAAGTACGAATTTGAATCCTGGTGATATATACTCGGCACAAGAAATAAGGGAATTCCCAAGTGAAATTTATAGTTGAAACAATGCTACATAACAGTTGCAAGCTGATTGCATTCGAACCCAGATCGGAAATCACTTACGGCTGACAATACTATATTACCTTTACATGATACACGTGCATCATGCACCACACGTGCATTCTAGCCTATAAAACTTGTGAGCGTGTCCCACTATCTCTTGAATAAATGCCAGCTCGACAGTACCTGACAAACGCACAGAAATGGCAGGTCATTGGCATGATAGAGGGTGGACAATCTCAGAATAGTGTTGCCCGGTTCTTCAGGAAGTCCAAAAGCGTCATTTCAAGTCTCATCAACCTCTACCACGAGACAGGGAGATTTAGAATGAAGACCGGTCGAGGATAACGCCCTAAAACCACCCCCAGACAAGACGACTTCCTGAGAACTATAGCTCTGAGGAATCGATTTGTCACAGCCCCAGATTTGAAGATGGAATTCTTGAGAGCCACAGGAACACGGATTTCGAACTCTGCTGTACGAAACAGGCTCCGTAGCAGAGGTCTTAAGTCAAGACGTCCATTCAAAGGCGTGCCGATGACAGCTAACCACAGACGTCTTCGTTATCAGTGAGCTCAGCAACGTCAGAGGAAGGGAAACCGGCAATGGCGACATGTGATGTTTAGTGATGAATCCCGCTTTCGTTTGCAATTCACGGATGGACGATTGCGTGTGTGGCGACGCCGAAGAGAGCGTTATGGGAGACCCACGGTACAGGAACACGATTCTTATGGAGGCGGCTCTATCATTGTCTGGTTAGGAATCTCTTTCAATAGGAGGACTGATTTGATTCTTGTACGGGGTAATTTGACAGGCCAGCGGTATACGGACGAGATCTTACGGCCACACGTCGTTCCAATGGCTCACAGGGCAGGTCGAAATTTCGTGTTTCAGGACGATAATGCACGTCCTCACAGAGCTCGTGTTGCCGTGAACGTCTGGCAACAACAAGGTGTTACAACTTTACCCTGGCCGGCTAAACCACCAGATCTATCCCCTATCAAACATCTGTGGGATGTGTTTGGGCGTCGAGTGCGTCTCAGGGAGCCTGCACCAGCAGATCTTGATGTGTTAGGTAGAGCATGCAGCAAGAGTGGCACTTGATTCCAAGGGCGACAATTCAGCGGTTGGTGTCCAGCATGCCTGCAAGGTGTCGTGCATGTATTGCTGCTCATGGTGGACACAATCTGACATACTTGCCGTACGGTTGTGCTGATTAAATTATACATGCTTCACAAAGTCAAGGGGTTCCTTTATTTTTTGTGCCTAGTATACATTATGCAGAGTTGTGTCCCTTTGTTTCCCCAGTATTCTATGATCGTCGGATGGAGTCACAGATTCACTCAGGCCTTTCTTTTACAACAAGCTGGTATATGTGATGTAACTTGATAATTCTATGAAAAGGGACACTCGCACGGTCTCACATAACCCCATTTCGTATTTCCTGAGGAATTCATTTTACCCACTGTGACATAACTGGAAACTGGCCCACTGTTCACTCTCTGCTGTTATATGCCACACCTCGTGTTCAGTTCACTGTTTCCCAGATGTATAGCAACTGTTGTCTCTGTTGTAGTCCAGATGACGCAAGTGATTGGACAGCGGTTGCCGGGAGACAGCGTCTCCAAGGGAACGAGTCAACAGAACAGATTCGCCAAGCGGAGGCTATTTACGTCAACGACGACTACGACGTGTACACCTCAGTCGCAGACATCGCCCTCGTCAAACTGGACGCACCCTTCAACGTGACGTCGCACGTGCAGCCTGCGTGTCTTCCACTACAAGCAGCACGTGTTGGGGCCGTGTGCTACGTCACCGGGTGGGGAGAAACACGAAGTAAGTTGCCATGGTAATGCCACTCACTCATTCACCCTTTGAATATATGCCAGGCACCGTACCCACACACCATGGGATGTTGATCCACCCGTCTCTAATTGATTTGTCTGGCCCAGACACATTGCAGAACAGAACAGAACAGAAATTTATTTTAGTTAGAGGCCTCCGGCCCAAAATAATAAATTGATGGTTAATTAGAGCACATATGTATTTCATTTAGATTTGTGTTTCTTGTCAACAAAGTATAAAAATAGACATACATCCTTGATGATATTAACATTTTTACAGACACATTGCCGTGAGAGTAGTCCAAGTGGCGTAAGTTGTTGCCTCTCAGTAAGTCTATTTACTCTCAGACCAGATTGTGGTCTGTTGCGTCATTCGTCTTATCTCCCTTGGTCGACAGCATGATCTGACCTCCGATGTGGAGTTGACACGCAGTTATATAAGCGAAACTCTTCTCAAAGACGCCTTCAGTTTACTCCGTTTCAAAAGGAAAACCTGTCATTCTGAACGTGTGTTCGTCCCGAGAGTAGCCATATATCAGGCAGAGGCAGGTGCGTGACAAACCATGACGTCCTACCTGTAACAACGTGCATGTCGGTCTACTCTTACTTGTACGTTCACCTCCAGACACGTGTTGTGAGAACGAGCTGAAGCAGGCGGCCGTCCCGGTGTTGCCGACATCCACGTGCAACAGAAATGACTGGTACCACAATGAGATCTACGACGACATGTTCTGCGCCGGGTACACACAGGGCGGTACTGACGCCTGCCACGTAAGATCCAAACAGTTCTCGTTCATTACGCGTGTCCAGTGTCTTCATGTTTTGTCGCCATTCATTGTTCATGTGGGAAGCGCGTCTTCGTTGCTCACTTTCGGAGTTCACGTTAATTGTTTCTGAATATGGTACCGGTACATTGTTAACGCTCAATCTTTACTCTCAGTTTTCATCATTCATTGTTTCCTTGGTACGATGCTTGTAGAGTACTGCAATCTTACCGAATTTGAAGACATTCTGTCTCATTTTTGTCTTACGTCCTGAATGAAATTCAAGGTGTTGCCATGAGAGAATGTTGCAGAGAAGTTGGTTGAAGTAGTGAGGGAGTAGACGAGTGATATTTGATGGCAACACATAGAAATGATATCGGGGCACAACAACTGCTGGGATTCAGACAGCTTTGGTTTGAGATGATGCTTTACTTGACGCCGGATGTCCAGGCCACGGGCAGTGTTTTAATGACAAGTGAGTTCTAACGTACAACTCACATGACCAACATGTGGCAGGTGGGTGGCTTGCACTGTCCGTTGTGATGTTTTACAGGGGGATTCCGGGGGACCTCTAGTGTGTTACCAGGCCGGCAGGTGGCAGCAGGAGGGCATCACGTCGTGGGGGGCCGGCTGTGCAGGCAAGTCTACTAACTGTTCTGATGTCTACAATACAAATGGTCCTTTACTCCCGGTTTACTTGTGACTGTTGTGAGCGATACAGTACCGACATGAGGGCACTGTCGCTAAAACTCCCAGGTGCATTGTTTGAACAGCGCTGCTAGAAGTATTTCAATAGATTAATCTGTTGCAGACCCGAAGAACCCTGGCGTGTATGTCCGCGTGTATAACTACACCCGCTGGATCCAGGAGACGATAGCATCTCACATCTCCAGCTGACGACCGGCGGATGTCCAGCTGCCACTGCGGCTCGTTGTGTAAGGCGATCGTATAGTCCCGGCCGCTGTAAATAGAATCACCAAATATAGCTAATAATAACTGACATGGACAGAGGCACCGGTGTTAATACTGTTTATGTGAAACAATCTATTCCGGAGGAAAGGGAGTAAAGTATAACTTACATTGATGACAAATGTTGTAAAGTGCGCTTTTTTTTAGAAATATTTGGATTATTTTCTGAACGACAGACATCATTACTGAAATGTTTAGCACCGACAGAGTGAGTGAGTTAAAATGTATTGTCACATCCGCACTATTTCGGCCATGTCGAGACTAAAACGGGTCATACATTAACATGCGTCATGTTAAAGTATAAAATCTGGCGTCAAAGGACTTCAAACGACTAGAATATCACAATTAGAGATTTATAACAAGCATGTGAGGATAGGAATATTTACATGACTACAATACAATACAATAAAAGAATACAAACAACAAAAAGGTGTATAGATCGCCAGCAACTGAAGGTATATAGATCGCCATGCTCGGGACCAGGAGGACTTAAGTACTTTTGCTATTTGCATGGAGCCTAGCTGGAGTTATCATCCATTCTGGTGTTGGCGACTGTACTTTGAATATATTGGGACTTACGTTCCCCCCACAGGAGGACAATACTGAACAATACAACCCCCTCATTCCGGCAAACTACTGACGGCTATATTTAGCAGCGTGTGCAGATACTGACCAAGGACAACGAATACTTAATGCCATTCAGAAAGTGATCAAATGTAACCTATGTTATATATAGGATTACCTTTTCTCATTAAAGTACAGATTCTAGTACTTTTGTGGGGTTATGTCTCATCAGAGCCAGTCACCTTATCGCCAGCACACAAAGTCAGCAAAAGCTCAACATACCAGCTCGCAGTACCCGGACTGTCCATTCCTACCCTGGTTGTAACCACGTGAGGCATACACATCATCATCAGGTTTATCACTGAGAAAATGGACATTTTATGTAAAGCACACTTTGTTGTTTATGTTTTTACTGCAAGTAGTATTCCTTGCCGGCGGACTGGCTATTGTCTCATTGACAGTATAACTCAACATGCATAATTCTCGTTGGTTAGTTATCGCGATATTTCGTGTTTGCATTACAAGTGGCAGGGACGCTATGGCTGTTTACCCTATTTCAGCAGAAGGTTTATTTTCGAAGACTAGGTGGGAAGTATCCATGGGTCTTCATTTGTCTTCAAGTGGTATCATTTAAGGTATTGATTACCCGTGAAGCTTTGTCCTCTTATCAGGTACTCTTGACGAGGATCATATTTCTTGCTTGTCATATTGCAATTTGAACAAGAAGATGATCAAAACCTGTTCTCTTTTTCCTTTAAAACTTGAAATGTTCTCTTGATTAACATAGGCCACTAGGAATCTTTCAAAAGGTTTTACAGTTTTGAAAATAATACCAGCGAATCGAAATATTGTCCAAGATTTATGCTTACTGAACACTTTATGATGACACGTCTGGCTATGTTCATTCTATAATAAACACAAACAAGACAGGGTTGAGACTTTATTGGCCTCCCAGGTCATTACATCGTTACCCACCAACCCTAGGGATGTGGGATGGCCTAGTGTAGTGTGCTTGTGTTGTAAATACATAGTAATTACAGAGATTACAATATAACAAGACAGTTCGGGTGATCCAAGCACAGTCAGGCTCGGCTTATCATCAGCTCAGGGCCCTTGTCCCCTTTACAGGCAGCTCAAACAGCGAATGGGACTTTGGAAGGGCTCTCTCGTCGAACATTTCAAAGAATCATTGCGACCTTCTGTATCGTTGAGACTGCCAGAAAGGCTGCTTTCCTGACATCAAACATTGCCACTCTCCCTGGGAAGTGCCAAACCCAAAGCACCATGAACAATGGAGAGGCAAACATTTTGAGTACTTGTGATGCAGGCGTGGCATGTCGTTACCGACGTCTAAACATCTGCCATATTTTCCCTAAATAGTTCCAGGCAAATCAGCGTCAAAATGAACAGAAAACCACAAGCAAGACAGAAATAGAGGGATCGAACCACACCATCTAGTCGCATAAGGTACAATGCTTGTGCCAACGCTTCTCATCCATTGAAAAAGTGTTCCACACACTCATTAATGTATTGCATAATCTATATTATGCAATAAATTATGCATTATGTAATCAAAACATTATGCATTCTAAATATTGATAGAAAATAGGACACTGGCGGTTGCGAGTAGGGAGGGGTTTATTTATTTACTAGTATTTGGTTGTTTGAAACACATTCGATATTTCTTTCAAAATTGATTGTGTGAGAAACACTTTTATAAGCTGTATGGTAAAATGACAATGAATGTGTATTGCCAGTAATAACATTCTCAGGAACAAATATGCCTTGTTGTAGTTGTCTATTAACAGAGCGGTGTTTGATTTCCTGGAGACGCTAACAGCCGGGGACAATCCCCCCACTCTGATAAACAAGAGCTGTGTCACATAGAATCAAAGAACAGTCAGGGCGTAATTCTTCAGTTGGCAATGCAACGTTCCGCGTAGGGTGGATATCACTTACAGGAGAGTATCCAGGTGTTATATAGTCACATTACTGCCTTGTGTTGACAGTCTTCAGATTATTGACAACATGTGGATCTGCCATGTGTTGATTTTCTTACCACCCAATAATTCTTTTCTTTGCCACAGAATGACACAGTAATATCTTATACCCAATCAATAATTGGAAATCGAAATGCATTTGGGCTAAATACACACCATCGATGGATTGAAGCAGCGCTGAGGGGCCTCTGACATGTCGTGTTAAAAGTGCTGATACGGAACTAACTGATTAATACAAACGATCTGTCATCGAACCCCCTCTGGATGAAGCAAAATCAATTGTAACATTTCAAACATTGGAACTTGAGGAACAGGAATTTCAAGCAGATCATTTGAGTACAGACATAGCCACAAGCAGCAGGCACAGACATCTGTGGGCGACGTTACACACCATGGCTAAAGTTACACACTTCTTCTGACACTGCTATAGAGATGACCTACGTGGTTGAGCTGGCCTTGTGAACATCATGCTAGAAGACAGGATATATTTGGTTGTAACTCTTCTGGCAATCGTCGACGTCGGTGTCTGTGTTGACGACTACACCCTTCACCAACAGCTGTACAGTGACATCATCCAGCACAACAACCCCAACATCCGCCCTGTTCGTAACACAACACATGTTCTCCAAGTCTATGTGACCTTTAACCTTGTGGCAATTACAGAATTTGATGAAGTCTCCGAGGTTCTGGCTTCCACCGGCTACATGACGGTGACATGGAGAGACGAAATCCTGACCTGGAACCCGGCTCTGTACAGCGGCTTGTTGAGCATGAGGCCAGCATTTGAACGAGTGTGGAAGCCGAGCATAGCGGTGCAGAATACAGTGGACAAGATGAAACCTTTGGGCTTGGATTTCGGCCTCTTAGTTCTCTACTTCAGTGGAACTCTCACCTGGTATCCCGGAGACACATTCAAGACTACTTGTAAAATGGATGTTACCAAGTTCCCCTTCGATGTTCAGACATGTTCCTTCAATGTGTTTGTTTGGGCTGACACCATCAGCACCATTGATCTCTTGCCAGTCAACAACTCCATCGGTCTCGACATTTATAACGTGAACAGTGAATGGGGCATCACCAACACCTCGGCCACTCGGCACACAAAACAGGTGTTATACCATGAGATCCCCCATCTAACCTTCTCTCTCCAGCTGACAAGGAGGCCGTCAATGAAGATCCTGACCGTGGTGATGCCCGTGCTGCTTCTCTCCATCCTCAACATCTTAGTGTTCCTCATCCCGGTGGAGTCCGGGGAGAAGCTGTCCTTCACCATCACCGTGCTGCTGTCGTTTGCTGTGTTCATGTCGTTTATCACCAACATGCTGCCCCAAAGCGCTGACAGCCTGTCAGTGTTCACCCTGCTCATGGCGGGGCTGTTCCTCATGAGCTCTCTCTATGTACTGCTGACGATCTGGATTATTAAGGTATTCCACAGAGACTCAAGCAGGCGGCCCGTCCCTCTCTGGGTGAGTAGATTAGCGGGTGGCCAGAAGGGTTGTTGTGAGAGTATCAGAATACACGCGACTGACAGTCAGGCTGGGTCGGACAGATCTTCTAGTCGGGACATTGACAAGTCTATGCGTGGACGTGAGATGAATTGGAAAAGAGTGAGTGAGGCCATGGACAGGTTTTTCTTCTGGACATTTCTTATCCTCACCGTATCAATGATGGCTGTCGCTGTGTTCAAGATATTATTTTGACATAATGGCATAGACGCACACGTAGGTCATATGGTCTTGATTAACGGTACCCGTCAAGTGAAAGTGTAAAGTATAGTGAAATATAGTGACACGAGTAATAATACCTTTGTGTTAAATCTATGTGAGTTCGCAGAAAAACCGAAAGCATATGTAATAGAGCAGAGGTTTGTGTGTTTACTTTCGTTTTGTTTGTTGTTGGGTTAGAATAATGTGACTAGGTGTAGGTGTAGGGCTGAATATCGTCTCAAGCCAAGGTTTGTGCCCAAGAACAAAACGTTAATCTCATCTGGTGCGCTCTTCCCTTGCCGTTATCCAAACATCAAGGATCAGAGGACTGGACTCAACCCATGGTGTCCAGGTCTCAAACACTGTATGATCAAAGAACTTGGTATCAAATAGTGCCACGTATAAGGCTTATGAAGTATTCTCAAAACCATATATCGGTACTATCGAATTCTGACTTTAAAACCTGAAGACAGGTCTTTCTGTTGTGGATTTCAAAATTAACTGAATAAATATATGCTCTCAACAAACATGGGACTTATCTGTTTTGATAATATGACGAGAAGAATATATATTCAATAGGCGAAAGAATATTTTCTTGTACACCTGGATGATATGCAACAGCTTGTTTATTCATATTCAAGCAAGTTATTCAAGCATTTATATTTGTTGGCAGTCCTAAAGGATGAGGGGACAAGACTACAGGAAAACAACGAAACGTTAACATTAATGTGTGCGGAAAGTGAACAGTCTTATGTGGAACTTTGTAGTTGTTCCTACAGTAAGCATCACTACCTTAACTGTTGGATTATTGAGCTTCGTGGCCAAACCACACCAACACAAAGCCACCTCAAACCACGCCAACACAAAGCCACCTCCTACCACACCAACAGAAAGCCACCTCAAACCACACCAACACAAAGCCACCTCCAACCACACCAACACAAAGCCCCCTCATACTAGCCTACACGAAGCCATTTCAAACCAGCCAACACAAAGCCACCTCCAACCACACCAACACAAAGCCACCTCCAACCACACCAACACAAAGCCACCTCATACCAGCCAACACAAAGCCACCTCCAACCACACCAACACAAAGCCCCCTCATACCAGCCAACACAAAGCCATTTCAAACCACACCAACACAAAGCCACTTCCAACCACACCAACACAAAGCCACCTCCAACCACGCCAGCACAAAACAACCTCAAACCACGCCAACACAAAGCAACCTCAAACCACGCCAACACAAAGCCACCTCAAACCACGCCAACGCAAAGCCCCCTAAAACCACGCCAACACAAAGCAACTTCAAACCACGCCTACTCTAGACCACCTCAAACCACGCCAACACAAAGCCCCTCCAAACCACGCCAACACAAAGCCACTTCAAAGCACACCAACTCTAGGCCACCTCAAACCACGCCAACACAAAGCCACCTCAAACCACACCAACACAAAGCCACCTCAAACCACGCCAACACACAACCCTACAACAGTTTGGTGATGTTGTTTCGGTCTCTGCCTCTGAAAGGGGCAGTATCAGGATATCCAGGCATATCCAGGTAAATAATACTCAGTTTTCCCCACCCATCCCACAATATGAAACGATACCTAACCACCTTGAATCAATGGTCATCGCATTAATTTGATCATGTACATGTCAGTAGAAACTCGTCCATTAACCCACTTGTGAGATGATCACTGTGCACAGTGCGTCATGCTATTAACTGCAGTTGTCCTTTAATGGAACAATTTAGGAATACTGATGAGCGACTGACTGTCCTGTTAGGAAATTGGTCTCACGGGTGCATTCGCACAAAGATCAAAGATTGTTCTCTGATGTTTGTCATGGTTATTGCCATTGAATATATGGCTAACATAAAGGATTTGTAACAGTAATTCGTACACAAAAGACCCTTCCATTATCCAAAGAGTATTTAGTTTTGTTCATTATTTATGAAGATATGGGAGCCATGTTATATACACAAGTTCTCTTATTATTCATCATTCGTACTAATATCATCCAGGTTGGTATGTATATGCTGTGAACAGTTGGAATGTACTTGGCAAAAGAGGGCCCCCTGAACTTGACACTTCCTTGTTTGTGTCTGCTGTTCATACTGTTGGCCGTCAAGGGTCAAGATGACCATCATATACATCAGCTATACACTGACATCTTCAAAAACAACAACCCACTGGTCAGACCAGTCAAGAACAGCAGTGACACTATCACGGTCTCATTACAACTTTACCTTCTCAGCATGTCCGACTTCGATGAAGTTACTCAGACTGTGACAGCTAACGGCTTTTTCTTTGTGACCTGGAAAGATGAGTTTCTAACCTGGAACGCCAGTGAGTATGGAGGAGTCAGTGAAATTCGTCCTGATTATGGGAAGGTTTGGAGACCTTACATCACAATTCGCAACCAGGTGGACAGTGTTGATCCTCTGGGATTGGACTTTGGGATCATGAAAGTGACAGCCAATGGAGTTGTGACTTGGTTGCCAGGAGATACATTCAAGACTTTTTGCAAAATGGATGTTACCAACTACCCATTGGACAAACAGGAGTGTTCTTACATCACGTTAGACTGGGGTTATGCTCAGAATGAACTTGATTTAAAACCGATTAATAACTCCATAGGATTAAATTTATTTAACTCCAACAGCCAGTGGAATATAGTTAACTCATCTGCTGAAAGACTTGTGCTTGAAAACATGGGCATATCATTTTCACTTGTAAACTTCAATATTACACTGAAGAGAAAGTCGACATTAGTGATACTGACAACTCTCCTGCCTGTCCTGGTCCTGGGATTAGTGAATATGGTGGTATTCCTCATTCCTGTCGAGTCTGGCGAGAAGCTGTCCTTTGCCATCACGGTGTTACTGTCTTTCACTGTATCACTATCCTTCGTCACTGGACTGCTGCCACAGAACGCTGACAGTATACCTGTGTTTACTATCTTAAATGTTAGTCTGTTTATTATGAGTTCAACATATGTGTTCCTGACCATCTGGATCATGCACGTGTTCCATCGCGACGCCGCCATCAGGCCTGTTCCCACGTGGATGGGACGTATGACACGATCCTGGGAGAGATGCTTCTGTGGCACTCCTCCTGTGGGAACCCAGGAGACCTCGACTCAGGAAAGAATGTCAAAGGAAACATCGGAACCCTCATCAATTACATGGATGCAGGTCAGCAGAATGGCTGACAGGATTGTCTTTCTTTTTTTTTTCATGCTTTTCATCATGACAGTAATAATCGGTTATCTTAAGATAGCAACTTACTGACATGACACAGACCTGTAAACCTAATGGTAGATTAGCAATAACAGTAGGATACAGATTTGTATGTGTGTTTTGTTCACCCGGGGCGTCCTGTTGCCATTATCTTGGCAGGAGACCTGCATTGTAATCGTTCGTGTAACCAGTACAGATATTTAGTTTATTATTGGCGCCATTATTATTACTGTATTTATTCTTCCGCCGTATTTTTTTGTAACTGAGCTACAGAGAGCACCGCTGGACAGAATGCCTTGACAAAAATCACCCAAATGCCCACCGAGGGGTACATATCGCGCTTTAAAATCTGTAGGCTGTAGGACCAATAGCAAAGGGCAGATAATTCAAAATTAATTCAAAAATTTCAATTTCAAATGCAAATTTCTCCAAAACTAATGCTCCAATGTGTGCCAAAGTTCTGGAGCAGATGCGCAATCAAAATGCCTACAATTTCGCCTGGACGGCTCAAGTCGCTAAAATGCACCGTTTGGCCGCTATTTTGGATTGAAGTTTTTGGTGATGTTTTTCAGCAAAATGCTGACTACTTTCCTCCCAAAATGTGCTGCACTGAAACTTCAAGAGCTACGGCTTTCAAACTTTGCATACTTTGTGTCTATGCACCTTACTACACAGTAGCATCGTCAAATGTGGCTATGTGTATTTGATGGCCGCCATGTTGGACGCTACTTCTGGGCAAAAGTTGTCTTCAAAAACTTTCACGGGCTTCTTTGCCATTTTGTGCCAAACTAAACTTAGCACATACAACACTTTAAACGCTTGTTCTGAAGTGGCCTTTGGTTGTGGAACATTTTCTGTTCTTGGTCCTATGTCAAAAGTCACTGCAAGCGCTACGGCGTTCAACATTATCCGTGTGAATACAACGTATGGGAGCTAAAAGGAAAAAATACTATTTGAGACGAACCCCAAACGAAAGAAAAAGAGTGCCAAACAAACTGACCCACACCTCCAGGCACACCACGCCAAACATTACGCAAAGAGGCTTCCAACAACGTACCAGTGATCATAAATAATACTTACAGTAAATACCCCAAAGTTTGGACAGATTTAACAAAATAGGGACTTCTTTTTATCACCGACGGCCCAGGGATACATTGCCGAATGTGTCATAAGTTTCATCGACATTTACGGCACGGCAGATTACCCGTGCAAAGCATGCGACAGTCTGAAGGAAGGCGCAAGGACGATATCTCCTATAAAGAGACTACCACTGCAAAGCGTGGTCCACGTGCAGATATGGGAGACGATGTAAATTTCAATTGACAATGACGAGCGCTAGCGCTACACAAAATTAAAATACACTGCAGTAGAGGTGCTATTCCTTCATTGTAATTGAATCTTTGTAAGGGGTATGTCTTTAGGCAGCTTTTAAAGATTGTCAATGATTGAGCGTTCCGGGTCAGGGTAAAAGTTGTAGCTGTGGTCTGCTGGGGAAACTCTGGTCTAGCTGAAGTAAGCGCTAGTAAAATCGTTCAACGAAGACCAGGCGCCGACTTTGCAATGCCCGAAGAGTAATACGCTTTTGCTAACAATTCGGTGCTGTTTGCATGGATTTTAAAACTTCATAGGTGACCTTTATCGAGCTGTTAGGTGTATTTCCAGTATATATACCTGCTCTCGATTCACTATTCATTTGCAACAGCCCGAGTGTAACAGTGTAATGGATACTAATACAAACTACTGAAGTACCTTCATTGCTGTGAAATTACAAGTTCACTTGCATCAGCGTGAGAGTGAGTGAGTGAGTTTAGTTTTACGCCGGAGTCACCAATATTCAAGCTATATGGCAGTATTTTACATCACCGAAGGCCCAGGGATACATTGCCGAATGTTTCAAAGAGTTTCTCACACATTTACGACACACGGCACATTACCCGTGCAAAACATGCGACAGTCTGAAGAAAAGCGCGAGGACGATTATAGCCGCTCCTTGAAACGCGCTGTTTGTTATCGATTCCACACAAACGCAGACAAGTTGTGCACGTTTATTCACCGTGTCAGCATGGATAGCACTTGAAAAGTAATAGGTAAGTATGCAGTCATAACATCTACATCTATATCTACATATCAACATGTGCATGGGATACCTTGGCGACTGTTTGTCGGCTTAATTTCCCCTCATGATATGTCCAATAAAGAGACTACCACTGCAAAGCGTGGTTCACGTGCAGGTATGGGAGGCGAGAGAAGTGTGTATGGTTGCGAAAGCTATGTAAGTGTGCAAATGCCGCGCTCTTATCGATCTGCCCTTTCCAAGTTTAGATCCGGTTCTGCACCTCTAAAGTTGGAAACAGGCAGATATTCAAATATGCATGTAAATGAAAGAGTGTGTTTTCAATGTAGTGATAAGATTTAAGTCGAACGTCATGTACTGTTGGCATGTGCGCTGTACGATGATCTACGTGAAAGTTTATATTGCCATATGTGTTTCAGCTATCCCAACTTCTTAGATATATGTGATAATGAAGAAATGATTTTACTATTTAAAGAACATGTTTATTTTACAGCCAAAACCTGCGTTCTTCAAAGAAGAAAACTTATTTTATGCGGCTAAATCCATAGTGTACCTTTTATCATATATGCCACTTCTGTACTTTTACATGAGGTGAGACTTAAGGAAAATATTTGTCTGTCTTCTCAGGACGTGGACAGACGGGTTTCCTTTGATGTCGTCTGTTTTTAAGTAAGGGATTAACTGGTCGGGAAGTGTTAAAATCCTAACTGTTACCGGAATTGTGAAGGTTTCGTGAGTCTGTTCACTCTGGTAGTTCACTCTGGTAAGCGTGGTTAGCATGTGACTATGATAGGTGAGTGAGTTCACTCAGAAATCGCTTGTAGTGTTGACTGATTTCATAAAATGTGTTCACTCCGATAAGTGTACACGCTAGGTGAGTAATAATCACTGTCAGGAAATTGTTGCTACAGTTAGATTACAAATTACTTCAAATTACTTGCTTTTACACGACTTAGGATGTCCACGTCCCGAGAATACCCCTACTGGAGTACGTTAGTTGCTGTAAAACCACATGTTCACTTGTGTCAGCGTGAGAGGAACAGTGTTATGGATATTGATAAACGCTACCGAAATACAGAGCACGAGTGCTTCGTGTCGACATGTCTTTTTGGTTGCTGTTGATATTTAGATGGAAATGGTGTCTACCAACAGTGCAGAAAAAATCCGCACTAAACTCGCCAGGTACCTCTATCAGTAGGCAATGCACCATAATAAAGAGCACGAAAATGTCATTCTTTCCGTAAAATGGCACATGAGTTGTGTTTACTGACCGTTAAATGTGAATCACGACTTGTCAGCTACATGTGACGTACATTTAAATTCACATAATGTCAGTCACAGTGAACCTTTCAAATTATTTAGTTCAGGCCACAAAATTTTCTGTTTCTCTGACTGTTTGAACAAAGGGTTCTTCTGTTTTGATATTCATTGTACCTAAGTGATATTATTTAATCTACGAAAATAGGATTTTTGATGAGTATATCGAAATTTAATGACCTCCCAGTACTTCCAGTCGAAGAGCATTCGACTAGCAGTGATATGATTCATATTAACTAATACCATTACTACTTTCATGAGATATGTGAGAGATGCACAAGGCTCCAAAGTAAGTAAATCCAAGGAGCTATATTTGTTATTGATTTGTAAATGTCCTTACTATACATCGCTGGTCTCGTAGCTATATATTCATCATTTGGTACTACATTTGTCTGATGGAGCAACGTGACCAAATGTATTTCTGTCGACGTAATGTACAGCTGTTATTTGTATCGTCGGATGTTCAAGAGAAGTACCCCCCTGTTCCGGGTATCACATTACATCTGATGTATCCCATTAGGAGTATAGCCTTGCTTTGTGTATCCTATACAGCTAAATATCATTGGTCGTTCAACATAGCACATCACGTTGGTATGACGAATCCGCTTGTCAGCTGTAATTATTTTGTCTCACTTCGGTAGTATGTAACGTTGTTATTGACAGATACACATGTCGGCAATATAACATCTGTAGGAATGTATCTGACTGAAGTAAATTCCGTTTACTGATACGTGCATGTGTTTGTAGTGTGACGCGATCACCTGTCACCTGATTGCTGTATGTCGACACCTGTCCCAAGGTTAGATGAGCTGATGGGCTGATTGCGGTGGCTGTATGTCGGCACCTGTCCCAAGGTTAGATTAGCTGATGGGCTGAGCGCTGCGGCTGTATGTCGGCACCTGTCCCAAGGTTAGATGAGCTGATGGGCTGATTGCTGTGGCTGTATGTCGGCACCTGTCCAAAGGTTAGATGAGCTGATGGGCTGATTGCTGTGGTTGTATGTCGACACCTGTACCAAGCTTAGATGAGCTGATGGGCTGATTGTTGTGGCTGTATGTCGACACCTGTCCCAGGGTTAGATGAGCTGATTGGCTGATAGCTGTGGCTGTATGTCGGCACCTGTCCAAAGGTTAGATGAGCTGATGGGCTGATAGCTGTGGCTGTATGTCGGCACCTGTCCCAAGGTTAGATGAGCTGATGGGCTGATTGCTGTGGCTGTATGTCGGCACCTGTCCCAAGGTTAGATGAGCTGATGGTCTGATTGGTGTGGCTGTATGCCGGCACCTGTCCAAAGGTTAGATGAGCTGATGGGCTGATTGCTGTGGCTGTATGTCAACGCCTGTCCAAAGGTTAGATGAGCTGATGGGCTGATTGTTGTGGCTGTATGTTGGCACCTGTCCCAAGGTTAGATGAGCTGATGGGCTGATTGCTGTGGCTGTATGTCGGCACCTGTCCAAAGGTTAGATGAGCTGATGGGCTGAAAGCTGTGGCTGTATGTCGGCACCTGTCCCAAGGTTAGATGAGCTGATGGGCTGATAGCTGTGGCTGTATGTCGGCACCTGTCCCAAGGTTAGATGAGCTGATGGGCTGATAGCTGTGGCTGTATGTCTGCACCTGTCCCAAGGTTAGATGAGCTGATGGGCTGATTGGTGTGGTTGTATGTCGGCACCTGTCCAAAGGTTAGATGAGCTGATGGGCTGATTGCTGTGGCTGTATGTTT